CCCCCCCCCCCCCCCCCCCCCCCCCCCCCCCCCCCCCCCCCCCCCCCCTTCTCCACTCATTAAACATTCATATAATCTTGATTTTGGTCCATTAGAATGAAGCAAACAGTCTGAGAAATTGAATTTGTGTTAATATTGCAGTGCAAAGCACTGTATTATTGCATCAAGGAGGCGATGGAGAAGAGTGGGCGTCGACAGGACGCGGCCGAGCTCGGCGGAGAGTTCCCATACAGGATTGCGCCACGGGCGAGGGTGGCCTTATACAGGTACTATATCATTCCTTAAACCTACCTGCCTGCATTCCACTGACAAGCTTACAACAATAAAAGTACTTTTTGCTACGCAAGAAATTATTTTGCCAAAAACAAACTATTAAAAAATATTATAGCCACCTTTGCTCGGGGTGATAAAAGGATTTTAACGATACCCCGTACATCCACATCTGCCCAGGCATTTAGAAGTTAGGGTGAAGTCAAGAAACTGCACTCCTTTTTTGGTCAGCCGTGTAAAAGTTAATATAAAAATTAATATTGGAGATAAACCAAGCAACTCTATGTATAGTACAGTATTTTGATATAATTTGAAAAGGTACACGTTTTTTAAATTTCACTAAAAGCAAATATAATTATTTAAAAAATTTCTTAAGTATTCTATAATTATTTTCTGAAACTGACACAAAACAGTAATATAAACTAAGCTTGAAGTCGCCTGAAAAGACAAAACAGAACTGTTATGATATAGGTTAGTTAAAATTACGCAACAGATATATCTTTAATGTGTATGTATTTTCTCTCGTGCAATTTATTTGAATTAATTATATAAAAATAATTTATAATATTTTTTTTATTCCAAAGGTTTATTTATGTAAGTTTAGTCTTATATACTACGAGAATATTCTTAGTTATAAGTAGTATTGAAAGTTTAACCTATATATTGATACTAAGCTGGTAACTGTTATTATTCGATAGTGTTATATACGATCGGCTTAGAATAAATTAATATAAGACAACTATGACACATATTATAGACTTGAATAACTCGTATCCTATTTGACACTTAACTGTTAATAGTTTATTATTTTGTGACCATATTATAAGTCAATATATTGATGTTTAATATAACATGAAAATTGGTGTAAATTGTGCTTACTTGTTTACGTAATATATATTCATAATTTATTACTAATATTTTTAAAGGTGTGCATGGAAGGCGTCGGTCTTCTGTTCCACCACAGCAAGGTATGTCCCAATGCTTTCACTGTGTTTTTATAACTTTTTGTCGGCTTATTTATATTATTGTGATAATATACCAAAACAGTTTTGATAATAATATTATCAAAGGATATAATCGTTGCTACATTTGTAAGTCCGTGCCGTTTTGGTATACTCATGATAATGATATATTGATCAGGTAAGGTGTCTGTCAGTGTCTCCGCTTCATTTGGAAAAAGTCTCGATATGATTGACCGATACCAGTAGAGTGCCGTACAGCGGTAGACGCACCTGTACGCCAATCTACGGCACCGGCGCGGTACCATGTCCCGGGCCGGGCAACGCTTCATTGTCTCAGTATTGTATCGGTGCCGTTAGCGCATTGTTATACATTAACGAAGCTTCTCATCCGACGATGACATTGAAACCTAATTATATCTCACTACATACAGGGGATACGTGCTATAAGTTACATATTGTTGAGTTACTTGTGCTGTAACATACTCGTATCACGGCACCACTCAAAAAGCTGCCAGATCGATCCCCCACATATTATATATTCTCATAACGAATTGGTTTATAAAACCTTTTAAATATACAACAATTATAATAATAATAATAATATTATACCCGTATGCAAGGACCACTCAAACTTTCCTATTTCAGTTCAAATTCTTCAACATTATACGATTACCTAAATTTTATCCGATAAGTACATATATGTATTTCTATACATTTTATTTCTTTTATAATAGTATCGTCTCCGAACGATTTTGCATTTTCTCTAATAATTTTAATTATCGAGTATAGCTTATGTCGAATCAAAAATCCAGTATTTTGCCCTTTAATATCTTTCTATTACTAATTCGATGTAATAGCTTAGTTTTTACATTTAAGGTAACCGTTGTCTATCTGATTTACGTATATATCTAATCCATACAATTTGTGCATGTGCTATTTGTCTGCCATACCCGTATACCGCTGGAGTGTGGGCGCCAGTGCCGGAGCGTCGCTCCGCTAGGAACTTTGAGATGGTCTTGACACGCGCTCGGCCGCCCTCTACTAATCTCTTCTTTTTGTCTGTTCTACTCTTTCCGGATACGCCGAACCCGCTGCGCTAAAGGATTTCGAGGTACACAGTGGTTCATTCACTAGTAATGGCGACCTTTACGACCTTTATGATCTCTGTCACGGTCACCGTGAGACGCGCTATTAGCGATGATCGTTCGAGGTCGTAGGGCTTTACTTGTAGTTTTGAGGCTTACCGATTGTTTTTAGCCGTTGTTAGCGTTGTATTAGTTCTCCCGAGTGCGGCGAGCGCCGAAGCGCGCGGTCGTGCATGCACATAGACGCCCTTTGTTTATTATCTGTTTATATAATCGCACCCGACAGCTTGCATTCGTTATCGTGGATCGTCCGGCGAGCGGTCTCGATATTTCGCTCTCACACATTGTGTTGAGGTTTAGTTCGTTCGTCCCTTATCACCCGGAGCCCGAGCGAGCGTCACGTCAGCGCTAAAGCTTTACGGACGCAAGTCACGAGGTCAGTCGTAGAGCATTCGCCATCTCACAAGTTCTGGTGCGGCCCCGGGCCAGTCGCGCACGCCCCTCACCCCGCACCCGACCTCGCAACCCTGCACCACCTCGCTGCCCGCACCCACCACCTATCCTTGCGCCTCTACCTCAACTCCGCAGCCCGCGTCCTCGCGTGGCTCTCCCCATCCTGCACCTAAACCTAGCATCTTCTATAAGCCCGCATCTCATAATCTTTCCTCACTTGCACTCCCCGCGCACCTCGCCTCACTTCGCCGCGCCGCCGTCGCCTTGCTCCACCCTCCTGTTCATTGCCGAATCTCTGGATATACAGAAATTCAACTTTTATTTACTTTCGGTATTAAAAGCTGCCGACGAGTGCGTTGAATTTTTGTTCGTCAAATACATAATATTGTGGTGAGCTAGCTACGTTTCGATACATTGGGTTAAATAAAAAATTACAGAGGATTTATATACTGCTTAATAACAAGTACATATGTAACATTGTATCGAAATTTAGCTTTTATATCGCTGCCCGTATCGCATTGGAGCATGAAGCATGCTTAATATTTTTTATAGAGCATAGGGCAGTAGGCCGATGCATGTCTTTTTATGATGTTCTAGTTTGATATGATAATTTCAAATTTATGAAATTAAAGCATCTAATTTGAATAAGTGAACAGTATCATATTATATGCCTACTTATGTATTAATACAATTTAATTACATAAAATTAGCATTTATACATACATACTTACATAATAATGATGCTATACATGATAAACTTATACAAATTTAATCTTTGTATTTATGGCATTTTAAGGAATTCTTAAATATGAAATTTAACGTAATCTAAACCGAATTTGTCAGATTCAATACTTTCTGTATTATGTAAAGAATTAATCAATGTAATTAAGTATTTATGGAATTAAAAACAGATAAGAGATTTATATTTGAATTATTTTTGACGAAATATAAATAATAGTAAATATATATTCTTCTACAAATTTTTATGGCAATGCATGATGCTTTGTATATTTTTGCATGATCTGTTTAACATGTCGAATAATGTTGATGTTAATGTTAATGAATATGTACCGCCGACCGGCGAGTTGTGGAGCGTTAGCTGTGTTCCCTTACTAGAAATATATCTTCCTCCTTATATGAACTAATAATAGTTGTAGTACAGTCTAATTTAATTATAAATTTAAATACAGTCAATACTAAGTAATAATGAATGCTATTCTCATTAAAAGTAGTACGTAAACAATTTGACGACCCCCATAATCTAATTAAAATGTAATGGTAGGTAATTAAATATATTATAGATATAACAAGAATGTACATATACGTGTATATATGTATTATAAATTGTCTGAATAATTTATTTCACATTTTATTTGTAAAGACACTAAAGTACAAAAATAAACGGACGCTGTACCTATGTAGGCATCTTTATAAGCACATATTTTGATATGTTTATATTTAATGATTTCGTATACCGATTTATTCTTACATATTTTTTTTAAATTGCAGTTCTTTGTGCGGCTCGATCACATTCGAAAATGCTTCACACAGAACGGAGGTATCTTCGTTTTAGAAGAATTTAGTAAGTATATATTTTATTACTGATTACAACTAATATATTTTACTCATTTGTTTTAACATTTAGGTAAGATTATTAATTTATGATGACATGTTCAAAATTGTGCGTCTACAAAAATTCGAAGCGAGAGCGAGATTCATCATATTTTCTCGCATTTAAACGTAATCAGTCCTATGTATTTACCCGCTTTCCTTTAAATTATTACCGTCGGTTTTATAATTTACCATAGAAGGGCAAGACAAAATGTACTATTGTTTCTTAGTATTGTTTATTTATTTCTTTAACACCAAAAGCATATTGTAATGTGACTTAAAAGTACTTAAATTATAGAAGTGACGCGTTTCGATCTCTACACACGATATTTTACGATAACGTTATTTTACATTTTATTCTATGATATATAAAATATGATATCTATTTTTAAATTTCTATTATTTGTCTAATTTCCATGCTGCATTTTGTTCATAAATTGACGTCTTATGTAACTTTTACTGTAAAATTTGTTTATTTTTTCTTCAGATCCGAAAACCAGACAAATACTACAGAGGAAGTACAAATCTATTATGGCAAGTATTACAAATCTTTTATAAAATATAAGCATCCTTTTTATGTTTATAATTGTTTTTGTTTTATTCATTTACTCTCGTGTCTTATGTTGTAGGCAGAGAAAGTAGTGCTTGACCTTCACCGTTTCTTCTCCATATGGCTTTCTCGGTACTTTGTCGAGACCCATGGAACTCAACTGCATTATGCACCTTACGTTTCATAGCCCCTACGGATGTATGTACTGTCAAATTATTATTTTTATTTTGCATGACATTTCCTTCTAACGCTTTATTTGTTTAACTGTTTATATATTTATTTTTATTTTAATACAATTCCATCTACTTTTTGTCAAATTTTACTAAACATATACTTATTTAACATATGCTTTTGTAAACATTCGGGAATAGTTATACTACCTATTCTTGTCATCTGTTTTCTGCACAGTCATGATTTACAGATATAACATAAAGGCTAATGCAGCTCAGCAGAGCTTACGCAAATCTATTAGTAATGGGAATTAGAAGTGACAGTTGCTTTTAAATATCATTACAAATATTCGCTATTTATTGGGTTAATATATAATTTTAATTCCTTTATCGTTAGTAAATAGAACATTTAACTAATCAACCAGTGATGAAAGGCTGATTTTAATTGTTCTTCGGTCTAGTCGAGTGGCGAATAATTTAGTAGAAGTTTAGCTTCATTTATAAGATGGCGGGCCTCTGCTATTTAGGTGATTTTTTATTTATAATCCCTTCGTGTACTTTACCTTTTTTATTTACCGAGAAGCTGCAAGACATCTAATTGTATTGAGTAACAAAGGTAAGTATGGAACTAGTGCGGTCTTTGACCTAAGAAACAATAAATTTGCTCCTAGAAATTATAGACAATTATCTACAATCGGAAAGTGGTAACCGACGTCTATAGACATGAACAGAGTACCATGGACATACAAGAATATTTAATAATTTAATATAAGATTATTATTTGATGTATGGTATTATTTGTGTCTGTTAACACAGTATAAGTAATAGTGTTAAATAAGGTACGTAAATACGTAACTAAGATAACTAAGTATTGGCACTCTCTGCCGCCCTCTAGGATCTGACCACACCACCTCTAAAATACACTTCAGCGCCCAAGCTCTAATTAAGGTCTCTAGTCTACGCTTCAGTTGGCGCCGTTGTCAGAGAAGGATAGACGGTACAATGTTTACGAAATATAAAGTAACTAGCTAGTCTCCATTAGTATAAATTTTTATCGAAATCCAGAGTTATTTAAAATACGAATACGACTATTGTTGCGTTGAAATTTATTTGGATGTGACCACTTAGACAACTAACAAAATAATAATATACTTAGGCCATGATTAGAAATCATAACTATGCCTCGTGGTTTCATGAGTATCACAGTATCTACATATCATAATATAGGTACTAGGGGGGAAACGGATTGTTAGTAATGCGGACTATCAGTCCTATTGCTAGCATTATTATTATTATACCCTATTAGGTTAACCTCCACGTGGTCCCCCTTAGAAACCATCGTGCTAAATTCCAGGTGTATTCATCACGGTGGGCTATCTGATCTGCCCTTTCATCTCACCTATCATCCCTCACTGGTGTCCCGCCAGCGTATACCGTTAGCGCAGGCGGGATTACGATTCCATTATCATCTATTAAAAATATATATAGGTACTGTGACACTTATGACACCACTCATAAATTGCTATTACTGAGAAATAAGTTGATATGCATTAATATAAAAATATTTGTACAAGTGAATAGTAACAGTGATCTAAAATTTTAAATAAACTTTTGTATATTTTATAAAGATTTGATGAATTATATTGCAATGAACACTGTGCAGCTTTTTCAAAGCACATCCAACAATATACCGAAGGGCGCTCGATTTTTCCCACGCTATCCCTAACAACTGCTACTGCTATAAGGAATGGTTCCATACTTTATGGCAGTCTATGGAGGTAGCTTATGTTCAGCAGTGGACAGATAACGGTAATTGAAGCTGATTCTGTAGTGCCATTTGTCTAAATTTATCTCTTAACCTATTTTAATTTGATAATTTTGCGAAATTACTGTGGTATCAAATTAAAATTTCAATTTTAGAGATCAGAATCGACTCCATTGTTTTTTTAATTGTAAGACATATCATGGCGTTTTTGTATGGAGTGTCCGAGGTGGGCTACAGAGGACCCCCCCCTCCCCACCCGCAACAAAGCTGACTTTAAATCTACACCCAGTAAACGTAGTGGAAAATGCAAAAATTAAATACAAAAACATTACAAATAAGTATTAAATACAAAAACAGAACAATATTGATATAAATAAATAAAAATAATATATAGAATGATTGTAAGAAAAGTTATCGTTGAAATTTCTGCCTCATAAGTATTCAAAATTGCATGTTATTGCATTTTAAGTACGCTATATTTTTATAATAAGCGCTATTTTTTTAAATATTACCTTCTGTAAGATAATAATATATTTTTTCTATTTTAAAACTCAGGACAGATATTTTGTCAAAAAGTTGTCACAATGCTTTCCTTTGGTTATTTATTTTGGCTTGTATTTTGTAGTTTATTTAGGTACATTATTTTACAAAAGACAGGCACGATCACATCAATTTAATACGTGTTGTGTAATTAGGTAGTACAGAAAATGTATGGAATCACAATGAAAGTTATAAAACCTGGCTGTTTATTAACCTCTAGTAGGTTTTTTTTTAATAGATGAAGAGGGAATGGTACGCCCGTCTATGTTAACAGTATACAAATGCGAGACACTAGTGCAGAATGAAACAATAAGAATGAAGTCAGGTCAGTTGGTGCATTGTAGCAAATTCACACAAATTACTCACGATGGTTTCCAGAGGGGACCGCGTGGAGGTCGTCCTAATAAGGTTATCAATGGGGACTAAAATTTCCATTACTAACAATGTCCACCCAAATTAATATCCGTAAGTATTTGACAGTTCATGGCCAACAAATTTGTACCCTTAGAATGAGAAGAAAAAGTAATAATTAACATGGATCTAGTTGAATCTCACCTATCACATTTGATTTGCATTGTATAATCTGTCAAACCCTTTGGTCTACATGTTTCGATCAAAGAACCGTACATATACACACTCGGAAAATATTACCCTCTAATTTTCGATAATTTTCACCCGTCTAGGTGAAAAGTACCTGCACATGACCCGTTCACATAATTTAAATTGTCTATGACGTGTGATTTGTGTTTCAGGCTGACCAAATATGTTATGCTGTGCTATGCGTGTTCTCATACTTCGCGGCCGGCCACGAGCAGAAGAAGGCGATCCTCGAGCAGGCGGCGCGGGTGCCTCCTGCCTCGCCCGCTGCGCTTGCGCCCGTCTCGCCCTCTTCGCACTCGCAACGAAGCCCCAAGGCTGACTTTGAAGTGGTCTCGCCTAAAAAAAAGACTAGTCCGCAGGTAAAATTATGAAGTTTACCATTTCGGCCTTGAGACTCTAAATGTGTACACTATTGTAATTTTTTGTAGTTAATTCGAGATGTAGATTCAGTTAACATTTGACACTTGAAACAGAATAAACTCATCCAAAAGACCATCTAATTATACGTATTTATTAATTGCAGATTTTATAGGTATGACGATAATTAAAAGTTGTTTATTTATCCATGCACAGATTTACTACAGAATATCTATTGGCCTTATAATTCACATTTTTAAGTTACAATTTAAATTGCAAAGTTTTATACGCTACAGGCAGAAAAGAGGTCCCCGGTGAGCCGTGCGGGTGAAGCCAGAGCATCATTTGCAAAAAGTGAAGGTGGCGCGCTCACAGAGTCGAGAGAGGTGACGCCAAGTGTCGCGGGGACGGCGGCAAGTATCGCGGGGCCGCCGGCGTGTGCCACGGGGCCGGCAGCCGGTGTCGTGGGGCCGGCGGCAGGGCCGGGGGCGGGGGCGGGGCCGGCGGAGGGCGGGCAGGCGCACGCGGCGTTGTCTCGTGCGGGGAGCGCGCCGCCGCGCCGGCCGCCGCCGCCCGCGCCGCTGCAGCAGCGGCTCGCACGCGCACACTCGCAAGCCGCCCCGCCGCGACCCCTCGACCCTCCACTGGTGCGTACCTGCTGTTACCATAGTACTGCTTATGCTAATCAATATTATTATTATTCGATTACAAATCTATTTAACGATCTTACAATATTAGAATATTATTCATATTGCAATAATGTATTTATTTTTAATTATATAATTTTTTTGTCAACTTATCAATCATCAAATAACAAGACTTCGCTTTGCAGATACCACCGCGCACTGGTGCCGGGGGCGGGGCAGCGGGGGCGGGCGGCAGTCGACCGGTCGGACCGCCGCCCGCCCTGCCGCCGCGACAGATGTCCGTTGCGGCCGACTTCAGTGCATTCAGCAAGTATGTCTAAAGATACATACGTACATTTTTTAAAGTTGAATTAAACCAAGCCTAGTACTTAGTCGAGCTGTTCTTATACAGTCGTAAAGGGTATACCTAGCTGAATCCCAAGTACCTCCGGACACTTCATAAAAAAAAAACAAGATCTGTACCTATCAAAACTACAGAAAATAGTAACGTCTGTAAATGTGACAATGTGTGCGTGTGTAGTTACAACTAGAGCGCGAAAATAGAGTTTCTATGCTGACGTGTGTTAGTAAGAGGGTGGCGTCAGATCACAGCGGGCGACAGGGAGTGTCTATACTGTACTTTAGTACTATTACTTATATTGTGCTCCAGGAACAAGTTCAAAATCTCAAAATACCTTGAAATTTCCATACAAGTAACGTGATAGATGAGTATGAGTGGTTAAAAAAAAAAAACATAAAAGTATAAAGTGCAATTTTTTAGCTTTGTCACCTGTTACCTGCCAAAGCCCCGATGATCTAAACTACATACTCCCTAATTATTCTAACCTGTGTTAGAGACATGCGCAGAGAAATTTTCAGCTTTTATAATGAAAATCTGTCCGTCGCGGCTTTTTGCTTTATATATATGGTCGTAAAGAATAGTATATGGAAACGCAGAGCGGGCGGCAGCGCGAACTCGAGCCCCGCGCGACGGCCGCCAGCCCGACAGGCGTCCACGGGCGGCCCGGGCGGTCCGGGCGGTCCGGGCGGCCTGGGCGGCTCCAGCGGCCCGAGCGCAGCATTCGCGCCGACCAACCCGTTCACGACGCCGCGCCACCACGCCGAGTTCGTCATCCCGCAGCGCACCAACGTTCGCCGCTCATCCACCACCGACCGGAATTAGTATCCCCGTCATACCTCGAAACCCTATAGGTACCTTTTACAAAATGTGATAATAATACATATAGATACATAATGCGATCAAAGGAAGAATAGGACTGCCTTTTCGCCATATTGTATTGTTTTAGTTGTCAAAATGATTAAGTAAAATTATAACACTATGTTACTTAGTTAAATAATATAGAAAGATATATATGTAAAATATTTTTTGTGCAAGCTAATGCAAACAGTACTTTTCAAAGTTGGTGGGTAGAGGTAAATGACGTTCCTATTCTTATATCGATCGCATCGTACGCCGGCACCGATGTATATGTACATAAATATATATATATTTTTCTTACTAAGCCTATTTAATAAATAATTCTGGCACCTCTGTTTTATTCTAAAATAAAATGAATAAATTATGTTTTTGTGTTATCTATATATGTATATTTTAAATTTTTTTGTCTCATTTTAGATAACTCTTCGATATATGACACACCAACATTGTTTACTAAGTATACTGAGTAAGAAAAACATAAAGAACGGCATGTTCCGTTCGTTTTATCGCGGTGCCCTTTAGTATTAATGATAATAAAAATGTCTGTGTTCCTTAATTACTGTCTCTGCAATAATCATATTACTTATATGCTCGATGTCCAATGGTACCTATGCGATTTAGAAAAAAAATGTATCCTATTTTTTGACGTTCTGTAGGTATCACCAGTTGTATTTATTTATATTTAGCATTGAACGTTTTTGAGAATATAAAATTGCATAATATGGTTAAGACGAGTATACCTATACTAAATGCTAATTTGTTTTATATAACAATATTTAATACAAACTGTACTTCTTTATGACGTAACAACAGCGCACAACCGCCTCAACTTGTTGGTTACGTAGGTAAACACGAAATAACGAATTATTTTGTAAAAATGTATGTCCGAAATCTACCAGTGACATTAATTAATTTTGTTATTGTATCTATTCCTGATCAAATTACAGTACAACTATAATATAGTTATTAAAAGCGTTTCGATAGGCAATTTGAAAAAATTAGAGGCAAGCTGATTTTTGCATGAATCTTCCTATTATGATTGTACACAAAATATCAAAAATTCTACAATTATATTTATAATAAAATATTTTTATTTATTTATTTATTTATTTAAGTACACTTTATTGCACCAAATAAAAAGAGAAATAACAAATACAGTAAATATTAATGAGAAGTGATACAAAAGGCGGCCTTATCGCTAAGCAATCTCTTCCAGACAACCTTTGGGTAGAGGACATTGAGAAAAAGACAAAGAGTAGGTGGCGCACTATTATATAAATATTATCATATACAAACATATATAGATTACATACATATAATCTTACATATATAATATATACACAATTAAATATATACATTCATACATAATTTTTTTACAACATATATATATATATATACACAATTAAATATATACATAACATACACATACTTAACAGCATACATACAACAGAAAAAAATGCCGAAGGAAAACGAAGAGAGAACACAGGAAAATAGTACTAAAGTCATAGTAAGATTTAACAGAGGTTTTGAAGCTAGTAAGAGTTTGAGCGCACCGAATAGAGGTAGGTAGTGTGTTCCATATACGAACTGCCTGAACAGTAAAGGATTTAGAATAAAAGGAAGAAAATATAAATTTAAGTCGGAGGTTATTGACACTGCGTAAAGTATGATCATTAGTCACTGAGAAACAAGAATCGGTCTTTTAGATATATCAGGAGCAGCATATTAAAAAGGATTGTCTAAAGAAGAGACATTATGATATGCAGATTACGACGAAAACGGATAGAGAGCCACTTGAGTTGAGTACGAAATTGAATATATGTGATCATATTTGCGAATGACCAAACAGCGGATACATAAATTTTGGAGACGCTCAAGCTTGTTTAATATGCTCTTCGGTAGGTCTAAATAACATGAGTCGGCATAATCAAGAATGGGTAGGAGTAAGGTGTGTGCGAGCGCAATTTTGGTGTTAACTGGGAGGAAATTACGTATCTATTTAAGGCAAAAGTTGCAGCAAACATTTTTTTACTGACCTCGAGATTTTACATGACAAAGTATTATCAAAAATAATGCCAAGATTTTTTACTTTTTTCTGGTAATCTATCATAACCCCATCAAAAACCACAGGCGGAAGACTGGTCGAGGAAATTTTGGAAATAGTATGGGACTCCCAATAATAATGGCTTGTGTCTTCAAGGGGTTTATACAAGACCATGAGATTTACTCCAGGCAGATATACGTTCCAGATCGGCGTTAACAGTAGATATTGCTAAAGAGATATCAACCAGAGGGGCTAAAGAGTAAATCTGTAAATCATCTGCATAAAGGTGGTAGGAAGATTGAAGTTTCGAAGTGATAGGGCTAATAAATAAGGCAAATAGAAGAGGAGATAAGACGCCACCCTGCGGCACGCCAGCTGACGTATGGCAAAGAAGATAAAACGTCATCAATGCGAATACGTTGCCGACGTCCAAACAGGTAACTACGAAACCAGTCAATTGCCGTTGGAGAGAGGTTAGCAATCCTAACAAAATATCAAAATCAACAGTATTAAAGGCATTGCTAAAGTCCAATAATGTTAAGACCGTTAATTGAGAATTCTCCATGCCAAAACGGATATCGTCAGAAATTTTAATAAGAGCAGTAGTCGTACTATGACCAGGACGGAAACCAGATTGAAGAGGATTTAAGAGATTGTTTCTTGATAGGTAAAAGTTAAGTTTTTGTTGGACAAAGCGTTCTAAGGCTAATATTATTTATAAATGATAATTTTGAAGCTAAAAAATTTAAAATATTCTATAATTATAGTTTGGATGTTAAGTGATTGTTGATGCAAGTTTTCTATTAATTTGGATAATACATCATGGAATATCAAATAAAAATGTAATTAAATGATAGCAATAATCGGTATCTAGAATATTAATACTGGATAATCTTGTAGGTAGTTTCGTGTAAGATTTTAAGCTTCCTCTATTTTTTACAAAGTTGAGGCCTTTAGAAATTCGGCTTTATACTTATTTACTCTCTGAGCGTTAATTTATACAACAGACAAAAAATTGTTTAGAACAAAGCTACAAAAGTTTAGGTACAAATGAACTTATCATGGTCTAATTTTAGTGTTGTCATTGCCAACAATAATCGGTTGCTAACACCAAACAATTGTGTGCATATATTATTTGTATTAGAAATCTATATTTTTATAGCAAAAATATAAGTTTAACCATTACAGTACTTAATTTATTGTACAGTTCTAACGAAGCGTAAAATATAATCACAAATATATTTTAAATAAGATTAAATGAACATTATGTTATGCAATCTCTACATCTTCGATTATTTCCTAATAGATTGTATAGTAATTAATATATGTAATAAGTAATTATGCCACACAACACACTAAGTGCCGGGATCTCACGATAGGATACCATGTGTTAGGAAAAACCGGGCAACGAACACCTGGGGGCACTACCAAGGATACCTAACTCCGAGCTAGTTCAGAAATGTTCGTTTACTTAATTATCCCGACTGGGTATCCAATCTGGGATCTTATTTTAAACAAAGCAACATACCCAACACTGCACCTCTGAAGGTCGTTTTACTGCCAAACTTTTAGGTAGGTATTGCGATATCTACCTCAAGCTTTACAAATCTTTTAAGCAATTTTTGTAATCATGTGCAGAAATCTATCTTTTCTATTGACAAAAAAGACAGAATTAGTTTCTAAAATAACCTATAACATATAGTCATTATTGTTGGCAATACGATGCGGTCACAGATAAAGATATTTATTTTATGTATAAAAATACTTACTATTAATTATACATACTTATTATAGAGCAAATAAATTTAGTTTTATTATTAGTATCGATCTCATTTTATCAGTTGGAACTATATCTAATTATGCTATAATAATATTAACAAATTATAAAGTAAAAATATTTGTTACGTTGAGAACGCTATTTTTATTTAAATAAATATGACGAATAGCTTATACGAATAAGGTTGCTAATTCCAGACAAAACCAAATCGGTCAGGGTTGTTTGTAAGTAGATATCTAAAGAGTTATTTTATTGCATCAATAAAAAAAAAAAATAGTTACTATAATGTTGTTTTAATTTATTTCACTACAGAGACCGTCCATGTAGAAACTTTGCCGATTTATTCTTTTTTACTGAATAAGGATTCAGAATTAGCGAAAATATACCGTATCATGGACCAAATACCTGAGAAGAATTGAGAAGCTTCAGAAGTCTGTTGAGCTAGAGTATGTTTTTATATGTATTACGCTAAGTTCTTAAAATAACATGGAAATGGTATGCGGTAACTGAAGGATATCGCATTTCTGTTAGGAATGTGTTAATAACAATAATAAAATAAAAGACAGTGTATTAATATTCTTTAATGCTGTTTTTCAGGACAATTACAACAACAATAATCGAATAATTAATACCACATTCTAATAGTAGAAAAGCTGTAAAGTGGAAATAGTCACATTATCCAAATTGCAGTGCACAACTGGGTATTCAAAAAGTATTGCAACAATAGTAGGCATACGCATTTACGTTCTAGCTATAACAATTTCTTTACAATATTGTCAGGTCTGATTTTGAATATTCCTAAAATTGAAATCCATTAATTGTACTTGGCGTGTCTTTTCAATGTAAGACATAAAAGTAGATACTAATCAGTAGAATCAGTATTTTAAAATATCACAGACACATTTATAAGCTAAACAATAAGCTATGAAACTATATTTATACTTACTGTCAGTCATCATGGTACATAAAAAAAAATTAAAACTAATTAGATAGTACGGTATACTAACTCTATGGATTAGATATCAAATGCAATTTTATTAACTCTTTGCACTCCAGTCTAGTATCATTATTGGTATACTCATAGAGGATACCAATAACTCATTAACTTATCAATAACTTATTATAATGTATACATAATAAACATATGATAAACACTATAAGATACACATAAACGATTTCGCTTACCTAAGTATTAAGGGCGCTAAGTCAGTAAAACAACCAGGTCGCTGTAGCCGCGACAGTGGATGTAATGTTAACATTTTAATGTCGCAAATATGGCGTCAACGGAGTGCAAAGGGTTAATAAGTGTTTACAATCGAACCTATATGAGATCAATATAATTCAAATCGGCCAGAAATAATAAAGTTTATAGTTAAGTAGGTCTAGTTAACTAATAACAGTTATTCTTAATATATTTAAAGAATAAGTTCAAACCAATAAAAGGTTCCTATGGATCTGTATAAGACGGTCGACCATCCTGCATTTTGCGTTGTTGCAGTTAGAATCCCGCATTGCAATATTTAATAAAATAATACCGCAAATCGTTCCGCATTCCTATATTTTTTATTTGTAGATTCTTTTCCCATCACCTGGCATAGAAGTATTTCATATATATGGTTATATATATTAAAAAACCTATACATGCTTAGATTATATAAATGTTAAAAACAGACATCGTGTCTTAAAAATAGGTAATTTTTTTATCAGCTAATTATCCAATTAGACTATTCATTTTTTTAATTGTGTTCTATATACTTACGTACACGACGTATCTTAAAGTATCTATATTTAGGTAATATGTTTTCATCAGGTGAGATCATAACCAAACGAGGGATCCTTAAATAGTAAAAAAAAAATACATTTAATAAATAAAATGAGATTTTGAAAAGGTGCATTGAAAAAATGCAAAAATTATAAGACAAAAAAATAGAAATAATAAAGGAATAGTTTGTCACTGGTATCGTAAATTTTAAGGGTAAATACAATTATAAATATTAGCATCTTGCAGGTATACGAAAAAATTGCCAAACAATTGAATAAAATTTCCAAAATGAAGTAATTTTAAAAAATGAATATTATTTTAAATTTATTTGTTTTTTGTATATATATATGTTTTTTGCTTACATAACATTTATGTAGGTATATATATAGAGATATTATGAGTACTATGGAGACTTATATGTGATTTATATTAAATTAAATTACATTGTTATGACACAATACTTGAATTATTAATAAAAGAGCCACCATTCTTATCCAAATAAATTATTTTGTATTCAAAATTGTTTCAATACCTGCAGATTATTTTTGAATTTTTCAAATCGTAGGTATATTCCATACGAAAGATATTATCGAATATAGAAAAGGCGTTGTCCGCCCCCGCGCCGTGCCGGCCGCGTGGCTAGCTAGCCAGGCATTGTAGCGGTGTGGGAGAGGGGCAGGTAGGGGCGGGCACATCTATGAAATAAGTAACTAGCTAGTAAAATGTAAAAATGTCCACCCGTGCGAAACCGGGACGGGCCGCCAGTAATAAACAAATGACGAGAATCTCGTGAAAACCAAAACTGAAAAGGGAAAGTAATGAGGACTACCAGTCCTATTGATAACAATATACCCTGTCAGGTTGATCTCCACGTGGTCCTCCCTGGAAACCATCGTGCTGAATTTCAGGTGTATTAATCGTAATGGACTAACTGATCTGCCTTTTCATTCTCATCTATCATCCATTACTGGCGGCCTGCCAGCATATACCGCTGGCGTAGGCAGGATTAACATTCCTTTATTATCAATTAAAAAAACACCTCAGACGATTGAGATTCCGAGGCAGCTTACTCCCGGGAAAGTTGCATGAAGTGGTGCTCTTAGATACTACCCGCATTGTACGCCGGTTTCTCTCTCTGAGGCCCTTAATGCCGGCTGACTATGTTTCTACCAGGGGTTAGAATGCCATCTATGTGAATTTTGTTTAAAAATAAATAAATAATGTAATTGAATATATAAATAAAGTTAAATATTATAAAGGATTAAAAAATATTAATAATGTTTTAAGTTAATTATGCCGTGTGGTCCCGGCATAGAATGAACTACTCCCTCCTTTCCCGTGGGTGTCGTAAGAGGAGACTAAGGAAACTTAATGGGCAACAAGGCCCTTCTTTAAACATGACAAAATGCGGTTGCCAAACCGCCTGTTTCACGTGGCAACTATTGATAAAACTCTCTTTATGAGAGATGCTTATGTTCAGCAGAAGATAAAGGCTAATAACAATGAAAAACGAAAGTACACGTATAAAAAATTTTACCTGTTTTTTTTTCCAAGCATGACTTAGATTATATAGATAGTGCCTCTTTTATATAATCTAAGTACATATATATGATTATATATAAATTTAATAAATAAATGTTGATTCAGTAGTTATTTATTTCTAATTTAAATGCGCCACCGATACATCTACAACCTTCTTGTGAATTATGTGGCCGCACACCTATTTCTACCTACAAGAGGGATCCACATTGATTTTTATAATGCTGGCCACTTTAGATTCATATGCAATAAAAGTCAAGCCGAAAAATCATGCTTCACCGGATAAAACCGTGCTCGCTAGACGCTTGACAAGATTAAAATTAATCATTATTTCTTAATGCAAAGATGTTGAAAATAAAACGTTATGAAACTACCCCAAATATATTATTTGAGATTTCGCGACGTCAACTCTATGAATGTTTATTTGCTTTCCATGTTAAATTATAAAAAAAAAATAGCAACACTCGTTAATTCTTATAATTTGAAAATAATAGCTATAACAACATTGTAATTACCCAGGTAATACAGATTACTACGAGTAGGTTCCCAGGGCGGATAAAATAATTACAAAAAAAAACTGTTTTAATGTAATAACTACCGGTTTAAAATGTTCGATACAAAAGACGAACTTAATGCTTTATAGCATTATCTCCCATCCAATATTTGGAAAAACAGAAATGTATGCTGTGAAAATATTGAAAATGTGCAATAAAAGAAACATGTTGATTAAACCAATCTTAGAATAAAGAACAACATAAAAATTGCTCAATCTGTTTGAAACATAAATTAAGAAGAGTTATACGATATATTTAAAAACCACGGACTCACTAATAAAAAGCTCAACTAGTTTCGGAATCAATTCTTGATCCTCAGGAGTGACTGTGACGCGAGTACGAGTCTGAGCCAAGGCATGCAGTCAGGCTCATGCTCGCGTCATATTAAGTTAAATCGGTAGTTATTAAATTAAAATATAATGTGTGCTTACGACATTTTTAACAATAAAATTTTTACTGTTGTCCATACTTTTGTGTTGGTACAAGGCGAATGGTTGTGAAATATATAAATATTAGACTTGCTTAGAAAAAAACTATATTTTGAGATAAGAATCTACAAATATTGGATTATATAATATACACACTTTTAACAAACATTCAGTCTATCAACAGACCAAATAAAACATCAGCAGCAGTCTTAGCAAATGTTTAGGTATTTTTAATGACGGGCAGGCAAGAAATTTGAGCGAAATTTCGCAGGCAATACGTCTGCTGTAGTAATTTCTTCTGTCACTGGTAAAGTGCCTACCTGCCAATAAAATTTTATGGCAATTATTACCGTTTGCCGATGTAATATGGCTATCGCACATTTCCGGTCTTTCCTGAATTTCACAGTCATTAGAAAATTGTAATTTAGCCTATAGACATTTATCTCAAAAACTAATAGTTAACATAAACTATTTTACATTATTACATTTATGTAACTATTAGAATGTAATTCCTACGTCTATTTAAAATGTATCGTTATTACGTAGTTACTAATATAGTACAACAATATTTTTTTAAGTAAATAAGCTAATCAGTCTTCATATAAAAAAAAATTAGGAAATTTTGAATATCTTTAGTAAATATAAAATGAAATATTCAATAAAGATCAAACTATTTCCTCCATCTATTTTCTTGAATTATCACCATCTGTAAAAAATGAACAGATAAATAAATAAATATTTTTACAATGTTATTATTCTCATCGCTGTCATATAAATAATATCGTTGCATTTTTAGTCGTGTGTATTGGTTCCGTATCTTAAATAAGGCTTTCAAAACTAAAGTCCTACATAACTTGCTTAAACCTTCAGATTCAGTCGCCTATGAAGTAAAAAAAAACCTTGTTGTTACTATATAAGTACCTATTATCTTTACGGTCTAGCCAATTTTTATTTTTGGTATTTTGGATGACTGTATAGTGCTATATTAGTATGACAATCACGGCGTTGAAATAGAGTCTATTTTATAATACCACGCATCACATTGTCCAGTCCAAAGCTAACGTATACAATATAAAAAGATACACCAGATCACTCAGAAAGTATTGCGAGAAAAAGTTTTTATGTATGTGAGACTGGCCAGTTATAATTTATTTAAAAATATGAATACTTATAAATAAAAATAGGTACGTTCTAAATTCAAAACTTCCCTTCACATTTTTTGCGAGCTAATTAAAATTACCATGTCTCATTGAAAAACGGATTTGCGTCGAGAACATTTTCGCGCTATGATTTTTTACGATTTTAAGTGTCGCCTGAAACCGGACGAATCGTACAATAGACTTCAAATGGCATTCATGGTTGAAGGCCCTTCTAAAGCAACCGTGTATCGTTGGTATAATAAATTTAAGCGCAGTCGACTAATTTTGGAGGATGAAGAAAGATGAAGGCCCTTCTAAGACAACCGTGTATCGTTGGTATAATAAATTTAAACGCGGTCGAGTAACTTTGGGGGATGAAGAAAGAACTGGTCGCCCATTGACGGCTGTTTTGGAAGAAAACCCGCTAGCAGTGAAAAACTTGATCCAAGACAATAGACGAGTTAGATACCAAGAGATTCAGCATATACTGCAGATTGGATCAGGAAACCTTCACGAGATTCTACACGTGCATCTACGGGTGCGGAGAATAGTTTCACGCTGGGTACCGCACAACCTCACCGATGTTCAGAAGCAGGCAAGGGTGGAATGTTGCCATGATTTGATAGATAAATTTGAAGCAGGCTCGTCTCGGCGTGTTTACGACATCATTACAGTGATTCCTGGATTTATCAATACGATCTAGAAATTAAGCGCCAGTTGGCGGTTTGGGTGTTTCAAAACGAATCAACGCCTACCAAAGTAAAGCGACCTAGAAGCGGGGGGAAGATTTTGATCGCGAGCTTTTTCAATTTGACTGGTTACTTGGTATCAATTCTTTTACGAAACCAAAGAAGCATTAACGGCGAATGGTATACTACCAAATGCTTGGCAGAAGTTTTCTCTGTTGTGAGCAACAAGCGACCAAACACAGGGCTTCGCAGGCTACTGCTCCACCACGATAATGCGCCTGCCCACACCGCAATCAAAACAAGGGACTTCCTAGACAGCACACCGGTCAAACTCCTGGATCACCCTCCTTACAGCCCTGATCTAGCACCGCGTGACTTCTTCTTATTCCCAAAAATAAAAAAATCAACTCAAAGGGATACAATTTTTATCGCCGGATGATGCGTTCTCAGCGTTCGAGCAGGCCATAACGAGGTGTCTGCGACGAACTGGAAAGTGTTTCGAAAACTGGTTTAGACGCATGAAACTTTGTATAGAGGCTAGTAGAGAGTACTTTGAAAAGATGTAATTACAAATAAAAATATATTTACCTATAGAACATTTTTTTAGTGTCGCAAAACTTTCTGAGTGTTCCATGTATTTTGCAGTACCTACATATGGATAGAATGTCCAATTGAGCATGGATCTTTCGTAATTTCATAATTTTTTTTGATGCCAAATGGGCTTTTTATTATCATACTTTATAATTTATTATGAAGAATTAATCTTATATACCTACAGTAGATAATTCTTCTGAGGATTAATCTCGTTATTCGTCAAACATTAAAAAATCCAAATTATGCTATAAATTTAGTTTCTTCTTGGCAATACTTTCCTTATATCCAAGATTAACTAAATTATTAATAATATAATAAGTCCATTGTTTTTTTGATGCATCTATATGTATTTTTTAACATTAGACAGACGTGTTATAGAGAACACGTGACACTCACTGACATTGGTTATATGACAATACTTATGGACTGTTTCAGTTTCAATAAGGATTAAGCCAGCCCAGTTTTGTAAGCACGTACGTCGCAAATAACTATCAAAACATTTACAAATTGATACTTTACCTTATGGTGATCCTGCGTTTTCTTCAGTACAAACCTGTTTCTTTTTCTTCCTTAAATACCTTTCTTATATCTGATGAAATATTTGGTTCTTTCGTCTTCCACTGCAAAATTTATTAATAATAAATTTAATAAATAATAAAAACACTATACATAAAAATAAATGAATTAAGAAAATTAACCTGTTGTAAATAAATTTACTTATAATTGTACTCTTATAAGCAAACGATATTTTATATAAAAGAAAACAATAGATGTCCTGTTGTTAACTTTGATGCTTTGCCTTAAACAGTTATCTATATATTTACGGCAGAATAAATATGTATTTACTTATCAATCAATCAATCATCTTTATTCATATACATCTGTTACAGATTCTTATGATACGTCATTTTACAATTATAATAATTACTATATAAAATAATATTAATTTAAAAAAATTACAATAATTACATTTACAATACAATTCACATTAATACAATATTCAAATCCATGCAGTTTTGTCATTTAGATAGTCATTTATTTTAAAATATGCTTTTCTACAGAGAGTCTTTTTTATACATATCTTAAATTTTCTTTCATTTAAATGTAAAACGTCATCTGGAAGTGTATTATAAAAATGTATACAGTTCCCCATGAAAGATGTACTGACTTTTCTAAGGCGATAACAAGGAACATTCAATTTGTTTTATTTCTTGTATTAAAATTATGTGTGTCACTGTTATTTTTAAAAAGATTTATATTTTTACGTATATACATAATGTTTATGTATATATATTGCGAGGGAACAGTAAGTATACCTGTTTGCTTAAAATATTCTCTAAGAGATTCACGAGAAGGCAAATTAAATATTGACCGAATCGCTCTTTTTTGCAGTACAAAGATTGTATCAATGTCAGCAGCCCTCCCCCATAATATAATGCCATATGACATGATACTGTGAAAGTAACTAAAATACACAAGCTTAGCTGTTATTGTATCAGTTAATTGTCGGATTTTTCTAACAGCATAAGCAGCTGAACTCAGCCTGCTGGCCAATTCAAATATTTGGGATATATATATATGGGAGCCCCATTGCAACTTATAATCAACTACTATGCCAAGAAAAGTGGTTTTTATCTACAAAGTCTAAATCCTGGTGGTCTAATCTAACAGCAATATTCCCTTGCTTAGTATTGGATATGGAAAATCTGATACATTTTGTTTTTTTTTTTAATTAAGTACTAGATTATTTGAAGTAAACCATATCAAAACCTTCGACAGAGCTTTGAGATATTGTCTTCTTAAATTTATACAATATCTCAAATCCTTTCTTACAACTTAGGATCCTTAAGTGGGGGGAAGGGATTGTTAGTTGGCTCATCGTGAGGAATTCTGCAAGAATTAATCACTATGGTTTCTAGAGGGAACCACGTGGAGGCCGACTTGATAGGGTATATTGCTAGCAATAGGGATGTTAAACCCCATTACTAGTAAAACCTTTCCCCCAGGCAATGCAGGTTGGCAACCGTAGTTAGACAACCATTCCATTATCAGCCAATAAAAAAAAAAAACAAGATATAAGTTGGATACATTGAAGGCTGAAAAGGATTGCGAAAGACCAGCCAATATTTTATATACTTACAATATTATGCTGCAAATACTCAAAATTTAATTGATGATCTGTTTTTAGTTCACTTTTTGAGTCTACCACTCGCCATTTTAATTTCATATGTTCAGGTATATTGACTGTTTGAGATAAAACTCTGAAACAAAATTTTAAAATAGTAAATTAGGCATCACTCGAAGAAGTCACAGTCAATAATCTAAGTAGGCATGAAATTTTTATAATCTTAATATCTTAATTTTATAATCTTATATCTATGCTTAGGTAAGTCTAATATCACTACAATAACAGATATTGGCTCAATATAAATCTAAGGTATTTGCTGCAAACAAAAGCCAACTTAATTCAAGACTAACTTAAGAATAAAATTTTTTTTGATAATCTTTATTAAATTTATAACATTCATGATCAGTTAATGAATTACTAGATGACGAAAGGTCGTCCATTAATTTCGTTTTACTATCTTTCATTATTACGGCTTTTAGCTTATATTATGTCTGCCAGATAGATTCAGTCGAACAAATCATGAGGGATGACTTGCTCATCTATTGAATGAGCTACGTAACATAGAAATTTCATAATTAAAACAATAAGTAATTAGATATCATAGATATTAGATATCTGTAATAGCCAATATTATGAATTTTGATCTGGTAATATATATATATATTAGCACAGGTCTCGTTGGTTGTTTACTTTTTATTGAATACTATTAACATTCCACTAGCTGTGATAATATTTTAAATGTGAAAGTTTGTTAAAATGTTTGATTGTTTAGATTTTTGTTAATTAAACACTTACCGGTTTTATAATTTGATACATAGATGGCCAGGCCATAGCTGAACACGTAGGATACTTTTTATCAAAATGTACATAAATAGAGTCGCGAATTATAATTAGCAAACTATGCCTTAAAAAATACTTACTTATTAATTTTAGAAAAGGCGACGTCTTGTACATAAAATTCGCTAAAATTTAATCCAGGAATTTTGAAGCTTAAAAACTTTTTTGAATTTCTTTTTGCTACTATCCAACCTACTGTTAAAATATTCTCACATTCTATCCATACTTCCTTACAGTCGTTAACATTTGAATTATATTTTGCATTATCTTCTTCTTCGTCATCAGAAATTATAAAAACGTCATCCTTATCATTCCTTACATTACTAGACAAGAATTTAAAAATGTCTTTATTTATTTCTTCATCAGCATCAATTGAGTCGGGTGGTTTTGACATTTTTATATTATTCATTATTCTTTCGTTTATTTCTTCTGGTTTTAAAATAAGCATGCCAACATCGCTTGTCACATTTCTTTTTTCTGAAGGTTTATTAAATTCTGAATACACTTCAGATATTTGTATAGGAAGCGGATCATTTGTTGCCACTGTTTCATGATCATTGAGTTCTGATAGCATACTATCTTCCATTAATATTGCATCTGTTTTATCATTCACCGCACTTATTGTAGATTCAGAACAAGTATTTACATCTACAGGCAAATTTATACTTAGCAAAGATCGCAATGTTGGAACGTTTGGGCTTGTATTAATTACTAAACAATTATTTCCCAAAAGTGAAGTCTTCTTAGCATCTAAGACATTATTTTGAGGGATAACTTTATTAAGCAACGAAACAGATTTCAATAGTTGTTCTTTCTTAATTTTTATAGGTTTAATAATACGCTGACCTTTCATAAAAGAATCTAATTCTAATTTATTGGTATCAGCTGCCTCAATACTATTATCTATGTTTATTTTAGGACGATCATCTCTATAAGCGTCGCTTTCTAGAGGCATAATTTTTTTATCTATAGATATGTTATCTGGCATAAATGATAAAGGATTGTCAATGACTTTGAAATTATCAATTTTATCAGTAGTAATCCAAAAACCTCTAGTCCTTTTTGGTTTTGGAACATCTGATACAGTTTTGACTGTTTCAACCCCTAAAGGTTCATTAGGTTCATAAGGGCCAACAAATACACAATACTCATTAGTGTATGGAACAGCATATATACCAAATTGCGGATTACTATTTTTGTCCGTACATTTTTGAGAAGATAATCGAACTGTTTGATTAGCCTTTCGTGCTATACTAATAGCTCTTATGATACTTTCGTATTTTACGAAAAATCCTCTATTAAAAAATTGAATCTCACTAAAGTCATTTTCGACCGTCATTACAAACCATTTTGATGATTCTGGAGTACTATTAGAATTTTCAAAGTTTGTTGAATTACTTATATTTGGCGAAGTAGTATTTTTATGAAGAAGTTCAAATTCACTTTTATCTTTATCTGGCGTAGTAGGTTCAGACATTTTACTCGAGGAATTATTGGAATCGTCCAAATATTTTAAAAGTTCACTATTGTCACATGATAACATACTTTGATTCGTTTCTCCTTCAGCACTGTTGTTGCTAGTTTCACTCATTTTTGTTACGGATCCAACTAATTCCCAACATAGACTTAAACCACATAATATACAAAAATTGTCTTTCAAATCAGTTGCGTTGGTAAGCAAATTTTTGATTGTTATAGGATATTTATGAAGATCAGCAAATCGAATATCATCAATATTGATACATTCTAAGAAAAAAGGATGCTTTGTATCTACCGCCATGAATATACGATATGGTTGCTGCTTCGAAATTAAAAAATGATTTTTTCGTTCTCTATATCTACTTAAAATAAACTCCCAGGGATGTAAAACTATTTTATTAGGCTTAGGAGCTTGTAAAGTAGTACTAACAATACCTTGTTCAGCACGCTTTTTATATTGTTTGTAACTATACTCAAGCCAAGCTATTAGCTTGCTTTTGTTCATTGTACTATCCACTCTAGATCTGACGCTACTAGGTAAAACATTGTTTTCAGACAAATCATCAGAAGACAGTTTATCTCTATTTTTATCCGAGGGTCTTGTATCGCAAATGATAATTGTATCCTCTATCGATGTTTTATTACTCGTCATACACACATTATAATTGTTACTCGTCTCACTTTGAATACATAAATTAAGTAGTTTTTTACTTAAATTAAGATCATTTTTCTCTAATTCAAAGATTTTATGATTAGCATTTTTATAGTAGCCATTGCTGAATTTCCTTCCATTATACGGGTTCACACGGGCACAACTATCATATGAGTACAATATTTCATTCGAATTTGAAGTTACAGAATTATTTTCACAATTAGAATCTTTACTCAATCTCTGCGTTTCTTCGATATTTTTGATTCGTTCCGATCGTAATCTTGGTCGTGTTATGTTATTTAAATTAGGCTGATGACAATTTGATAAGTTACTTTGTAAGCTATTATGTATATGAGATGTTTCTTTATCTTTTGAAACTATTGATTCAGTGATGTGCGTATCATGTGATGCTGCCAAAAGATATGAACTACTTGTAATCTTTCCTTTACAAAAACATTTATATAAATTATGCACCATACACCAAGGCTCAATATTTTCACAATTAAGTTTCATGTCAACTATAAATAAAATAGGTTCTTTTTTAGTTTCTGTTTTTAAACACATACTGCTGTAAAAATCTGCATACTTTTTTGAAGTTTTCCAGTTCCTTTTTCGAGACTTTAGTAAAATACTTTTTTCTCCGGTAAAAACAACAGTTTGATGGAATTTCTGTTCTTCCTTTGCTAAATTTAAACTCATCGCGTTGTCTAAATTTATCAAACCTGGTAAAAATTCGGGATAGTCACTGTCGAAAGTATCTGTTATCTTATATTTTGAGAAGTCACATTTACATTCAAACATACAGTCTATTCGACCACAATGATTTTTAAAAATAAGAGGACATTTTAGCGATGCGCAAATACATCCCAATGTACAATATGAATTTAAACATGTTTGTGATGTAAATTGTTCCGAATTTTCCGGTAATGTTATAATAGTCACATCAAGTCTATCCAATTCACCGTATTTTCTTTTAGTTTTATCCTTGGATAAAAAATTTTTAGTATTGCTAGATATAATGACAGGAGATGCACTTCTAGGGGTTTCTATGCCCGTATACATATTGTCCTGAGTAAGGCTAATTTCAACAGTATCTAAAATACGTTCAACTACGGTTTTGACATCAGGTAAGATATCATTAAGGTTTTTTATTCTGGTTTGTGATTTAAATTTATTTTGATCACGCAAATTGTTACAATTATCAATGTCTCTTCTCATAAGTATTCGATGTTGATCATATTTGTAACTCAAATCGAAAGTAACGGAGTTTTCCTCGTGTTGTACAGGATTGGAATTTTTTATCGTTCCTAACACAGACACTGAAAACTCAGCCCACTTTTTGGATATTAAACCATCTACATCTCGTAAACTATTTAGAAAGTTTGTAATTGTAGGTTCTACAGAGCAACCATAGCTGGGTTGAATATCTAAACCAGGTTTTGGTAAATTAACTAATTCTGTACTACCGACATGATACTTCTGATACGAATCGTCAAGGTATTTTTTTAGTCTCAATGGACCAGGTTTAAATTTTACAGTTAATGAATTTTGCAGAAGTCTCTTCTTTTTATTTATAGTTTTTTTAATGCCTGCATTTGGTTTTAAAGATTCCTTATTTCGTCCTAAATCATAATTATAAATAAATTTGTATCTTCCACCTTTACTACCATTTACTTGTATACATTTACCATTCCATAAAATGTATTGAGTTGGATGAGCGTGCTTTTCTGGATTAATATTAACTAACATTTGCCATGACGACCTAGATATAGGATTGTCAGAGTTGAAGATGTCTTTCGCCAATTGAATTGTACTTGGGTCTTTAGAAGAACCAGTTCTTATTTTTCTTAATAAAACTTTTTGTTGTTTTTCCAAATCGTCAGATAAATAATGGTATACGTCTTTTTCAAATAAACTTCTAATATCTCTAACAGTTTTTACTTTATGTTTATTATTTTTCTTTGGCTCATAATGTTTATCGGTTCTTGGTTGAAATTTACAGGAATAACTTTCTTTAATATTCAAGGACGATATAGGTTTAGCAGGAGTTATATTTATCAATTCGTAAAGACCGCTGATTTCCTTTTGTTGTCCTCTGGTAATTTCTGAAGAAAATACTTTCATATTTTTCTCCATATTATCTGTAATAGAATTATAAAATTGACACATTATACAATATGAATGAAATAAAAGAAACAATTGCGACTGATTCTGAAATGTTCTATTTTAATCTAATTTCACAATTTTCTATTCTTAGAGTTAAGAAAATTATACGTATAGGTTATATATAATAATAATAATGTATTTTGTATCAGTATGATATCAGATAAGTATGATATGATTTTTTTTAGATTGGCTAATTTTAAATAAAACATAAAATTTCAGAATCAGTTCTATAAACTTAACAATAAAAATAAAAGCGAGCAATAGTATATTATTAGTTAGAAATTCAAGTAAAAACATTTTGTGGCAAGGGTGAAAAGTAAATAAGTATACTTAGTACGGTGAAACGGATGAAAATCTGATAATTTCCTTACGTAGGTACATAGTTAACATTTATTATATAAATCTCAAACTGAAGATTAAAAATTGTATTTTTTTTTCAGGATTTGTATAAACAAATAAAATTAAAAATACATTTTCTATTCTGTTTTGCATTTTGCGGCCCGTTCAAACGCTTTTTTTATAAAGACAATCTTTTGTAGGTGATTTTGTTATGAAAACTGACACTGTGAAAATAGGGTTATAATGAAGTCAATGTGCTGTGCAGAAATTACGTTGTTTTGACGTTTCTCGCAGCCACGTGTTTTTATCAAGGCAGTGAACACTTCTCGCGACCATTTGGTACTGATAACATATTGCTGCATTCGATATTAGAAGTTAAAATTCAAGTAAAACTACTTTGATTTTAACTTTTAAATATAAGCAAAAGTTTTGAATGCTCTTAATTATAATAGATGATACGTATTATGCACAGGCTGTTTGCCGTTCCATTATTTCTACCTACCTCAAATGACGATAGACGTAATAAATGATTGAACAACAATTTTATTATGTAAATATAGATATATGTATGTAGTGTCCATTCACGTCAATACATCGCTGCATCCGATAGAATCACTGAAAAAAGCACTTTGCCCACTCGTCCTTAGGAATCTCTTTGACGGCCTTCTGAAACGTAGTCACAAATTCCTCGGCGTCCATAAAACGTTTTCCCCGAAGTTTTTTTTTTTATTTTTCGGAGTAAATAAAAATCGCAAGGTGCGAGGTCGGGACTATAAGGCGGATGGCCCAGTAGTTCTACGTCTGAGGTCGCCAAATAATCGATCGTTTGCCTGGCGGTGTGCGACGAAGCATTGTCTTGATGAAGGAGGATCCTACTGCGAGGTCATTTCTCACGCACTTTTTCCAAAATTTTCTCGTGTTAAGTTCATGATAGCGTTACAGAGACTATTTTCACTTTGTCGCCAAACCGTAAAACAAATGACAAACGAATAAATTATATACTCAATATTATTCGTAAAGAGTTCTATTTTCAAAATTTTAACAATTTTTTTATTATATTGCTTTCAAGTAGCTAGTTCTAAAAATTTTCAGTGTAGCCCTCGTAGTCTATTATTTTAATTTAATTATCTTCGCAGGACAGACAAATGCATAGAATCACGAAATTTACAAATTATTTGTGACGTTATTGCTGTATTTTTAAATTCATTTTATAATTTACAATATTTTATAGAGTGCCACCAAATTATCTATATTCCCATAAAATGAATATAGTATTATATATGTGTGTATGTATAATGTAAAATACATTAGTATCACATGTATGTTATTTTTGAATTACTGTTTTCATTTAATATTGTTTATTACGTTGCATTGAAACCACCTTGAATCTTACTCAACATTCCATCGGAATATATATATACATATATATATACATTGGATTCTAATCAAAAAGAACGTAGTTTATGCTTGAATGGCAATTTATTTGTTATTTAACTTATTTATTTACTTGAAGCAGATTTAATATCAAAAGGTAATGCATCCCGGTGCTTGATAGCCTGAATGGCGAAAGAAACTGAGGAAAAACCAGTGTAGTGGACAGTAACATATAGGAGATTTCTAGAAGATCGAAGACAACGGTTACTAATATCGCCGTGAAATTTAAATTTAGACTTTAGGTATTCAGGAGAGTTTGTATCGTATAAAATATAGTAGAGAGTACTAAGTAGACGAACATTTCTCTGTCTGATGAGAAGCCATTTAAGCAGAGAACATCTTGGAAAAGAATCTGGCTGTCAATTAGATTATGTTCTGCGGTATTGTGGACTCGGTGGAAGCATTTAACAGAGCTATATGTAAGGAATTTTGGGACGTTCTTCCAGAATATGGGATCAAACTGATGCCAGACGGAGTTACTTACTATTAACCAGACTATTAATTTTGCATCTTGACATATGACTCAAAAAGTTGAGTCAGTTATGCAAACTCTAGTCATTATGATGAGATAATGAAATAAACCAAAGCTTATATTTGAATATAAAAAAAATACAAATAGAGAGTGGAATTTCTCAAATTGAAATTGATGAAATTTGTATTACAATAGTACGTAATAGGTTTAAAAAACAATATTGATAAAAAAATTAAAAAGGGGTTGCTACATTTTTTTAATGAATGATAATGGAATAGTAACCTCACTTGCACTATTTGTATACAATGGAATAGAAATGAAGGACGAAGGGCGAGATAAAAGCAGATCAGTTGGCCCATTTTGAAGAATTTATTAAGAATTAACACATCTGATAAATTATTCAATAGCAACATAACGACGTTTGGCTAAAACATAACGTATAAAGTGACAATCCTGTACCAATATAAACTTTACCATTCCAACTGTCTTTCTAGCCGTCCTTATTTAAAAAGTATGGCGTTCCTATGTAGACCAACATCCGACCCTATTTACACATATGCAGTATCTATTAATCTCGTAAATCCAATATTATTATTATAATTATTAAAATTAGTAAATCCAATTATCAAGGATAAAATATTTTGATTTTTATACAGAAAGTACACAAAATCTTGACTTATATGAATTGCAACTCCAGATAGAATTAAATACTTCACTAATAATACTCCTAATAAACATACAATTTGTTTTTGAATTATACCATAAGTTTAGAAGTCAAACAAAAATTGAAATGCGATAACTTAATTAGAATATAATATTTATGCTAATCTACAAAACTTCACATTGTAATGGTGTAAAGAATGAGAAATTAAATATTCTACTATTACGTAAAACAGTTAATAGTCATATATGAAGTGGATAATATTTTTTTTAAATATCCCGATTTCTATTGACCCCAGTTTAGGAACTTGCGTGCTTGCCAGCGTTTCTGTTATTCTGTACCAGTGACAGTTGTCAGCATACGTTGAGTCCATCACATCTGTTCGTGTTGCATCATTGTCCCATCTGTTACTAAATTTATTCAATATGGCCGACAACCGAATTTGCTTATCGCTCATAATTCTGCACTCATTTTTATATCTATTTAAATCATGGTCAATACATGTTTAAATAACTAAGTAAACAATATAAATTATAAAAAAGTATTTAGAAGAGATTAAGATATACGTATTTCATAGATTATATTCATTTTGATTAATTTTATAAATGAACATCACATTCGTTTTGCGGTAATATTATCGTTATACTGACGGTAAATTACTGACTAAGATATTCTGTAATAATCGGTACATACAGCATTCCATTTATTATGAAGTGCAATATGTTAATATGCTTTTAAGGTCTCGGATTTCCACAAACAAATACAAAACAATTTATTAAATACATAGTGTGAATTATTAAAGTCAACGATTATCATTATTTTTAGTTTTATATACGTACTGTGGGCACAGTTATATAATTACCAAATATCTAAATACCTACCTCATATATTTTATTGAAATAAATTTGCAAGATAGATTTTTTACATAGGTATTTACTTTCGTCTTCATATCAAAAAATGTTAAACCAGTTTTACGCAATTTGTAAAAGGAGTAGTTACTAAGTCGCTTGTTGAACTTCGCCAATTTTGAAAATTTGTTTTATAATAGAAAGAGTAGAAACCCTTTCGATTATAAAAATAATACGTAAAACGTCGAAACGTACGAAGTCTTTTTTGCAGAGAGATAAGAGTTTTTTGAGAGAGCCGCTTGTTGTACCTACTATAATTATGATTATATAGGGTTAGGTGGATCAATAACAAAGTTAAATAACAATAAAATCACAAAGCGAAAACATTTGGCAAATAAAGATGGCGGAGAATGGTAATAAACGTTTATTTTATTATAAAGCTGTAAAAACTTTATTTTAATATTTAATTTAAAGTTGAGCTCAATATTAAAATTAAGAGAAAATAATTGCACCTACCTTATAAATTTAATTTCGGTGCAAGACCATTTTCACCATTTGAAGATGTTTTGAACACAAAATGGCCGCTGACTTCTAAGCCACGACACATTTTTTTTTTTTTATATACTTACTATTAAAAATCTAACGAATCTAAATCTTCAACATTATAATAAAGAAGTAATATATATATGCATCCAATAACTTGTTTAAATTTATTCTTATTTTCAAAAATTTTTGTTGTAATATGTAAAAAAATTATCAGAAGTAGAAGAATCCTTATACCTTTTCAATGCATGCATCGTTCAGAAACTGTAGTTCTAGCAGCTGATTCAAAATTTGGTGACATTTGTAATTTTTAATTAAGTAAAAAGAAGTGGCTACATTTCAATTTACAATACATTTCATTTTATTAAGTATTTATATAAAATACGATTTCTATTCTTATCGTAAACTTGAAATTACAAAGGGTTATCAAATATCTAAATAGAATTGCTGTTAAATTTCTGAACATATCTGTCAGTCACGTATTGCATTATTGTTTTTAAATTATTATTTTGGTAAAGTCTGTTATTTACAATAATAACGTAATATAAATCCTTGACTGAAAGATAGAATGCCAAATGCTAAGCACCCAATTAAGTCAGGTACCTAAATAGATATACAATTTTATTATACACCGTTTGTGGTCAACACATGTTTGTCATGTGAACATTAATTAGATACGTAGGTAAGTATACTAGGTTAATACATGTATGATTAAGTTTTGCAAAACTATTATGGTAAATAAAATATGAATGCATATCCAATTATCTCATATATAGTATGAATGCACAGTGTATTTTTAGGTTACCGAATCAAAAGTACATAAGTAGATGCGCCTTCAAGATTCTTTTGTACACAAAAGTACAAAGAAACCCTTAAGATATAACTATCTGTCCGAGCGTCTATCACAACGTTATATCTCAGCAACTAGTAATACCATGGATTCGAAATATAAAACAATTTTACATATTGTTGGCCTACTCATATTAGTCGATAGGAATAATTGAAAAGTTTTTTCAGTGAAGTCCAAAAAGGGCACTCAAATTTTATAATGGGCCTACTAGTTTAAATGGGTTTGTATACAAAAGGGCATCATATGAAATTTTCAAAATTGATTTTTATTTACTTTTACGTGTAATTTTTTACTTATTCATTCTTTTCTTGTCTGAAGTTTATGAAGCGAAAATCTAAAATAATTAAAGTTTATAAAGGTATAGCACTATTTTAAAAAATCATCAAGAAATTTCTACAATCTAGTTAGGAATGCAGTCTAGTTTTTAGCCAAAATTATGACCCAAATAAGTTGACATTATGAACTGCAATATCGATAATAAAAAATATTAAGTCTATTTCGTATAAGAAACGCAATTCTATATTGGTGTGTTTGTAAAGCAAGATATACATTTATTTGAAAAGGCTTATGACTTACTAGAAATACTAGAAATCTTGATAGATTAGTATTACACAAATACTTTTATTGACGCAGTGTATATAAAACTGTCAAAGTATGTGCATTTTTTTTTTGATGGGTGAAAATGGTATGGTAATCCCGCCTGCGCTAACGGGATACGCTGGCGGAGCACCAGTGAAGGGTGATAGATGAGAATGAAAACAGGCCAGTTAGCCCATTATGATGAATTCATCAGGAATTAACCATGATAATTTCCAGGGAGAACCGCGCGGAGGTCGACCTGGTTGGATATATTGCTAGCAATGGGATTCTCAGTCTCCATTACTAACAATCCCATTCCCTCCAAGTATGTGCATTATAATTTATAATAAAATTCCAAATACGTTGCAAATGTATAATACAAAAATATTCAAAATAAAATTACATGAATCTTTACTTAACAAGTAAAGAAAAGTTTTATAATGTTATAATAATAATTAGTAACTGACGAATACTCAATTTTATTTATTTATTTTGCAATATAATTATCATATAATGAATTAATGTCAATTGTTTACTGACATTATTATATCAAATTTTGCATGTAATTGTTTTGGCAAAACATGCATGTACATAACAAATTATTACTACCGTGTATCTGTATATCGTGTTTTTGAGCAAATAAATTGTTATTATTATTAATAGAGGTCATTTTATCTTATTTCTATGTGCAATGTTTCCTCTTTGTGATATCGCAGTAGATAACTTAAAAATTTGAATAATTTAAAAATTGAAAATTTAAATAGCTGAACTTGGTTAGACAAATTTAAAAGTCGGTAAGCACGTCAATTCAGTTGAATAGGTACTTAAGGAAATATTTTGTTCAAATCAATAAATAATTTATGTTCACAAAAGTACACACACAAAGCTAAGAAGGATTCTCAATGTCGTGACGGTGAAGATCTCTCATATTATTATACAGTATTTGAATTAGTAAGGTCTAATAGCCCCATTGCTAGCAATATACACTAACAGGTCGACCGCCACGTGGTCCCCCTGAAAACCATCTTAGTAAATTTTTGATGATTTCGTCACGATAGGCCAACTAACCTGCTTAATCCTCACTTATCATACATCACTGGTGCCCGCCAGCGTATACCAATAGCGCAGGCAGGATCATTTCATTATCATCCATAAAACAATCTTTAAAACGCCTTTGTCCTTTTTGAAGAACCCCACCCTTATAAATTTTAACTATACACTATATAAAGTTGTTTGAACAGAATTATTTCTTTCAAAGAATATTAACCAGACGACACATGAGGATTAGTTATCAATATGTCTACTCCTTATTTATTACCTAATAATTAAAAAAAAGTATGCTAAATTTTAATAAAAAAAAATTTTGGCTATGCAGAAAACGGTGCTTTACAATCAACGCTATTTATATAGCTTGAGCCTTTGTTCCAGCTAAATAGTAGATAGTGTGAAGTATACGCATGACTACGTTAATTCGATTTTTCTAGATTAAAATATCAAAAAGCGCTTCACTCAATTGAAGCATTGAGATTTTACACGTACTGACGTGTACACGTTATACTACAGCTGTGGCTTTATTAAAACCATTTAGTATAATTTTCTACTAGTGTTTGTTTAGTGTATACTTTATCTGTTTACCTTTTTTATAGAGGGTATTTTCTTTTTTATAAGTGAAAATTAACCGCTAACATCGTCTGCGCTATCGTTATACGCTGATGGGGCATAAGTAAGAATGAAATCAGATCTGTTGATCCACCATCTTGTCCACGATTTTTGACATCAATTAAAAAACAGTTTTAATAGGGAACCACGTCGAGATCGACTTTACTGTTAGATCCCGTACTAAGAATCTTCACGGGGATTGTAACGAGTAAGTTCACTAGTGTTAAATATATACCTCGTCAATCGATCTTTATACAACGATTTCAAAGAGTGCCCCCAATATCTTTGTAAATTATTGTGGTTAATTACTAGTAATTTACCAGAATGGGCAATATTGACTAGTCTATTTTATTTTTAGGTAGGCATACGAGCACTGCCCACTTGATGGGAAGTAACTACCGTGGTTTGTGAACACTTGGGGGTTCCTTGTGCATTACTGGTCTTTTAAAGGCACGTTTTTTGAAAAGTTTTATACTGTAATGAACGGGGAAATCTTCAGAAGCTCTTTTCTGAAGTTTTCCCCATTCATTACAGTCATTTTATAACCCACATCCACGAGAGAGAACGAACAAAAAGCATGCACAGTGGTACTTTGCCATGAACCCAAAAATTTAGATGATAATGAATTATTTATCATTACTTACTAGTACCTCGCCAACGCATACCTAAAAAATTTATAAATAACATTCGAACGTATTTACAATTTTTACATTTATTCATATTAAGAATAGCATAATAATAATGGATGGATATGTTGTACATTCCAATTAATAATCATTCGAGCAAAGTAAAACTACAAAGTGATCATTAAGACTTTTATTAAAATTAATCTTTTATATCATATCCATAATGCAATTTACAATAGTAGTACAATGACTTGTCTTCATTTCAGCTTGAGTCTTCAATAGTTTTTATATTTATCTTCTCATTTTTGATTCATTCGACCGTCTAGTATAGCAATATTAAGGAAATTTGTTGAATAAAACATACAAAAGGGTTAATTCGTTATCATATTAAACAAAAATTTTAATTTTAGAGATAAGATGTGTCATTAAATGGTGCTTCAGAATCTATCCCAGTGTCGACAATGTAGTGTAAAATTGGTACAAAAATGGTCACTAGTAATCTCAAACGACTTGGTGATGAAACTGTTTAACAAACCTATAGTTGCAGTTTTGAATTTTGAAATTTAAAACACGGAAGATAATCGGATATCTTAAGCTTTATATTATTACTAGCTTTTGCCCGCGACTTCGTCCACATAGAGTTCGGTTATAGTGCAAACCCCCTTTTATATCTTTCTCTTACTCGAAAATGAAAATAAAAAAAAAAATCACATATTCAGGCTTCTATGCAAAGTTTCATTCTCCATTTCATTCCCTCGGAGGGTAGATTCTGAAGCGAATTTTTATAAATGTTGGAATACGTACTTTCTTCAAAATTTACAAATTGAATCAATAAAAATATAATAAATAAATACCTAGTTGTGAGATATAAATTGAAAAGGATATTGTTTGTCTCTTGGCTCCTCGTGAGAGCGATCCCGGAATGGCGATTTATCCTATGTAAAAAAATCGAAACAATTATTAGTTATTCTGCATTTGTATTAAAACATTTTAGCCAAAGATAAAACATGCATAAACCATTTTAAATACAGACAATGCGTCGTTAATTATTAAACTTTAATATTAAAGGGCACAAGGAATCACGCAGAAGTGCCATCTATCCAATGCTGCTATATGGGCGCTTAGGAACTTTCAATCGGCACATCAGCCTATCGGTAGGACTGATGGTTCACTTGGCACCTACAGCGATGTTTTTACCATCAAAATTTTTTTCCAGAGGCACAAATAAACTTAGTTGAGTCTAGGGTAGACAGACAGAACTCAGTCTTCTTAATAGTAATTACACTCTGGCTGACGTATGGAAGTACGGCTAAAGTTAACTTTAGCGCGTTTGGCAAGCGACCAGAAAATATGACAGTCAGGAGAGTCTCCTGTGAGTAGCTTAACAATTTTGCTCAATAAAGACAAACTTGACTTATTCAATCATTAATTAACACAACATTTATTATTATACCCCGAAGCAACTGGTAATTTTCATCTCGTATTAATGATGATTAGCTCTCGATTGCTATGTAATTATTATAATTTGCTTAGATAGTCTAGTTTCTCCATAAAAGTAATAAAATCGTAGCCTTGTTTTTAATCCCGCAAATAGTAATTTTGATATCGAAATATTCTATATCCAGTAGGATTGTTATAGTATGAGCAGCTGATTTAAGGATCTTGCATGACAAGTTGAGTTCAAGGTGTATAGGTCCAGATGTGACAAATGATCAGATGATTAGATAAACAGAAAACTGGGTTTAAAGTTCTAACTAACATTATTTAATATAAGGATATGACTGAAAAACCAGGCTTGTTGGAGTTATTTCTAAATAATCGGTCACATGACAGACTTGGTCTTCGAAATAATATAATCAATGGTAACATCAATATGAATTATGTTATATATAATATTTCAATTAATAAGATCAATAATATTGTTACGAAGACACTAAGGTCGATTCTGAGGCGCTATTTCTCTAAACCCATTTCTAAATTTGAAATTTCTATTTGATATCACCGTAAATTTTTTATTGTAAACACCAATATGAATTAATTTTCTAACAGATTTACGTTAAAATTATTATATTTTTATTTTATGATGGTCCATAAAACAGTAATATCGCGAAATTATCAAATTCAAATATTAGGTTAAAGCATAAGTCAAGATATAAGAAATGGCGTCTAAGAGTTGGCCCCACTATTGCGAGGTTACTTTTGTCACAATCGTGTTGGTATCAAATCGGAATCATATCGAATATATGTGAAAAATAAAATAATTTCCTTTTTAAGTCATATTACATATAATTTTGATTTGATTCAATTCGATTGCGACTAAAGTTAACTCACTGGACATATATGGCATATATTACATGTGAATACGCTAATAATTTCAACCTAAGCGATAATTTTAAATTTACACTCGACAACCAAAAAAAAAAAAATTAATTTTCACTTCGCCCAATGGCACAAAGCATGGCTACTGAAACACTAAAAATGTATTTTGACATTTTAAGGATGCATTTTATGGCTCCTGGAGCTTAGTTAGACCGCTCATTTATGGATACTCAAATCACAGTACATCTTCTAGAATGTTTAGCCTATCGTCAAAAATATAAACACGGGCAGACCGTGTGCCTGGGTTTTGTTAGTTGGTTTGGTTTTTGGTTGGCAGTTTTATTTTCTGTTCAGGATACCTACATATAAACTTAGCTTAATTTTTTTACATAAAATTTTAAATTATCACTCAAATCTAATTATGGTGGTTGTACTAGCTGATTCCCGAGACTTCGTCTGCGTGAACTGGTATAGAAAGTATTCTAAGTGCTAAGTTAGGATGTTACCTACTCATGTAATAAATTTTATTCTAATCCAAATCAAAAAAATCATAAACCCTATAAACTTTCACTTTATAGTATTAGCAGGATATAAAAATGAATAAATTATTAATATCTAAATATTTTTTTTATAAGTACACTATTATATTTACCCTTTTGTGATATTTTTCATAATGATGATCCTCTTGAGAGCCGTTTTGGTGACTTCCCATCTTAATAATACCTAAAAATGTTATTAAGTATATTAGGAAAAAGTATATGAAGATTAACTTCAAATTAACAACAACCGAATCATTATTTGGATTGTACGCAGCGAAACATCTCTCTTAAAAGTACATGGTCTCGAATCACCTGCATCCATCCCTGTAACATTTTCTAGTACTAATGGGTCGATATGAGATTAAATTTGCCTGTACGTAATGGACATCCGGGTACCTTTTTTCTTTTCACTTTGGTCGGTTTCATGCCCATATGACTGACCAAATGCCATTTTAAGTTACCTTGGCACTTAAGACTGTGCAATTAGTCCTTTATTAGTTTGCTTTTATAATAAATTGAAGTTTGACATAAACCTAAACTAACAAGACTTGGTTTAGACAGATATTTAACAGGATTTTTATAATACAAGTTTTAATGTAGGCCTGATATAGTTTTATCAACTCAGCCTATCCGAGATGTAGTCATCGATTGATCTTTCGTTAGATAAAAAAAAAATAACAAAAAAATATATAATACCTTTTTGTTCATCACGTCGACGTTTTTGTTCCATTAATGCAGTATCGTCTGCTCTATCCTGAAATGTTTCAACACAAGAAATTTAATATAGGTTTTGAAATGGTAAAGTACATAATTCGACTTGATAATGCGATTTTTAATATATTTATATATTTATTTGTGAATGCCTTATCTGTTCATATTCAAAATCTTCGAGTTAATAGGTAGCAATTTTTTTTTTAATATTCATAAATATGCACATAAAATTTTAAAATTATGTTGTATTTTGGTAAACGATTTAGGTCCTAAAATTTGATTCGGTAATGGGTCTTTCTGTAGGTACATGTCATTATATATTTAGTTTTTATGAATCTCTATTTTCTCGTAGCTAAGTATATATCGTCAGTGAAGCTTTAACAGTACTTAAGTACCTAAATGTCTATTTTACGGAAGAGCAAAAAGACTAAGTTTATTTGAGTTATATTTGAGATATATATTATTTAGAAAAGTGTTTGAAATCAACTTATTCAAGAAATAAAGGACGATTTATTTAAATTTCTTTTACTAATAAGATATTAGCGTGACTACTGTTAATTGCGAACGGATATGAATGTGTAATTTATTGATATCTATATTTACTCTAAACAAAAAAAGTTATCATTGATACATTACTAAATAACGTAAATAACTACCTTTACTATAAATAAATCTTACAGAAGACTGTAGGTTACAAATCTATATACTGACTGACTGCTTAACGCAATGTCGGTCTTTAGTTGACTTACGCAATATCAGTTTTATTGAAATATGCAGGTCACTGTCGTTTTTGATTGATTGAAAGAAAGTGCGTCACACTTATCTAACGAATGGTATCAAAATGTCAAAATTGCCAAAAAATTACTTACGCATTGTTAGAACTTCACTGACAATATAATTTTAGTTGTATACTTTGAGGAGAATAGGTATTCAGCTCAAAGGCTAACAATATTTCAAACTTACCCGCTTGCGACTCATCTTACGCTCTTTACGTTCATCGCCTCTGACTTTCGTTTTGCGTTTTTCCTTCTCGGGCGACCGTTCCTCTATATCTTTGGTGCCCTGCTTTATGATGAAAATTCTGGTTAATGGTAGTCAATGAGAACACAGTGGAAATATTTCAATGTCGCAATATTTTACAGCCAACAAAATTAGTAATTAAAATTATATTTATATGTAAAACTGATAAAATATGAGTCAAAAAGGACAACGAATGAAGGTAACTTAGAATACTCTTTGTCGAGAGTGAATTACCAATCCATCATCACATTGATTTTTTTGTCACATCTGAACCATGTACATTCTTTGTAAAAATATTTGGCATGAAAGCAATGTTCCTCTATAGGTATCTTGACTTATTCCATAATTTTCTTTAAAATATACTGCTTCAATCAGGATACTTTCTTGTTAATCCATAAAAATTATTGAATAATGAATGAAGTACAAAATTTATAGCAGACTTTGGTATCATAGTATTAAGATGAGATTCTTCTTCATAACACCACATAGTAAGAGCTTCATATTTTCATTTAGAAGTTAGATAACAGATTCCTGAACTTTATGATGATCAAGATAATGTAAAGGTAGATGTAGAATTTTATATTTTAGCATCACAACTTCTTTGAGTCTATTCTTCTTCTTGTCCAGCTGGCGTGATATATGAGAGTGCTGTTGTAGTTTTCACACTTTGTTTCTTATTTCTTGCTTGTTGCAATATTGTAGTTTCTTTTACAGAGATAATTTATGCTTCTTTTATATTTAGTGTAGGTAATAAATATATCCACATGTGAGTTACATAGTCTTCATAAAATCTTCATTATTGTAGATAAAGGATTCAGATTCATTTATAACTATTATATAAAATTAAGATGATGTTTAGCGCCATAATAGTTGTTTGTCGGGAACATTCCATATAAAGTTAACTGAGTAACATCCATTCTTCAATATCAGTTCTATTTTCAGCATTCCTGTTACATACTTGCTGCGAACATAGTGAGAAGTCCAGTATTTCCGTATATATTAAATACTTCGCTTAATAATCATCCACATAATCATTCGCTTCCTTTCATCTCGTAGATCTTCATTAACATATATAGTTAACCTTAATTCATTGGACATTTTGACTCATTGAATTCAAAAGATAATTTAAAAAATAACCTTACCAGTATGCGATTGGACTGGGCTGAATGGACTTACACACGACACACATTGATTCCTTTTATAGTATTTTTACAAATATATTATTATTTATAATACGAGATTTAAGATTCTTCACAAGAGTGCTTGCGATGCGATACGATGCAATTGTCTTTATTATTATGTGTTATTAGTCTTGATATCTTGAAATAATAAAATCTTCCTTCATTTCAACATATTTCGTTAGCTTTGATCTTCTTATATATAAAAAATACAAATACTTTTGATTGAATCCTGATGTTGAATAATCTAAGTTTTCCTTAAATTGTAGATCATAATAAAGAATCCTCTAGTGAACTTCTTATTGATGATATCTTCCGCTAATTTAATCTTCTTTTTATAGTAACACATGGCGGTTGACAGGTACGACAGCAGTTTTGTTAATTATTTTTTTATTATAGTATGTTTTCACATAATTGACAGTTCATAGTCTATTTTGTAAGCACAAATTTAAGTCTTGATGGCCAGTTCTGACGAGTGTGAACACTTGTCCGCGCACACGATTACAATGGTTAGTAGCAGTAGCAGCGTTGGGCCGCGTGCTCGTAGTCGCCTCCAGCCCAATCCTCAGTCCGGCGCGAGCATGATGCAAGGTCGATTTATCACAACAATACTCACCTTGCCATTTCCGGCGGTTTCTACTTTACGACGCTTCACGTCTGCAAATAGTTTAAAACGACACATTAACTAACCATTTTATATTACAAAACTTAACAACGATAAAAAATATTCTTTTATCGCACTTAAAATGGTGATGTAGATGATGACAAATATGACGGCAAGTGATAATCGTCACCTATAGATATAAACAGCGTCCTTCATTTCGTGAGCACTAATGTGTTCTGCCTTTGCATTTATTACTTCCAATGAAATATCCCATACTTCTCTATCGCCGCGTGGTTCCGGCATAAAATGGCTACCCCTTCCTTTCCTGTGGTTTTCATACGCTTGTGGCGTTGACATTACACAGCTGATTTCATGCGTCACGGTCGTGTATTATATTACTGTTATTTGGTATTTCATAGTATTTTACTATTAAATATTATTATTTCTTTATATTATGACACAATATCATAGATTACATGATATTAAATGATAAAACAAAAAAACATTTCAAATTTTCCGAAGAGTTTCAACTGGTTTTCAGTTCAGAATAATGGTCTGAATTCACTGTATTAGCTTTTGCCAACTTGTTCCTCACACCCCTGTATACAAATACAAGAGTGATATCGAATCTAATTAAAATAAAATTAGATTCGATATCAGTTAGTTACACGTAAAAACATCAGGGCTGGTTTTTGTTTTACATTAGGGTATGTGTGTATCAAATAATTTAGTTACTGTCAACAACTGTAAATAATTACAACCTATGTATATGATAACATATATACATGAATAATAAACAAACCTCGTTCAATGTCATCAGGTGGATGACGATGATCATGCGGTGGGGAAACTGTTTCCAAATAACGATCCTCCTGAAAAAATATAGCAGATACAATAGTTTGAAAAAAGTTTAAAAGATTTTACATCTGGTTCTAACAATATTTAATTAAATACTACTATTTTTGTCGTCCATACATGTTTATCTTGTTAATATTGTGTAAAATAAGATTAAAATATGTATATATTTGATGTATGTTATGTATTTTATATATTCATTTATATAATATATACTATTATAAGTAATTAGATGTATGTATGGTATTTATTGCAGACATTATTTGCATATTTTTCATTTAACACTAGCATTTTTTTATTAGATATACTTATTGTGTCAAATAACTACTATTTTATACTTTCCTTCTCTACCCAAAGGTTATCTGGAAAAGATTGCTTTAGCGATAAGACTGCTTTTTGTACTACATACATGTAACACATATACACACACATACATACACGTATTTGTGTATTTTTTATTATGAAAAAATGTGTAATATATTTACCCTATGTGAACGTTCTCTAGGTGATCGCTCTTTACTTCTCATTTCTTCCTTAGATCTTTCCTTGATTGACCTATAAAATAATGTAATATTATGAGGAATTTTAACGAAAGCGCATTATAGATAAATTACATAATTAAATAATGAACGAGATATTTACGTTCGTGATTCTCGTTTTGTTTCTTTCTCTCTGTCCGATTCATCTCGGCGTCGATCACTGTTTCGAGACTCTCGTTTTTCAGTGTCTAAAAAAAATATTAATTACATGACAAAGTTTATGTTAAATTCAATAAATTCCAAAAAAATATTGATGAAAAAAGCGGGAAAAAATTTAAACTAAAGATTGTAGTATTTCGATCAAATGGGACAATAATAAAATAATAAAAAAAGAAACTTAGTTGAACTATTTTATTGGAGAAAGCTATTTATATAATTAATATTATCGATAGTTTGATGGAGGTTTTACTTCAATATGCTTAGCTATTGTACGGTACTTTACCTTGTGTTTGTGGTGGTGATGAAGTCGTCTCTTGTTCTTGCTTCAGAGAGTTAGTCTCCTCTTTGATAGTGGCGGCAGGCGTGGCAGCGGCGCTTGCCACCTTGAGCTTATCAACCACCTTTTAAAATTATATATGTAGTCTAAGATATTTTCTTTTAAGATTAAATCAATTATATTGGAATCACCCAAATATAATAAAGGCAGGTGTTAATATATAAATATAATATTTCATACTGAATATACATGGTATATAGTTACGAGACACGAATATTAAAGAATATTATTACAACGCGTTACAATCACTTAAATAGTCGGTGTGGGAAATGAATTTATTTAAAAATTTCTCAAACGGTATTTGAATTTGGCATTTATTATGCCAGATTACTATAAGTACTATGGGCCGTGTGGTCCTGGCATAAAGTAGATCACCCTTTCCTTTCTAGTGGGTGTCGTAAGAGCTAACGGAACAATGGTTGATGAATGGGCAGCAGAATCCCTTTTAAAATATCATCAAAACCTAACTGCAGTTGCCATCCCGCGCACCAGCGTAGCAAAGCAAACGTTGCATCTACTGGCAACCAATGGAGGAGGTCTTCTTTTAATAGTGAATGGTTAAAATAAATTGTATTATATTGATAGGTTATTTTATTATTAAAAAAAATATATATATATATTACCTGATGAAAATCACTCTCTCTCATCATATGGGGGACTTTGTTACGCAACTGTCCGCTATATCCCGTAGCTAACACGTACAAATCTTGTCGCTGCGTTTTTTCCTCTTCCTTTACCTATAACAAGTAAGGTTAAATTAACTAATGTACTTAGTAATTAAGTTAAAGTGGATTTGCCACTTGATCTTGGATAAAATAGGTTACCCCTTCCTTTCCCATGGGTATTGTAAGGCAAACGGTCGGATGGTCGTATAGGCAGCAGCATCCCTCTTAAAACATCACTAAAACTCTAACTGCGGTTGCCAACGCGCCTGCCAAGCATGGCATCTACTTGCAAAATGAACCATAAGGGGAAGGTTTATATTTAGCAGTAGATAGTTAACGGATAATATGAATTAGTAATTAATATAATATAAAAAAAAATTCAACTAACCTTATCCACTTTTCTCTCGATTATTTGGGCCAATTTTTCCAATACTGGAAAGTGCGGCAACACTCTTATAAGTACAATTAGCGCGTTGCGTATTTGCACGTAATCTCCGGAATCAAGGCACACAACCATCGCTTTAGTGATTTTGTAGTGCCATTTGTGACACACGTGTCTGAAATATTAATGTTTAGTCAGTCTTCACCCCCTACTTAAGTGGCAAATGAATCTACCGATACGTTATCGCTATTAAGTAAGTACCGAAGATAGAATGAAACATCTAGTGTTTTATTCTTTCGAATGCACACGATTATGAAAACACATTTACTGATAGATATGTTTAACAATTATCTAAGGGGATAACTTAGCCATTACTTATGAACTTTGGCAGAAATGGGGCTGTAATTACGACGAGTAAAGGAGCATTGGACCCTAACAAACCTGTAGTTCTCGTAGCCGACGTGGTCGTTGGCCTCGGTGAACTGGTTGGAGACGCGGTACTTGGTGACGAAACCGGGGTAGTGTGCGCACTCGGCGTGGAAGGCAGCGCGGTCGGCGTGCCAGCGCATGGCCGTGCCCAGCACGCGTCGCAGGAACTGGCCGTAGCGCGCCGCCTCGCCCTCCGAGCACGACATCACCGAGTACGTGATGTCGCAGAACAGCTGCACCGCGCACGCCACACCACGCGGCCACATGCAACCACACCGCCGATGACATGAGCATCATTGTCGTCGACACCAGTATAATAACCTTTTTATATTATATTTTTCTATAAGATCTTATTAACATAATACAATAGATAGAAACTGAACAGATAACTATTTCTACAACGATTAAAGTAATATTGGCTTGCCCTTTATTTAATTTTATTATGAAAACAAAAAAAAAAATAATAGGTGTTTGAACAATAAAGTTTGCAAATATGAAATTTCAAAGAGATTTTTTTTTTATATAGATCCAAGATACAGAGAAATTAATTTCGCACGACCAAAGCTGCATAGTTTTGTTTCATTAAACAATTATCTGATTAAATCAGTTTGTCCTAACGGCAAAATAAAATTAACATTGACTGGGAGAGAATGCTATATAGTATTAAGTCTGCCTTTTGTACCAGACATTTTTTTGTAATGTGGTCAATAAAGAATAAATAAATAAAACATTATAATTAGCAGAGCGCGCTCAAATTAGCGGCACTACTATCGCAGCAGTTACAGTTATAATAAAAGTAGTTGAAAATAGTATTAGATAAGTTTAGATAAAAAAATACAACATGCGAAACTGTGAATACAATCAAGCAATGACAATACGCTCGTTAAAAAAAATCTTAAACAAAACAAATATTGAACAATTTTATTTTTGTCAAATTAAAAATTATCAACTGACCCTGTCGTAGCAGAGCAGCGTAGAGAAGTTGGGCGTCTTGAGTGAGTGCACCGTGTGCACGAACTCGGCGCAGTAGAGCGCGTCGGCGGCTGTGAACACGCAGCGTGGGAACAGGCACAGCTGCATGAGCCGCGTCACGGTCTCGTTCTTGGCGGACTTGGCGGCGCGCGCCGGGAACCAGCCGCTGCACTCGCGCTGCAGCCGCGCCGACACGCGGGACACGTGCTCCTGCTGGCGCCGGCGCTCTTCCTGCAAACACACGCCAAGTAAAGACAAACTGATCACGTCACAGGCAGACGTTGGGAGGGAGACTTTGTACAAATACTTTGACTGTCCCATTCGTGTTTCAACCGTAAAACAGTTGTTTGCATGGCTGTGTTTCGGTTTGAAAGGTGGGATATGGCGTGAATTTACTGGGTACGGAGGAATAACAACTGAGTCCTCAGGAATGGCAACGCATGAGGGGTATCATGAGCGAAACAGTATACTCTGTTATGTCCATGGTATTGCTCATGTCTATAGGCGACGGTTACCACTTTCCATCAGGTGGGCCGTCAGCTTGTTTCCCATTCTAAGTTGTATAAAAAAAAGACGATTCCCTTAGTACAATCTTAAGTTTAAGCCATAAAGACACAATATGCAGACTACCAAGATGATGATCGTTAGCACAGTACTAACGCTACCATATACTGGCCGCTTACATTTTGAGTACCATGATACTGGTAATTCAGATTAGATTTCATTTATATTAGAATTAGATATTCATTTATTTTTTTTTATTAAAACTAATGCCACCGGCGTGGCACCAGTGAAGGATGATAGACTTATTTGAATAATATTACAACCTGATAGTGTACAATGGGTTCATTAGACCCCATTTAATAAGCCTGTTTCGTATTAAACATCTATAGGAAATTCATTTGTAACACCTTTGATGTCAATCCAATAAACTACTTTCAATAAACATCGGATTCAAAAAGAAAAATATTCACACAATATAATAGATACTGTTGACATACCTGTAGCTTTTCAATAAGTGTATTATAACGTTCTTGCTCCTTTTTTCCTTTTGTCCCTTGCGAAGTATCTTTAGCGGCATTTGCCGCAGCAGTCTTTAAACGCTCTATTTCCCGTTCATAACTTTCCACTGGCACGCGTAGATCGTACATCGAGAGTGACCTTGAAAGTTCACATTGTTATATGAAATAAATCTTCAAACATTATTTATAAACATGATTGATATATTAATCTTACCAAAAAGTGACATAAAATTCAGGGGAAATATCTTCCCACACTCTGGCTGGTAGCATTGGTGTTACGGACAACAATATAGGTTCCAGAGTCTCTTTTGCAGCGGTAGTGTATCGTTCTATACTTTTCTCTAATGTGTCCGCTTTTATGTCAGAACCTTTCCTCAATACTTCAACTCTTGCTGCGATTTTTTGAGCTAGTACTGGACGGTGAAGAAAAAAGGCGACATCTGCATCCACGTGGTAATCGCGTAACAATTCCTAAATATTATAAGATAAATTAGAATTAGTAAGTGTTAATTTTTTAAAATAATAAAAAATAATATTATTAAATAATGTAAAAAATGTTGCAACAAAAGTATGATTGACTATTAATTAATATTCTGCTATATCTCATATTTGGTATAATAATATAAGTTTGCATATAATAATTATAAATATATAATTTATCAATTTTATGCAAATATTGAATGCATCTGACAATTATTAAAACATTAATATATTTCTTAAAATGAAAAAGAGAGAAGTAGGCACAGCAAATATCAAAGCAGCAATGGGAAAACTTGAATATAAACGAGAGGTTACCTGCAATGACGGTAAACGGGCGGCATATTCATCGGGGGCATGCGACGATGCTAAGAATGTTCCTAGTTGAACAAGAGCATCCTGGCACTGATCTGCTAATCTGCCAACTACTTTTAGTTGTGAGCCAGGTGGTTCCCCAGAGGAAGTACTTTCTTCTTCGGATTCTAAAAATAAGTTATTCGTGTCATTCAGGCAGTAATAAAATAAATTTCACGACTTAGCTTACTTTTAATATTGGTCTATCAACTTACACGTCAGGCAGACGAAATAAAAAGTAGCAATTCCTGCGATACTAACATTGAGTTTAGTACAGAAATCGCTGTATAACTATGTAAAATGGAGAAATAAAAGAAATTTAACAACTCAATTATATTTCGTAACCTTTACTTAAACAGAATGACAAAATAGTAATTGTAGTATATGCTATGATTGTACTTTTTACATAGAGATTGAGATATTTAAAAATTGCAACTAAAATAATAGTTACCTTTCCAAACACAACAATGACGTTGTTGAGCAGATAATATACAGAGAGCAATATCTAAGTTGTTCCCAACTATTGCTTCCTTAAGTCTAGCTGATGATCTTCTCGTGTTACGCACTTGAGAAAAATATCCGGCCTATAATAAAAAATAGATTCATATAGTATATCTACAAAATTAAACACAGGAGATATTATATTAAATACAATTTATGAATTGCTTACCTCTCCCTTGAGTAATTCACCCCCCGCCATGGCATCTAATTGTTCTGATGTCATTTCTTCGGCCGCCTCTATTCCTGCCATCTTTTGTACTATCTCTTTCAGAATTAGCAAATCTTGACTGCAAATTAATATGAAGTGTTGTCAATAAATAAAATATTCTACAAGGAAAATTGCCCGGAATATAAAAATATTGCTTTTATACAAATAGTGGTGTCACTTAAATAATTTAATGTCAACATTAAAGTAAAAAAAATATATTTATGTCAATGTTGAAGACTGTTGGAACTTTGTGAAATTTAGAAATCATTCAGGTTTAGGGTTTTTTATCTATACTCCTATACTAATATTATAAAGAGGCAGTTATTGAATTTGGATGTTCGGAATAAACTCCGACACTAGTGATTTGATTTTGATAATTCTTTCACTGTCAGAAAAATATATTATACCATAGTGTTACAGACTACTTTTTTATTTTGGGTAATATATATTTTCAATAATTAATCACAATAAATGTAGCTGAAGTCGGCAAAAATTCTATAAAACGACAAGTCATTAAAGTCACAAACACTATTTGATTTCAGATTGTAATTCGATTGCTCACCTCTGTTGTGCCTTGAGTCGGTTGGCGACGAACTGCAGGAGTGCAGTCAGTTCAATGTTGTGCTTTTTGAAGGCGGCACCTGCGAAGGCGGCCAGCGCCTGCAGCCAGGGCGGGTGGGCTGCGCCCGCTGTCCCGCGCCGCGCCAGCGCCTCCAGCAGGCAGCAGCCCAGCACATCCAGTGACAGCGATGTCAGATACTTCAGCGACTCCACCACCGGACCGATCAGGTTATCGTATGTTTGAATCTGAATCCATAGAATAATCACCACATATAATCCTTGGAGAACAAAAGACCTATAATTTTTATAGTTGTTCTCGAGACATATTCCAATAAATTGAGACGTTTCATACTCTTATATTGTAATACTATTCATACTGGTTCCCTATTGTTCCAATAGATGCATGTTAGTGTAACGAACACATTTATCATCCTTATCATCATCATATCAGCTTTTAACTGTCCACTGCTGAACATAAGCCTCTCCCATGGGGGATTTAGCCAGTAGTTGGAACGCTTGGCAGGCGGATTGGCAAACGTAGTTAGGTTTTGAAGATGTTTTAAGAGAGACGCTGCTGTCCATCCCTCGCCCTTTCTTAGTCAGGAGACCTATTTGTTGCAGAGACCACACGGCAACTGACACAATGCAATCTATAATTCAAATTGCGATACAGCATTGAAAATCTAAAATGAAGTCAAGATCATCGATACAGAAATGGGGGAATGATTAAAGATAAACAATAATAAAAATCTATTAACCTATACATTAGTCTGCTTGTGAGAATAAACAGTCTGTTTATTATAAGAAAATTTTCCCGATTGTGGGCGAGTCACAGGTCAGAATTTATTTATTAATGACCATGTTTGTTGTCAAATATGAATAAATGAAAAATACTGTATAAAATGTTATAAGAAATAGCTACTATAACATACATGTACGGTTTGTCCGGAAAGTACGTATAAAAGTTTTTTAAAAATTTTATTTTACAATTATTCAGGTAAATCAATTTTATCCCCTTCAAAGGACTCCCCCTGTGACATAATGCACTTGTGCCAACGCCGTTTCCACTGTGAGAAGGCTCCTTGAAAGTCCTAAGGTTTCTCAGCTGCCCCGTCGTAGCTTTTTTTATCTCATTTATGTCCCCCAAATGCCGCCCCCGAAGTACCAATTTGGTTTTTGGGAACAAGAAGAAGTCACACGGGGCCAAATCCGGCGAATAGGGGGGTGTTCGGTCACCGTAATGGAATTTTTACTCAAAAACTCACGGACAACAAGAGAGGTGTGGGCAGGGGCATTGTCGTGGTGAAGAATCCAACGCCCCTCTCGCGCCAATTCTGGACGAACTCGTGCCACACGAGCTTTGAGGCGTCTGAGCACATCGACGTAGAATTTTCCATCAACTGTCTGGCCTGGAGGGACGAATTCTTGATGGACAATCCCCCGAACATCGAAAAAACAATCAACATTGTCTTGACATTTGAGCGGGATTTTCTTGAGAGGATGTCTTCCACTCTTTGCTTTCACGGCCATTCTTGCCGAGTTTCGAGAGAAACTTGATTACGACGCGCTGCTCTTCAACGGAAGCGGGCTCCATGCCGACGGGGTTTCGTTAAAGGTAACTTCACAGATTGACAAGCCAGTTCGCACCGCACGGCGGTCAGACCAGAACTGAAGCATTGTTAGGGACATAAGGAAGGGGTCCTGCGCTTACCTGGCCTCCCCACTCCTCTTTCTCGCATTCCAGAACACTTTTATACGAACTTTCCGGACAGACCTCGTATAAGAGAATTTTTGGTTTCTTAAATTTCTAATCTAATAATATAATAGAATTTAATTAGAAAGCAAAAAGGCAAATCTGCGTTATTAACCATAATTTACTATATTTACAAAGATTAAGTTTACCTGTAAAAGCATATAATCGAAGAGGAACGCCGGCGCAGCATGAGACAATTTCCCAATGAGGCGACCCTGAGGTTTAATATTTTCCTTGGACACGCGTTTCATGATATGTTTAATCCTCTGTAAAGAATTGCCGCGTACACGCATCAGTGACGGAATTCGTTCACCCGCCTCATTTTTCCACCGTGAGTATAAACAATATCTAAAAAGTATAAAATATAAAAATAAATATCTAATATTTTCATCGTAACAAATAGGCTAAAGCAAAAATAGACGTTATTTCTTACCTGCACTGATATGGGTAAAGTTTCAGAAGAGTATAAACTTCTTCTGCCATACAACAATTTCCTTCCATAAGTGTGAGAGAAGGCAATATGGCAGCATCAAGTACTGTAAGTGCTTCATAGTGTAAAGGATCATCGCATTTTGAACGTGCTGTTCTAAATATACGAATTATCTGCAAGAATAATTTAATATATGGTATAAACAGAATAGCATATTTTTAAATTATATAGATAGTTTTCATACAAATGGTTCGCTAAAAATGGGTCAATAAGGTATTTTTATCTATACTGCGTAAATAGGATTACTATAATACATATTTATTTATTACTACTATTATTATTAAATAAATGCGGAGAAAGTATATAGTAAAATTAAATTTAAAAAAGATACAAAATTCTTATAATATATTTGAAAGAAGCAGTTCTTATCTATACTGAATAGTTTGATTTACAGACATAAACACATGTGTTTATATTCTTAAATAATTGAAAGTGGCCACCATTTTAATTAATATATGTATATTAATTTGTAAGCAATAAAAAACATTTGTATATTATTATTATTATATCAGAAAAATACTTCCAAAATTTTATCTTAAAAATCAGCCTGAACAGGAAAAGTTTTAATTTAATTACTTGCAACATAAAAAAAATGTGTTTTAATAAAAAAAAAATGTATCAGCTAATTTGATGTTTGGTTGACTAAAAGTTGTCCCATTTTTTACACTTGATGCTTTTTTATTTATATAATGTAAGACCATAGATTATTAAAATAAACACAATAGTTTTATATTATACTATAAACAATATAGTACTAACCTTATACATGAGAACAGGATCATAATGAAGTGAAGGTCCCAATAAAATTAATGCAGGAATAACAGTCTCTTTCATATCATCAAATGTTTTACAAGCAGGTGGTGCCAGACTTGATTTCAAGGGAGGAACAGGTTTACCCATAATTTTTGGACCTACTCTACAATGCCTGTAAGTACATTAAGTATAAATATTTTATTCATTCATTATACAATTGTTAAAATGCATAGTATATTTAAAAACAGTTCAAATTTCATACATTAAATTACTAGTTACGAAAGCAAATTTATATAGGTCACTGTTTTTATTATATTTATTATTATTTTACTGGAACGCTAGCGCCTCTGCCTTGAGGAGGTGGACGTTGACAGCCACGACACAATTTTAAATAATGTGGCTGTTATCATACACTACCCTACAATTGTAATTTAATAAAAAAATACGGTTCCAATAAATATATTATTAAACAATAAACTGAGTTTTAACCCATATGGCACACAAGAAAGAAAAAAAAAGTGTTACTTTACATATATTGCTTTTTTGTGTACACATAATTTTATCTCTTTACTGTGTATGTCTGTTGTTATTTGTGTGTTGTAAGTAATCCAAAATATTATTATAAATTTTGAGAATACATACACGAAATTTCATAATGACATTTGAATTAGTATTGCATTGTCAATCCTTTAAACCGGACAAGTCGTTCCTAACGTTACACGTGAATTTTTACGCAAATAAATCATCATAGATACGAAAAATATTCCTAATAAGCATAATGGTGAATCGTCTTCATCACTTAAGATGATTCACAAGTGGTTTACTGAGTTTTGTTGTGGTAGAACAAGCACCGATTACAGTCTGCTCAGGACGTCTAATTGAGGTAACCATTTCAGAAATGATCACGATAATCCATTTTGGGAGATTCGTCCATGTTAGGAGATCGAAGAACGAAATTGAGAGAGATAGCCAACACTGTAAACATCTCATATGAACGACTTACGACCATATTGTATGAATATTTACATATGAAAAAGCTTTCGGCAAGACGTGTGCTACGTTGGCAATTGACCAAATACGTGAAAAAGTTACTTTCCTAAGCTAATTTCCGGTTGTTTGAACGTGAAGAGTGAATGATACGCGAGTGAAACCAAATGAGAAATGTGCCATTTTATATATGGACGAACAATGTGTGGAAGCCGGTGGCAGTGTTCCGAAGAAGGCCACTGTGGTTCCATTAGCAAGTAAAATTACAGCTACGGTATTCTGGGGCGCACAAGGTACATCATCATCATCTTCTTACTCTTATCCCAATTATTATTTGGTGTCGGCGTAATATGATTTTATCCATATTACTAAAGGATTTGGCTTATAGTTTTACAACCGGCCGCTTGCAAGACATCAACCCTCTTTGGGGCGCACAAGGTACAATCACAACAATTACAATCTTAAATAATTTGCTCCAAAAAGGGAATACAATCTCTCTCTCCTATCCGAAACTAAACCGTATTTCAAAGAGATAAAAAAAAACTCCAGCATTGTTTAACTAAATCTGAAGCTCTAAATGGAAATTACATTGAAAAATATATGACACTCATTGGAAAAAAGTAAGTCTTTGTATCATTTTTACCAGACTTATCAATCCACCCTCGTACTAATAGGTTTACATTGGCGGGGTAACAGTGACGAATGATAGGTGCGGATGAAAGTTAGTTGGCCCAAAAGAAATTACTTATTACAGTGTACATGGCGGATCGCGTGGCAAGGTCGACTTGACGCGCTGTAAATATTGTTAGTAATGATGGAGGCTTATCAAATTACTATAAATCCTCTCAATTCATGTCTTATGCTCAGTAGTGGAGAGGGTATTTATGACATTCTGAGATTTTATTTTAACTTTTTTTTAGCTAAAAAACTACCAATATGGAACATATTAACTCCTATTCTCGTGACAATTTAAAGAAATCCTTGCTTATGTAATAATAAAGACTGGAAATATTTATAGGTATATTTTTACTTACATTCTGTACAAAGGTTCAACAAGCGCATGTAGCATATTGCACAGGGCTATTGCTGGCCGCGCCGCCATACCGGTCGTGGGGAGTCGTGCAGCCAATGCGGCAAATTCACGCCATGCTGTTACTTTAAGCAGTGACTCACTGAGTACTAGCTTTTGATTGCTCCAATATTCCTTTTAAAAGATAATACAAAAGTGGTAATAAAAATTCATTAAATATGCGCTTTAATAAGGTAATATTATCTACCCACATATAATGCATCACCATTAGTGTTTGTTACATAGGTACAAAATAATATATTTTTTTATACATTGGTAATAATATGAAAAATACCTGAGGATCAGATTTCTCTTCAACAAATTCGGTGGGTCCATTTGTTTGAGGTCCTTTTGTAGAAACAATACTTAATTTACGTATATAGTCCTGTACAGATTTCAATTCTTTGTCTGCTTCTTTAGCCATAATAGTATCATCAGGACGTAACTAAAAATGTATTTAAATATTGTTAAATGATTTTCGCTGGTTTGCCCGCGCGAACTAATATATAAAATATTCTATGAATTAAGTTATGATATAACCTAACCATGTACCAAATTACATTAAAATCGGTACAAAGAGATTAAGCTTGATTGAATATTATAATAAAGAGAAAAGTTCAAATAACTATTACTAAGTATAAAACTATTGAACTCAGAAACAACAAATTTGAAATTAGTTGCAAGAGATTTCCATTCTGCTTGTAAATGTTGATGTAATCAATAATATGCTTTTCTATAACATATAATTAAGAAAAATGAAATAATATACATACCCAAGGATATATATCATCTAGAGATATGACCTGATGCTGTAAAAGCAACGCTATCACAGTCATTAATGGGGGTGGTTCTTTCAAATTATCTTGCACTTCCATATTTCCTAATTTGAAACCTAATACTTCAGATATTACTTGAGGATCACCCATGTAATTTTTGATCAACGAAATAAACAAATTATCTAAATGAGGTCGTGCTTCAAAGGATTCTAATATGATATCTAAAACCCTGTTTGGATCTAAATTGAAACAACCTGTAAAAAAAAACAGAATTTCTTTTAGAATAATATTTTAGATACAACTTATAGTTTTTGTAGGGCAAATAACTCAAGGCAGATATTAAAGTAAATAATAAAGTTGTCTTATTTTTATACAATTTAACAAGATCATTAAAAATTAATATTAGTGCTACATAACTCTCTAAGCACACAAAAAAAAATATTTTATAATAATATTTTAAATTTTAATATGAATTGTTTTCAAAATATTATAAATAAATATAATTATTTCATATTTATAATAATATAAATAACATTAAAAAATATATGTAGAATTAAAAATAGAATTTATATATAAGGAGTTATATAGAATTAAAAATAAATACTATATAAATCCTTTCTAGAATACTGTAATGAGAGAAACATACCTATTAACGATTGAATGATTTCTAGCAATGTTTTCCATTCTGTATCTTCACTTATTTCTTGGTTTAGTTCAACAATTAACTTAGCATAACCTTCACTTTCTTCACGGAACAAGTTAAACTTACGCTGTTTGTAACTAAAAGAAAATATAGCCAATGAATACTATAAAAGGGCCAATTAAAATTAATAATTTAGCAAATAAATATTCACAATACTTACTACAGCTTAGTCTTAATTTTAATAAATTTGGTATAAAAGTTTTTATTCTTTAAAGTACCGACATCTTGAAGGGTATCAATTTCAAGCCTTTCTTTTAAAAGTTTATCAGACATAAAGGTTTCCAATTCCCTTACAATGTAACAAAAGTTTGTGCGCTCATCACTTTGCACATCTATACAAGTTTCAGCATCAAATACACATACTACATCTAGTATAATAGATGGTATGTCAGCATGCAACATCTGGAAAAATAATGACTATAAAATTAACAAACATAAATCACAATTATATGTCCTTTATATAAAGCAATAATCCCAATAATTCTAGATCTTAAAATCTAAAGTGTACAATATTTTATGCATTTTTTTGTAATACACAGGTTTCAACATATATACACATAGACATTTATCAATTTTATTCAAATTGTTTCAGTAGTTTTTTGTGTGAAAGAGTAACAAACATGTATACATCCATGGTTACAAACTTTCGTTTATTATATTAATAGGATTATATATTTTAATAAATAAAATTGTACGCATTATAAACATGGTATAAGTTTTTAAATTTAATTCAATATACCACATTATTTTACTTGTAGACCCCTTGTAATAATTGTGACAATTTAAAACAACAATATTAAAATTGAGTCTTATAGGTATATGATGTAATTATTAAGCAAAACTTACACTAATTTCCTTTAATGTAGCTAGAACAACATCTTTCTTTAGATTTCCACGAAGACCACACAGTAGTAAATCATACACACTCTGAGATAATCCAGATAATTTTCCTGATTTAGTAAAAAGTGGACTTTTTTCTTCATCTTTGATAGACTGTGTCACATTTTTAACACTGCAATTTTAAAATAAATATATCTTAGGATAGGACTCTTTCATTTAAATTTTTTCATCATTTGTTTATTTCACACTGAATAAGATGCTAATTATAGTTACAGTACCTATCACTATATCAGCCTTCAACTATCCATGGCTGAACATAACTCCTCCTATTGAGACTTTTACCAGTAGTTGCCACACTTGGCAGGTGGGTTGGCAACTACAAGCTATGAGGGGAAAGGGATTGTTAGTAATGGAGACTGAGAATTCCATTGCTAGCTATATATCAACCAGGTCGACCTCCTCGCGGTTCCCCCTGGAAACTATCATGGTTAATTCCTGATGAATTCATCATGATGGGCTAACTGGCCTGTTTTCATTCTCATCTATCACCCTTCATTGGTGCTCCGCCAGCATATCCTGTTAGCACAGGCGGGGTTACCATTCTATTTTCAACCATCAAAAAAAAAAACTATGATATTTTAAAAGGGATGCTGCTTTATCATCCCATTCCTCAACTATTCCTTAGTTGCCTCTTATGACACTTACGGGAAAGGAAAGGGTAATTCATTCTATGTTAGGACCACACAATGTAGCACAGTACCCATACAAATGTAAAATTCTCTTGTACATTAACAAACTAAAAAGAGTAACTGTTGAATTTCTTATAGGTAACTTAGCAGATAACATAATTTTAAACCCAGCAGTAGAATCTTAAAATGACAATTTTAAAGAGCTTGTAAACAAATTTATTCCAATAAGGTAATTTGTATTCAATTTTATTGCAATTTCATTTTCCTTCAAAACTAACCATTATTTGCAAGTGGTCATACACAAATTGACAAATATGTATATATTATTTACACAGACAATATGTAAGTTTTGAGTGCTTACAGTGTTCATATACTATTTGTGTGTGTTTTTCATAAGTTTTCCTGTTTCAGTATATTTAATTTAATAATAATTTCCATAATCAACAAGGGATAAATTATAACAAAAATATTCACAAACAAAAATAATACACAATAAGTAATTAAGTACCCATACATATACTTGTCTCTGTCCTCAAACATGACTCAGGATTTATGTTGTACACTTAATACAAAAAAGACTTGGCATATTTTTAAACAGCAGTCAGAAAACCATTTTTTTTATGAAAAGGAGGAGATAAATAAAACATATTAAGAAGTTAAGTTTCTCAAATTGACAAATCTAATTAATGTTTGTCGATGGGAATAAAACTGTATTTAGTTCTAGCTTTGCAGAATATAAAATAAAAACTGTATATTATGACAATTGGTATAGTTCATTACAATAAAATTGAATGAAAATGCACTTCCTGAAGTTTTTTTGGAGTTATTACAGAAAAGATAAGCTAAACATGAAGTTAACCTATTTAAAGTCAAATGAAAAGTGTCAATTGCACCCTCAAAATTCCTCTACATAATTATTAATTGTGGTTACAAAAATAAATAAAATAAAAAGATATAATATTCAATTAAATTTCAAAAAATTACAGGGGTGAACCCAAAATATCACAGTGGTCGCATTAGTGAAAATTTGCAGAACAATATTGTCCTTTATAAAGTTTTTTTTTTTTTTTATTTTGTACCACCATGTGTTGCTATTAGGACTCAGATATTATTCCTCTATACCCTACAACTGTTGGTACAACTGGTTGGGTATGTCCCATTAGTGTTTCTACAATAAAGTATTTGTGTTGGTATGGCTGTGTTTCAGTTTGAAGGGTGGGATATGGCAATGAAATTACAAGGTACAGAGGGATAACACGTTAGTCCTTAGGAATAGCAATGCAAAAGAAATATTATAGGCATCATCAGTATACTTTCTGTAATGTCAATGATACTATTCATGTTTATAGGCATTGGTTACCACTTTCAGAACAGATCAGATGGACTGTTATGCATATATTTTTTTAACAATGTTTTGTGTTTTCAGTGTATAAGGGGCCCCATGGGTAAAAGCCTCCATTATATACCATTTATCTTGATCTGTAGCAACATTCATTCAATGTTGCAGCAGATACAATAAAAATATATTTCAAATTCTCCTTCACACTTATCAGAAAGGCTAATAAATATTTTGGAATAAGCTATGAGTGCTTTTTTACTATGCAGATAATTGAAAGCCATATGAGTAGACATCAAGTGATGGCTAGTGCGAGACAATCTTCTAGGATTTTCTGAGTATGGTAATATTATTGTGAATTTATCGCTCTTTTAGCAGATAATAATTCATCATCACTGTTATGAGTTAAATACTTTATAAAATGTATCTGAACACTTCTACAAATGTTTTTAGTAAACTTAATGATATGTTAAATTATCACCATAATCCTGCTTTTGGTTAGTAGCGATTGCAGTATTTGATGGAATAATGGTTAAGTCACACTTCAAGTCATCATCACTATTATTTAAAATCACATTTATGACTTCATCCCTAATGGGTATTAATTAGTCTGGATATTAAATAAAAGAGTAACTATTTTAGTATATTTGTAGCCACTGTACACAAACTGGCATATTAATGTTTGGATCAATTTATACTTTTACTTATTAAACATAAGTTCTTCAAAATAATTGCAAATGTTTCAATATTTACTAAAATAGTAATAATGTAAATGATAATCAGATTATCTATTACCCTCATAATATAATAAATGTAAAAAAAATATTTGTCTTGGCACAATATATATTAATAAATTTCAAACAAAACAATAAGATTTACAATTTTTACACTAAACAATCCTACATGGATTGTTTAGTGTAAAAATTAATATACTGTCAACTATTAACAGTGTAATAATATTTTTATAATTAATATTTTTATCACCTACCCACAACTAAGAGTTTACAAATAGGCATGGTGGTTAAAAATAAGTTAACCCATTTAATCAATATTTTTTATTCCACTACTACTATTGAGTTAAATATTAGCAGTCTATCTCATGACCGAGTCAAATACTTGTTTATAGGGAGAAGGAATTGTTAGTAATATGGGCTACCAGTCCCATTGCTAGCAATATAACCTGTCAGGTCGACTTGCACATGGTCCCCCTGGAAACCAACATACAGCTGTATTCATCACAGACCTGCCTTTTCATTCTCACCTATCATCTCTCATTGGTGACCTGCCAGCATTGACCATTAGCACAGGCAGGGTTACCATTCCAATATTATCCATTAAATACTTGTTTACATATATTTACATTAAGTTCTACTGAAACAGACTGTAATATAATTTTTAGATTAAACTAATACTGTTTTATGAGATCATTAGAGTAACGTTATGGTATTATTTTTGTTATTAAGTTTGGCAATAGAACAGATATTTAAAAGTTCTACAGATACAACAGTATTTTGGCTATAAATTTCATTTACAAATGTAATATAAAATATAACAATACAATAATGTCTATTATAGTAAATTTTTAAATTCAATATCAATGTTATAATATAAAATTACAAGCTTCATTCGCTTTATTTTATAAAAAAAATTGCCTCTTAGTTGGTTATATTGCAATAACCAACTAAGAGGCAATTTTATAGAAAATTATATTAACGTATAATATAAATAGGTTATAAAAAAGACGCAAATGACCTATTATGTTGAACATGTGCATAAATCTTGCTATTAAAATTAGTTACAAAATGTTAGTTTAAGGAACCGAAACATATAAATACAATGTAAAAATCTAATTTGCTAATTATTAAGTAATACTTACAATTGCTCTTTTCCTGTTTTATCCCATGTTTTACAATAATCGGATACAAATTTAGCAAACGACCCCATAATGTTATATGAAATTAGCTAAATATTTTTCATAAAACAATGATACAGAAAGCCGTCGCCATGACGGATAAAAAATTCAATATTGCCATATAAACAAAGATGACTTCGCCACATATTTATAGACATATCTTTGCGAAGCTTCGCTTGCATTCTGGAGTTGGCATCAACCGATTCAGTGACTATTAATGTTTTTTTTTTAGTCTAAAATCACTAAAATTGTTTTTTTCGAGATAGCTTAAATAGCAACTGAAAACCAATTGCAATTTTTGGTCGCCCTGATTCCCTCCGGGATAACTTAAAAAGCGGAAGTCGCTTACATTGGCAACACTGAAAAATGAATTCTGACCAGTGATACTAGAATTAAATAAATGGACTTGTATTTTAATTCTTTACAAACAAAGGTATTTGCAATTCTGAAAGGACAAATCACTTTGACTACGATTTGAAAAAAGTAATTGATAGAAAATCTCTCATCTTTTTTGCTAATTACATAAGAAGAAAAAAGAAAACAAAAAAAAGTTGAATGTCAGTTTGATATTATCAGCTTTATGTGCACATGACAGGATTATGGCATTAGGACAATATATCATACTGAAGACTAGGCAGCATGGTCTCCGACCTTAACCTGTTTCATAACGGAACAAACGTACTAAAAAAAAATTATGTTACAGTGACAATGACGTTGATTGGATGTTTTGGAATTCAACCTTTTAAGTTTTAAATTGTCACATTTTTTCTTTTATAATTATTTTAAATTAAGTTTTGGATTAAATTCTATAAAGTCTCTAATTATATTAATTTATTCAGTATGCCTGCTTATGAATTTGCATTAATGTTACGTGCAATGCCTAAACCGGAACTCAAAACTGCATTAAAACGAATATCTCATGCTATATTCGATCGTGGTGGTATTATAAGAAACATTGAAAATTTGGGATTCAGATCTATGCCCTACAAAACTAGTGCTCATGGCTTAGTACATCGTGAAGCAAATTATGTTGTATTTAAAGTGGATACAGCAGCACTATCGGTTACTGATCTAAAGGAAGAATACAGTAGAGATGTGGATATTATTAGACAACGCGTATTCAGGGTTCAAGATGATTTTGAGCATTCCTGTACTTTAGAGGAAGAGCTATTACCACCTGCTTATCGAGAAGAAGTTCAGAAGATGATTGAAATTGGAAAAACACAAGTTAATCGTTTTACTTATAAATTCAAATATAATTCTGGTTTAGATTATTATCCATTTCAAAAGTGAAATATGGTTTTTATGTAGAGATGTATGTAAATAGATTAATTTGTAGATATTTACTATTATATAAATTTAAAACATAATATCCATATTTTATTTGGAGTAATATAGTAGTAATTTACAATGTCAAGCTTTATAAAATGTATGCTAATATGCTTATTTTTGGATGATGAAACAGTAACCCTGCCATTGTATATCAATAGCACACCAATGAAAGGTGATAAGTGAGGATGAAAATAGATCAGTTAGTCCATTGTAATAAATTCATTAAAAATTAAACTATACTGGACAATTTTGAAAATTTATAATATTATGATATCTATTATAATTGGTAGCTTGCCAAACCTTAACAAATATTATTATTAGCATATCTTTTTTTTTAATGTGTAAGAATGAAATGGTAATCCAGCCTACACTATTGGTATATCAGTGTTAAATAATAGGCAAGGATGAAGGCAGGTTAGTTAACCCATCATGAAAAATTCAACAAGAATTAACCATGATGATTTCCATGAGGAACCGCATGGAGGCTGACCTGATAGGATATATTGGTAGCAGTAAGACTGTTAGAACTCCATTACTAACTCTTTTCCCTCAGATCTTCAACATATCAGCTGGTAATTGTCCATTGCTGAACATATGAGTTCACCTTTTTTTGCCAGTAGTTGCCATGCTTGGCTAGCAGGTTGGCAGCTGCGATTAGGCTTTGGTTATGTTTAAAGAGGGATGCTGTTGCCCATCCTATGACCATTAAATACTCTTAGTTGTCTCTTACAACAGTTATGGGTAAGAAAGATTTGACCTATTTTGTGTCAGGACTACATAGCAAACAAAAATAATAATTCTAATTATTTTTTGTTTTGAATAGGAATTAGTTTTATGTGAATATATAGGGTTAGAATTAAGTGTGCTTTACCTGTACATAACATAAGTTAGAAAAATTAACCACAAGCATGTAAATTTTTTGTGTAACTACACTTTAAACATTTATCTTTTTCAATGCAATATCACAGAACAATCAGAAATATTTTGCACAATAATTGGTGGAGAAACATATCTAGTTTACCCAAATAAACACCTGAACATCCTCAAATTGAAATAAAAACACACACACTGATGTAATCATTTACTTTTTTCATTAAAATTTTTGTTTTGTTTTTATTTTATGAATTAATAATATTTATCCTCTTTACTATACTCATATGGGCATACAGTGTTAAATTTACAACAAGTGGTTTACAAATGCTTAAGTGAAAGCATATTTTTTTCTATAATCCTAATATATAAAAATTTTATCACAATGTTCATTCGAATAGGCATATTAAAGTGAGATCTGGGAGGTCCATGACACAGATAATATTACTAGGGGCCATGATTATAATTTTGGCTAATTGGTGTGTTTAAAATGAATCAGTATATAAGTACAAAATAAACATGATTCAATGAAAATATTTTTTTCTCTTATAAAACACAACATAATATAGAGTGTACTAGAAATGTATAAATTACTTAATCAATATCATGCGGCATAACATTTTCATTTGCAAGTATTAATAATATTTGTTCTAATTCACAATCTTTCAAAGCTTTGCGGAGTTTTACTCTTTCGGTGGTATAGTCAGTATTTCGCAAAGTCAGTGATCGGAAGTCTACATACCATTCGTCTATAGTATCTGAAATAATATAAGAAATAACACGCTTATTTAATTACTTTATTTATTCAAATGTGGGAGGAATATTCAACCCATATTGGGATGTTTATATCTACAAATATTTATAGGTACCTATAACAGATGCTAATGTAGGTGCCAGATCAACTCTAAAAGTGATTAGATGACTTTAATTTGTATTAATTATAGGTATTGTTTACCTAATACAAATAAATATATCCCAGTAAAAGTATAACATAATAATATACTTTCGTGTCAATTTAAACAGATTAAATCTTCGATAACGAAAAACACCAATAACAAACCAAATCATTCCAGGGAAAAGAGATTGTTAGTAATTAGGAGGTTAGTCCCTATTGCTATCAATATACCTTATCAGGTCGACCTCTACGCAGTTCTTCCTGGAAACCATCGTGACTAATTTATCGTTAAATTCGCCACGATGGGCTAACTGACCTGCCTTTTCACCTTCACTAATCATCCCTCACTGGTGTCCCGCCCGTGTATACCGATAGCACAGGCGGGATTACCATTCCATTATCATCCATAAAAAAAGCTCCATATGACGGCGTTAGTCTCGCCTCTGGCACGTTTGGTTCTAATATGATCTGCGAAATGTGGCTATGTTGAGTTTTTTTTAACGAATTGACAGTCTCGTCCATGCTGTCGGGGTATCAGTGAGGGATGATAGGGGAAGACAAAGGCAGGCCAATTAGCTTATCATGACCAATTTAAGTTGAATTAACCACTGTTTTCTAGCAGGAACCGCATGGAGATCGACCTAATATGGTATATTGCTAGTAATGGGCCCGCTAGTCCTCATTACTAATAATTTCATTCTTCTTAAGTCGAGTGTTTATCGCTACTACTCCATTAAGGTCTATAGACGTGAGCATATTTAATATTTTTTAATATGGTTTCGTTTTATAGACGGACAGTCCTATTAGATCATCAATATCTTCCTACTCTTATCCTAATTATTATTATGGGGACGGCGTAATATATTTTTTTATCCATATTACAACAAGATTTGGCCTGCCTGATGTCAACCCTCTTTGGGAATGAACAGTCTTATTAGATAATAATATTAATTTCAATCGCACCCACCTACAAGTTCTTCAAAATGTGTATCTGTCAAAGTATCATCGGAAATACTCCAAACGCGTTGGTATTCATTGCATATAGTAGGTGCTTCTTCACTCGTAGCTCTTTCATCTAACTCCAAAGCGCTGTAAATTTTAATGCATAATATTAATTAGTCTTTGAATTAAATATTAATTAATTAAAATTTATAATAACGTCATGCATGCAAGTAGATAGACCTAATAGCTTTCTTCAATAGATTATCTTTATATGTTCGATATTCCGTTTCAAATTGTTCTTTTATTCCCTGAAATGATTGTACGCAGCAATTATCTGGTATATCTGGAAATATCAATGTAATATAGATTAGTTTTCGGGTAACAAAGGGTCTTGTAAATTTTAAAATGTTATCTGTGATGTACGAGGTTTGTCCGGAAAGTACGTATAAAAGTTTTTTAAAAAATTTATTTTACAATTATTCAGGTAAATCAATTTTATCCCCTTCAAAGTACTCCCCCTGTGACATAATGCACTTGTGCCAACGCCGTTTCCACTGTGAGAAGGCTCCTTGAAAGTCCTCTGGTTGTAGGTTTCTCAGCTGCCCCGTCGTAGCTTTTTTTATCTCATTTATGTCCCCCAAATGCCGCCCCCGAAGTACCAATTTGGTTTTTGGGAACAAGAAGAAGTCACACGGGGCCAAATCCGGCGAATAGGGGGGTGTTCGGTCACCGTAATGGAATTTTTACTCAAAAACTCACGGACAACAAGAGAGGTGTGGGCAGGGGCATTGTCGTGGTGAAGAATCCAACGCCCCTCTCGCGCCAATTCTGGACGAACTCGTGCCACACGAGCTTTGAGGCGTCTGAGCACATCGACGTAGAATTTTCCATCAACTGTCTGGCCTGGAGGGACGAATTCTTGATGGACAATCCCCCGAACATCGAAAAAAACAATCAACATTGTCTTGACATTTGAGCGGGATTTTCTTGATTTTTTTGTTCGTGGTTCCCCGGATGTCTTCCACTCTTTGCTTTTCACGGCCATTCTTGCCGAGTTTCGAGAAAAACTTGATTACGACGCGCTGCTCTTCAACGGAAGCGGGCTCCATGCCGACGGGGTTTCGTTAAGAGGTAACTTCACAGATGGCGTGACAAGCCAGTTCGCACCGCACGGCGGTCAGACCAGAACTGAAGCATTGTTAGGGACATAAGGAAGAGGTCCTGCGCTTACCTGGCCTCCCCACTCCTCTTTCTCGCATTCCAGAACACTTTTATACGAACTTTCCGGACAGACCTCGTATATGTTTTGTTTGTATGCTTTGTTAATGTCTTTTGTCTGTCAAGAACTTATTTAATAAGTGGCAAACAATCTAATAGTCCACCTGATGGCATGCGACGACTGTCGTTTATAGACATGAGCAATCTCATCTCTCAAGATAAATTATTGGAGGTATATGTAGCTATTACAGAATAAATTTATTTACACATTTAAAAACATGCTCGCACAGACATGTAGGTAGTCCTGAAGACTTATCGGTTATGCAGAGTGGTAATCTCGTCTGCGCTAACAGTATACGCTGGCGAGGCACCAGTGAGGGATGATATAGTTATAAGTCCATCGTGATATATATCAGCACGATGGTATATATATGAAGGACGACCAGACAGGATATATTCCCCTCTCCCATTCAATAATTATATTGCCATACCTCACTCTTCATAACAATATATATATATATTCAAGCACAATAGTTCGGTGGGAGAAACACGAGCGGAACACAAGTAGTGGCAGTATCAGAGACGTAGTACCTATAACATACTTTTTGATCTAAGGGTAAGTACACATAGCATATTGTTATGGTAACCCTTGCCTTGATATTTATACAGAGGAATTTTGAACAAATCTCTGTCTCTGTTAGTCTTTATAACAGCTTAGTCCTTAGGAAAAGCAATGCACGAGAGGCACTGTGCATCGTGACGTTTATCACTTTCTATCACGGACACCATCAGTATGTTTGCAATTTTAAGTTCTATAAAATCAAGATACAAACCTGTTGAAATTTCTATACGAATGTTCTTCTTCACCGAACAATTGGATATAATATCTTTGATGATGGCTATTGTTGTAACGTTATCAGATATAAATATACCCATTCCTCTCCTAAAACATGGAAATAAATTTTGTGCAAGTTTTCTTCGGTTAGTCTGTTATACATCTTATATATCTTAGTCATAAAGAATAGTAGCGCATAAGCGGGGGGAAAGGGATTGTTAGTAATAGGGATATAACAGTCGTTTTACGCTACATATATATACGTACGTACCAAATGGTACGACTATGTTAATGTATGTACCATAAGCATGTCCGGATATTTGACTCCACGTGAAAACGTTCATTATTGATAATATCATGTTAAATCCCTTAAAAAATACCTATATTATTTCATTATTTTATGTAACACTTACTGGTATCGACATACAAGTAAGGTTCGAAGAAGTGTATGAGATCGCGCGAAAGCTACATTCGCCGAGGGCCTTGGTAAATCACCAGGCAATGCGTCAGTTAGCCAGGATGTCATTTCCGCCACAGAAAAACTGCCTGTAATATGTACTTGGCACCAGGATCTGTAAATTTCATTAAGTAGTTAGATTGTTTTATAAAATATGATATTACATAAATAAATAACAGCATACATTTTTCCTCTTACATGTGCAACAGGGATTATATAAAACAGAAAAACTGTTTGTTTATATATACTATTATTACCTTGGTCCCCACTGTTCGGGAGGGTTGTTCTAAAAATCTAAGTATTAAACAGGCAATCTGCATTGTGGTTTTTAACAAACTGTGCTAAACGAACACTCAATTTGTCGACGATGTCAAATATGAAAACTATGGGCATCACAGTCTATTTTGTCATGTCCATGATGCGATTATTTCCACAAGCGACAGTTACCAGTTTCCATCAGGTAGGTCGTTACCTTATTTCTAAGATACATTTTTCCAACTGAAGTCGATATTAAAATACAAATATAATATTTTACTGTTTTAAACTAGGCTATTTATGGCAATTTTAAATGAGACAATTTATAATAATGAAATTAAATAGGAACCTTTTTTCATTCTCTTTATCCATATTCTCGTGTTGGGAGTAGTATGGCAATACGGGCAATCGGAGCGTAATAAGGCGAGCTACTCTAGGCGCAGCGGATGGCAAAGCGTATATAAGAACTTGTACGGATTCCGCCCTGGAAACTGGATCGTTTGCTTGGAGTATGTAACGCATGCGCACCCAAAGACGTCTAGTACCAGCTTGGCATCGCACTGTTGCTAAAAGATCCTTGGCGCCACTCTGGAATAAAAATGCAAATACCTAATGTAATATAAATAAAGCGTAATATTAAAGAGTAACGACATTCACGACAACTATGTTGGTGTGGGGGAAAGTGATTGTTAGTAATGGATTCTAATAGCTCCATTACTAGCAATATACCTACTCTATTAGATATACCTTCATGCGGTTCCCTCTGGAAACTATTGAGGCTAATTTTTGTTGAATTCGTCACGATGGTCCGACTGGCCTGCCTTCATCCTTACCTATCATCTCCTACTGGTGCACCTCCAGCGTATACCGATAGCGCAGATTGGTTATTTTCCATTTTCACTAATTAAAAAAGAAACGCGGTGGCGTACCAGTTACATATAATACATTATCTCATATTCCGACAGTCACAGATTCGATTTTCGTAAAATACAAATATCATTTTTTATGAATAGGTATGTCTATATGTAACAGGTGTTTTCTATAAACGCATTTAAAAAAAAAGTATTTAAGTATGTTTATCATTTGTCTAGTACCCATAGTACAAAATCTGCTTAGTTTGGGTCTAAAGGGCGTTGTGTTTGTTCAGCTATTGATTATTATTATTTACTAGCTTTTATGTGTGACTTTGTCCGCATGGCTGAGATTTGTTCACTGTAGTAAAAAGTAGCCTTAACCGTGTATAGTACGTGTGTACCAAATTTCATAGGTATTAGTAAGCCGTTAAAGTTCTAAGAGTTAACAAAGTCACTTTTACATTTCACTTGTTACCAAGTTTTACAATCCTCGCGCGTCTTATAACATCTAACAGTAGATGAAAATTTAACTGAGTCTATATCTAACATGCTATTTTTCATATGAATGTTTTCCTAAACCTACCTGCGATGAACATATGCTCAATACAGCTGCATTATCTGTTAGCAAGTCTAGTTTTCGCTTACAATAAATGAAAAGCATATCCAGAGGTACCGCGGAAGTGATTTTAGCCTCTTGCCAGCCATCACGAGTGGCTCCTTGTAGCTGTGAAATAATAGCAAAGGAAATATTTAACTTTTAAAATTAGAATTTGAAAATTCAGGCTCATTTACGTGATTACAAAGTCACCTCATACTGTATGTCCAATAATGGTGGAGCAGACAGTCCTCCATGTAAGGATCGTGTGTTCCGTTGGTATTTCTCACGTTCATTGGCAGTTTGTTTCTCTAGTCGTATTACTTCCGATCTATAAAAAAATAGTTTATAGAAGGAAAACGCCAATGTAAATTTATCGCGCAATATACGTGATAAATTTATAACAATTAAAAATTAATACATGTAATATACGTGAGACAGCAGAACTCATTTTTTTATTCATATTTATTTATGTTTGTGTAAGCGCAGAGTTTATCATTGATTCCTACACTAGGTTGAGCTTGTCCTGTAGGAAACAGAATTCGTATTACCATATACATGCATACAGAAATTAATAGGCGTTTTAGTATTACTGATAATTGTATTGATAATTTTACAATACTAGATGGACTTATCTTCATTTTTCCATACTTGTCAATAGGCAAGATCGCCATTTCATGAGGTTTACGCGGGTGAAGCTACTGTATGAAGCATTGTAAGTTATCTCACCAAAACAATAACGTTAAAATTTAATAAGGTATACGCACTCAAGTTTAGCTCGTCGGGATGCTAAAGCATCTTGTGGAATGTTAGTTAAATTAGCAACTCCCGGAACTAAACGTTGCGATCTAAGTCCGAAGATTCTTCCAGAGAAAGTAGCGGCAAGCAATTCATGGTCGTCTGTACCCACACAACCACCACATACTGATGTTACAGGTTCACCGCAGAACTGAGATATTAATAAAGTAATATGTAAGTAATGTATTCCTACTATTACGTATAAATAATGTCAATTAAGATATTTAGAAGAGAAGCTTAGACTCATTTAGATAGATGTATGCTTAAGCAATATATTAATTAGTAAGATTACACACAATGTACTTATAAGTATGTAATGTTCTCACGATGGCCCATGAATGAAAAATATGCGTCTACGTAGGCCATAAGGTATACACACATATGTGAATTTGAGGCGTGGTTTTCCAGACATATTTTCCATGTCGATGAGATAAAGCTGAATAGAACCATCGTGCCGGCCGACAGCAAGATGTGTCCCTCCATTCCCCATAAACCAGCCAAGGCACACTACTGATCCTAATCCTCTTCCTTCCATTAGACATTTACTCGTTAACGTTGAGCTGTGTACAGGAAATACGTATATATATAAATATATGTGTTTAAATTAGTTTTTAGTACTGTGTAGTATTCTTTTAGTACTGACCCTTCATAAATTATTAGGCCTAGAGAGCCGTCGGCTGCACCATAGAATGCATAGACATCAAGAGCATGCAACGATGGAGGGACTGCGAGCCTAGTAGGACCTGCAGATATAGCTGTATGGGCCAACGAATATCCATTCTCTAATATTTCTGCTCCCTTATTAGCGACTAGCACAAGGAGGCGCATTCGTGTATTCTGAAAAGGGTACATATTAAAAATATTTAGATTTTTTTTATTTAAAACAGACATTTCAAGTATTGGAATGTAAGTATATTTAGAATATAAATTATATATACCTATTTAATTATTATATAATTGTTGGGTTTCAAATAAAAAAAAAATTAACAATAAACAATTCTGTTAGTTTATTCCTATCGCAAAAATATCTTTAAGGGCACTTGTAGATAAGTACGTAATCTTGCTATACTTACATTTTTTTTTCTAATTTATGCGGTTTTGTTAGCATTTAAAAAAGTATCGAAAAAAAGTAATAAATAAACCTCTTGTGACAGACAAACAAACGTCGAGGTAATTCCATTTTAGATACGGAGCTTGGTATAGGATTAGAGAAAACTTAGTAGATTTTAATATGCACTTACGTTCGGTGTGTTATAAGCGGCAATATCTAATACTCGATCATCACAAATATACGAATGTATTTCGCGTAAATCTCGATAACATGTCACTGTCCGCCCACTGCATAATATTAGGTCGACGCCCAAAACGCACCTGCAGTTAACATACCTATAATCAATTAAAAAAAGTATAATTGTTTATTTCTATATACATCTGTTTACATACATAGACGTAATTGTTTCGGTGAGAGGAGTTTCGATTGTAAGGAACACTTTTCCCTTTCTGGTGTAGCCCTTCACCTCGTTACCGGAGGCTGCAAATATTTTATCTGTTAACGTTCCTGTAACAAATGAATTACATTAATTAATTTGCAGATACGTATTTTAGGTTTGTACGACGGGTGACGGGGGAGGGAGGGAGATTGTTAGCAATTTATGTTCTACTTAGAAGTTTGATCTCCGTAAGGCCTTCCTGGAAACCACTGGTAATTTCTAGTGTATATAGCTCTATGTACCTATACCATTACTAATTTAAATTACATGTTACAGAAGCATAAGACTATAGCTATAGTCGTCATCAACAGGAATGGCAACGCATAAAGGGGACTTTAGGTTTTTTAATGTCTAACGGTATACGCAAGCGGGGTATCAGTGACATGATAGGTAAGGATGAAAGCAGATCAATTAGCCCATCGTGACGAAGTACACAAGAATTAATCATGATGGTTTCCAAGGGGAACCGAGTGGAGATTAAACTGATAAGGTATATTGCTAGCACTAGGCTGTTAGACTCCATTACTAACAATCCCTTTCTCCTTATAGGACCATGGGTATTACAGCCTATTCTATGATTCCCATAGTTGATCTATACTGTTGCTGATACTTAGTCCGTAGTGTTAGACATAAGGCGACGGTTACCGTACATCAGACGGGCCGTTAGCTTGTTGTCATTCTAAGTTTCGTAAAAAAATTGTCTTAAGTGGGGAAGTATGTACCTATTTATATAGAAACTCCCCAGCATCTTCCCATAATAATTATATATAGGTAGATATCTATTATGAATAAAAAAAGTAAAAATATAACTACCACTACCATTACGCATAACAACACTCTCATCAGGGTGTTAGGGATTGTTAATAATGTGGACTACCAATCCTATTGGTAGTAGTATACCCTGTCAGGTCGACCTCCATCTGGAAACCATCGTGCTGAATTCCAGGCGTATTCATCACGATGGGCTAACTGTCCTGCCTTTTCATTCTCACCTATAATCTCTCACTGGTGCCTCACCAGCACTGTTAGTACAGGCGGGGCTACCACTCCATTAATATCTAATAAAAAAAAATTGTTCCCACTTTCTTTCTTCCCCAGCTATCTCAAAAGGTGGAATGATTCCTGATAATCGTGAAAACAGTAGGCCTAGGTATATCTATTTCTCTTATGAGGACAGATCATTACTCAACACTCTAACAGTGGTATGTTAATCAGTTATCATAGTGATAATAATTCAGATTATATTCTCATCGAAAATATTATTTACCCGTGCTTGAGGCAAGTTGTACAGATGTAATTGGTTTCCCGGGCAAAGTTTTAAATTGTACAACTGGTTCTTCGTCTTTAATACTTAGACATTGTAATACTCCGTTTTTGTCACCAATTGTAAACTGTATAAAAATAGGAAATAAATTTAATAGGACACTTTTTATATTTGACGATTTTTGTTGTGTAGTGGTTTAACACACCGCCACACTTTTCGATGGTCGTGGGTTTAAAATAAAAACCTTTATATTCATGAGCATACCTGTTTGTATTCGTCTATTTTCTATATATAATTTATATCTAAATAATTACAAAAAAAAAAAAAAAAAAAATTAAGAGCATCCATCAATTGTCTAGTATCTTGTTATACAAGCTCTGCTTAATTTAGAACTACATGTCAGTATGTAACGTTTTGTGGTATTTTTTGCTATAAACTATAAATACAGGTTTTTATTTACCTCTGTATAAATATTATACGTAATTATATTTTAATAGGTTTGTTATTTTTTAAATATAATAAATGATTTGAAGATAACATACCTTTTGTTGAATCTTTGGACCAACTGGAATGGGTAATATTTTTAGTGTATCTGGAAAAGTGATTCCACAAATTGTATAATCAATGCGCGACAAATCATAATCCATTGTTTTTTTATTTAATAATAATTGCCTATAACGTGTAATGTAAATATATGAAAAGTTCGTAGCGTTAAAAAATCAATAACACCTAGGTAACGATGCCGATTACATATTGTGACTTTAAAGTAAACAGTCAAAATAAGATCTCGCAAAGTAAGCATGCCATTAAGGTTTGTAAATATTGTTTGCATGAGTATTGTGTTTGCATGACTGTTGTTTGTAAAATACTGGGTACGAAGTACATCTGAATTTCACAAGAATGATAACTCCTAAGGCACTAAAGTTGTCATTTTGTATTCTGTGCTACCCATAGTGCTTTATAAGCGGTAGTTAGGTATCAACTTTTCATCAGGCAGGTCGTCATTTTCAGTTTGCTTGGGGATATATTTTATTCCTAGGACATAGGTAATGTGAGAGGAGAAAGTATTAAAACAAAATAAGAAACGATAGCACCAGAGTATGTTTTATTGTGAAAGTGTGTGAAAGAATTTTGGAGAAATTCAGTTGTAAATAGTATACACAAATAAAGTAATTATATTTATGAGTATGTTATCATTATGGGATACTCAAAAAGCATAGCAAACTCAATGAATCTACGTTACATATTTTTGGAAGGAAATTGTCAATAATGACAACTGGTGCTCTTATTGCTGGCAATGTATTAGGTCGATTTCCACTTGGTCCGCATGTAACGGTGAATTTGCTACAATTGAACCAATTGAGTTGGAATAGAATTCGCAATAATAGCAAACAGTTGCGATAGTAAAAGATTGTACAATATTTGTTGTCAATTTTAATTTTTGTATTACTCAAAGATTTCGGAATTCCTTGTTCTTAGATTTATAGCAAAGTTATTACTTAGAAGTATTAGTGAGCGATCGTAGATGTTGCCTCTCTAATGCGATTGCACTTTAAATTGCTTTAAATATCATGCCGTGAATACTTGCTAATGTTCTTAGATACTTACTCTGTGATTTTATATTAAAAATATTTAAAGACATTCGTCTGCATTTTGGTATCATAAATCTAAATAATAAAAATTGCGATATCTGTGATTTAACCATACGTAAAAGAATATAGTAGTGTAGTACGAATTTGTAATAATGATTTTTAGTTCTTAAATTTCTGAACAGAGGTAGTACTGATGAAAAATATCAAAAACATAGATAAGGGATAGTATCTATATTCTCTTTCTATGGAATAGTCTCTAATTTTCAGTGACAGTGCTACTGAAACTAAAAGTTCTTTCCTAATTGATTTTGCTATTTATTTATATTTTAATAAGTAACTTTTTACATTTATGCATTATTTTTAGTTTCTAGTGTACATGTAAACGACAGAGAACTTTTTTTATGTACGTGTAAACTTTGTCATACATGTTTATTTACATGTTAAATTAATAACCTATAATCATTTCATTTAAAGATATTTATTGTTAAACATGGAAATTAATAATGAAAATATTGTACAAGCTGTGGTGATAATGGACATTTTCAATAACAACTTTGATCCAATATGCAACAATAAACCAATGGTAAGAATACCACTTAAATAAATATGTTACAACTTCTGCTCCTTATATTCTCTCCTCTTATATTTTCCATATAGCATCCATCATTCCATGCTTTACGACTTTAACAAAACGTAAACAAAAGCTTATGAAATAAGTGTGACATAGTCAAATATATGCATAGAATATTAGATAGATTTTAGATGACTAGATAAAGTTCTGTTTAGTTGCTTTTGTTGTATCAAAATAACTGATAATGTATGCTGTGGACATACAACTTTCTTGTTTATAACAAATATTTTTTACCATATAATCAATTATTGTTTTTCAGGCTTTTTTGTCAGTTGCGGGTGTTGCATTAATTGATAATGTACTCGAGTCTTTGGCTTTGGGAGGAGTGGGTGAAACAATTCTGTTTTGTTGTCAAGATGGATCAAAAGTGAAGGAACACCTTAGGTGATAATAAATTCTTATTCACATATTATAGAACTAACAATGTTATTATTCTTTTAAAACAGAAATTTCTAATGCAGGAAATGTAGTCAAATGAAAGCAACATGGAGTCTAACTATGGAGGTCAATGTTTTAACATCAGAGACTTGTCAAACTATGGGTGATGTAATGCGAGAGATATATGAAACTGGTCTTATCAGAGGATACTTTGTCTTAATGAATGTGAACAGTATTACCAACATTAATTTTGCATTCTTATTGGAAGAACACAAGTAAGACTATAATATAATTACTATTATAAATACATGTAGTATTGTATGTAGTATATTTAGTAGTCTGGAATAAAGTCTAAATTATATCTTTATATTAAAGATTAGTGAGTCTAATCTTGTTATAGTCCAAATGTTAGTCTGTAGAACATTATTTTTATAAGTAAATTAATACTTTAATTATAGTCAAATAATTATATTGAATTTTGAGAATAGAATTTAGAGCACTCAAAATTACAGGATTTCTAAAATATAGTGTGGTGATCCTTTATATTATAAAGGCATTTGCTGAGCATTTTAGAAATTCTTGCAGGAATAAATAATTGTTTCCACAGGTAAAAAATGTAACTAGTACCTATTAAAATAATTCATCAATAAATAATTACAATGTTATTTTTCTTTTTGTTATAGACAGATTTCTAAAAAGGATAAAGGTGCTGCAATGACTTTGGTATATAAGAAAGTGTCATGGGAACATCCTCTAATAAGTTGGGATAAGCCTATTTTTCTAGCTGCTGATGGAAATACTAAAAAAATACTAATTCATGAAAAATATAGACCTAAGTCAAAGGATAAGACAATTAATTTACCTTTGGTTTGTATGTTCATTATTAGCATAATTTATATGGTCAAGCCATGTAATGGTCTGCGGAGAAGGCCGCGACGCGGGACGCGGAGCAGCGGCGAGAGGACTCGCGGCTCGCGGACGGCAGGCAGACACAGCATAGTGGCAAACGCACACGCATATATTCGCACAATAAATTGTCGGCCTAAACTTGTATTTTACAACAACATTCTGCTCTTATTCTCCCTGAACACATATGTATTCATATTATTTATTAACTAAGTAAAATTGATATTTCAGGAGGTCATACTAAGCCATTCAGAAGTTAAGTTACACCACAATCTCGCTGATGCCAATATTGCCCTTTGCTCACCCTCAGTGCTTTCACTTTTTTGTGATAATTTTGATTTTCAAACTCGTGATGATTTTATTCATGGTATCCTAATAAATGAAGAAATTCTAGCTAGTTCATTATACTACGTTTTATTAAAAGATCATCAGTATGCTGCAACTGTCTCGAATTGGAAAACTTATCAAGTTATTTGGTGGGTTTGTATTTATTATTCTTTATTCTACATAGAGATTCTCATTAGTTTTTAAGGTGTAGTTGGTGTTGTTTGTTATGACTGAAGTTGTTGAGGGAAAATTCTACTATTGTCTATCTCTAAAACTAAAATTTTATTTTGATATTACAGTAAAATTGATAGTGATTCTAAGGACAAGCATAAAATTGAATTAAAACTCATAATAAAAATATTGAAGATGATAAATTTAAGGAGTGCTTTAAAATTAACCACTTAATGCAAAACACAATATTAATTTTTTCTTTTATATTTTAGCCGAGACATTTTGCATAATTGGGTTTATCCATTGTCTATAGAATCTGGATCGTTTTATCAAAATAATTATGTCAGCACAGGAAATCATATTTTTCGTGATACAAGTTCTATATTGAGCAGGTCAGTGTGAATTATAATATTCATTTATATAATAAAATTATATCTCCTTTTATTATTATATTAATTAATATTTTAACCAATTTCAAATTGACAGATCTTGTACATTGTTTGAAGATGTTCTAATTGGATCAGATACACATATTGGTGATAATACTGAAGTGACGAAATCTATGATAGGGAAGAGATGTAAGATTGGAAAGAATGTAAAAATTTGTGGTAGTCATATTATGGACAATGTTGTTATCAATGATAATTGTAATATATCTAATAGTTTCATTGATGAAAACTGCATCATTGAGGGAAATTCAAAAGTGGAAAATGGTACAATTATAGCATCTGAGGTCACTATAAAAACCGGTACTCAATTAAATGGAAATATTATAAATTCTGAAACTGACAAAGAAAATGGTAAGTAATAATAAAAATTAATATAGAATATAAAGCAGTATTTAACAGTTGGAACATATCTATCTGAAAATTTGCTACATTAAGCTTAAGTTCAAATGTATAAACTATGCCCTATTATGGTTATACATAATAATATACATTTTTCAAATCTATTTTATATGCTTTTTGCAATGTTTTATTTTTAGAAAAAACCTTACATAAATCTACATCTGAAGGTGAATGGGAGAATGATTCCTCGGGTGCTGGAGTTGATGAATTTATTGGATTTGAGAAATCTTGGAGTGACAGTGAATCTTGTTATTCATCCGATAGTAGTGCAGAATCTTCTCTGCCTGATTCACCTGTACCGGAAGATACTAATAGTAAGAATATTATTTTTTAATATATTTGTTTCTAAATAAATAACCTCAGAATAATAATAATAATAATAAAAACTTATACTAATATCATATTTTCAGTATTCCTTCAAGAGGTAATCGATAGTTTGGCCAGAGGATATGATGAAAAGTTGAAGTGTGATTTTCTTATATTAGAAATCAATTCATCAAGATATGCATACAACATCCAGCTTCATGAGGTCAACTTCTTTGTAGTGAGAGCATTGCTTAGTTTGCCAGTTCTTACTGAAAGTAAAAATGTACTAAGTACTGTAAAAAATATATTAAAGTTCTTCCGTCCAGTCTTATCTAATTACATAAAGACTAAATCTTCTATAATGGATTGCTTGAAGGCTATTGAAGTAAGTTTTATTTCCATATTATATAAACACTAACAATGTATCAATGAAAGAAAAAACTTAATACTGTCTTTAATATTTCAGGATAGTTGTATTAAATGTGAATGGCTTGATGGCAAAGCTGGCCAGATACTACATTTATTTTATGAAGATGATGTTGTAGATGAAGACTCATTACTAGAGTGGCGTGAAGATTTGAAAGAGAATGAAAGTCCCATTTTCAATCAAACTTCAATTTTGAAGTTCTTTGAATGGCTTCAAGAAGCAAGTGAAGAAAGTGATTCAGATTGAACTGTATTATTAATATTGTAATATAATAAATAAAAGTTTTTAATTAAGAGTAATTTATTAAGTATATCATTAATTTTTAATTTATATTAATATGATGAATTTTGTCTTGCAAAATATTTATCGAATTGTGGCATATTGTTGAAATTGGACTGTAGAGAAATTTCTGAACTTGTTGATGTCAAATGATGTAGGTTCACATGGTGAGTGAACTTTAATCTGCCTCATGTGTGTGTCCCGTCCATTTTGATGATTGCTTAGCACTGCAATTTGGATCATGTAAGTTCTGATAGGCCTGTCATGCATATCCTTGATTGGTATCATTTCCCACCCTAAAATGTATAAAAAAAAATTAAGAATTATCTTAATTATTATAAGCATATGTTCATGGTAATAATAAACTACATTATTAAGAATATAAAAGTCTTAACCAAAAAATTCAATAGAAATATAAAAAAATATATTCTATATAATATTATTTTTATATAACAAATATTTACAATTATTAATTGTCAAGAATCTAATCTTAAATGATTTATCATCAAATCTACTTATTACAGAAGTGCATTTTTTGGATGTGACTTCTACACAACAACAACTACAAGGGTAGATTGATAACTCAGGTAAAATAAAGTAGTAATACTAGTATATGTTATAGTATGTTTGGACAGGTCATTATTCTGAGAATACATCATGAAATCATACTGATATTTGAATTAGTATAGCTCTCAGTTGTTTAGATCAACAAGTTGTTTTTTTTTTCACTGTTAAAATGGAAAGAAGTGGATTTTGAATGTTAATAAAACTTCTTTAATGCAAAAACCATCATGGAAAAGAAAAATCTCTTAATAAATATTATGGTGAATCTTCTCTATTGAATTTAGTTGTGGTAGAACAAGCATAGAAGACACTTTTTGCTCAGGACATACAATTGAGGTAACCACTCCAGAAATGATTAAAATGTTGTATTGGGAGATCAATGAGTAAAGTTGAGAGAGACAGTCAACATTGTAAACATTTCATATGAATAAGTTTTTTTTTTATTTCCTCCAAAAAGAGAAGAAGACAAATGGAGAATATTAAGCTACACACAGACTAGTTAAATCAAGAAATTAAAATGGCCTTATGAAACAAGGCCTGTTTCATTATGATAATGCTTCTGCCCATTCTTCCACCATTGCAATGGTCAAGCTGATAGAGTTATGCTACGAATTCCCATTCACCATATTCTATTAACTAAATCCAAGTAATTTCTTCTTTTTGTCAAATTTTAAAAAAAGGCTTGGAGGATTTGGAACTGATTTAGAAGTTATCTACAAAACTAAGCCATATTTTGATGGCCTTGGAAAAGTTTAAAGAGGGAATCTAAAAACTCCAACATTGTCTAACTAAATATATAGCTCTAACAGGAGATTACATTGAATAAATAACACAAATTTAGAAAAAATATGTTTTCCTTTCCTTTTTACTAGATTTATCACTCCATTTTCATACAGGTTAACAAGTGCTTTATTATATTAGCCTTTAACTGTCTATTGCAGAATGCAGCCTTCCCCTTGGGGAGTTTTGCCACTAGTTGCCAGCTTGGCAGGCAGATTCGTAACCACAGTTAGGCTTTGTAGATGTTTTAAGAGGAAGGTTGCTGCCCATCCCTCGACTTTCCTTAGTTGCCTTTTATGACATCCACAGAAAAAGAAGGGACAGCCTATTATATCCCAGGACCACACAGCATTGTTTTTGTAAATTCTTCTAATTAGTTCATGAAAATTATTCTTCAATAAACTGTTGTTTTACAAATAATTTCTCACCACTTGGTTCTATAAGCTCAATAACCTCAATCTCCTGCAAATCATTAAAATGTGTTCCAGCTCGGATTGATATTCTACTTGGTGTATAGCTTTCATCGAGTTTGTAATCTGTGTAAATATAAATATGTGAGACCATTGTTTTTCTTTGGAATTGGATGTTGACTAGATGAGGTAGTTGGCCATCAGACTGCCAATATGTATCCATACAATCATCTCGTAATTGGTCAATACCAAAGCCTAAAAAATAAAGAAAGTAAAATGAATGATCATAGGGTTCACATCCATGACGACAACAATGTTATTGAAATTGCATTTTTAGTTATATTGTAAATGAAAATATTATGACCTGGTTTACAAGAAGACAAACTCCATATTGCATGATTTCCTACTTCTCGAACCGTTCCTGACCTCTCGCTAACAAGTGGATCCTTTTCTGATCCCATTTGTTTTCAATGTTGTAATAAAATCAGAGTTCACTATTATTGCTGTAGTGTTCTTTACTAAATATTTTAAATTGAATTAAAACTGAAATTTGTATTATCCTGTAATTATTAAAGGGAACAAATACAAAATCACAAACTATATAGAGATACTAAGAATAATATACAATTAACATTTGTTAATTATATATTATTATCATTGCAAAAATATAAGTTTTTTTTCTAGTACGTTTGTTGTGGAAGAGGCTAAGGTCGGAGACCATGCTGCCTAGTTTTCAATATGATAATTTGTCTGGAATTTCCTAATCTATGATTTTTTTTAGTACGTTTGTTCCGTTGTGGAACAGGCTAAGGTCGGGGACCATTTTGCCTAGTCTTCAATATGATAAATTGTCTGGAATAGCCTAATCTGTGATTGTTGATCTATCAGTGTCAATGAAAATAGATTAAAAATATATGCCGTAAAACATTGCTTAAAATGGGGTGAAGACTATACATTTCTGATCTTTAACATCAGACTGTGTTTGACGTAGATTTTCAAATTATTTCTAAATTAACATGAGACATTAAATATATTTATTGCACTATATAAAATAAAATATTAGGGGTTTATTTAGGGGTGAATAGAAAAATTTGCCAAGGCTGTTAAAATGTTTCAAATGGCAGAATTAGATTTTACGTATCTTACAATTAAAATGTATCTAATTAAATCACTTAAAGATGTTCGTACCTTGAACCTTGTACCTTGAACAGTAAGGGAACTCTTAAAGGGTTGGTAGTATGAATTAACAAAATTGTCAGTAGATTTCACTTATACAGTTTATAAAGTCCAAACAAATTATATATATATATATATATATATATATATATATATATATATATATATATATATATATATATATATATATATATATATATATATATATATATATATATATATATATATATATATATATATATATAATAATTAAAACTTTCCTGAAATCGTTTCTGTTCACCCAATGAATTCTATACACCCCTTAGATAAAGTAAAAGAGAAAAAAACAAAAATAAAAAAAATACATGTATGTTAGAGCAAAATAGAGGTTTATAATATGTGAACCTTACTAAAGTTCGTGTATTATAAGCTCGTAAAAGATTTGGCGGGAGTGTGAACAAATAAATTCTTATTATTTTCACATTTTGAACTATAATAAAAGAAATAACTCAAACTTTTACATTTTTTACGTAAGTAGGTACACTTTATACATTTAGCTCTTTAAATGCAATATTTAAAAAAACAGTATAAGTTATAGGTAGTCTCTTTAATTTGTTGTTATAGGTTCTAGTCTATATTTCTAATTTTAGTATAAGTGGAATTTTATTATTTTAAAATATCGGTTAAGAAGACAAATACATTAAAAATGTTTAATAGAGATAGGTTGCATAAATGAGTACGGAGGTACAATCAATTATAGTTTACGGTCAGTAGATATTAATAATTAACTATTATAAAATATAATTATTTAATTATATAAAGTAAATCAATATTAATTGATTGACTTTTTTAGGATAACGGAACACTTGATGTGTTCCGTTATCCTAAAATGTCGTTGTTGTTTAATATTATTAATTTTTGGGTTTTATTTATATATCTATAAAACAAAATTTAATTTACTATTATTTCGTTTAGTACACATATTCTGGTCACGCGGACAAAATATAATATTATATAACCTACTGTTGTGATAGCAGAAATTTGCACGGCGTTTAACGTTTACTGCCTCAGCAGATTAATTTAGGCGAGACATAAATGACGTAACTTTGGAAATTGTTCGCCCAAGTAATAAGGAGGGAATCGTTGCGAGCTTTTAAACAAGCTTATGTTTCTGATTCTAGCTAGTAATTTTATACAAAAATGCATTAAATTGTCTCAAGTATAGATAGGTATACAGTACGTACCGCCCATAGTAATATAACAATATAGATATTTGTGGTGCCTCCACTGTGGGTAGGTGTAATTTCTGCGATTTGTTAAGATGAGACTGGTTTACAAATTGATAACTAAATAATTAGTGGTTATATTGTGGGCATGCAATTTCACCATAGCATGTGGGTGGCTGGTTGGGCGAAGCGCGGGAACTGCCCTCACAGGGAATCCCAAACGAATACCAAATGTTGTATAAATTTAGTTCCGCTTATGCACATGGACATTATCATTTCTGTAAGTGAAGAAAAAAATAGCATCAGAACTAAATAATTGATAAAAACTTATATATATATATATATATATAGATTTGTAAAAGAATTTACTTATAATAATAAAAATTTTTTTGGTATTACTTATTATTGGGCCGTTATGAAGCACATCAACTTACAACTAATGCGGTTGATGCAGATAAAAGAAATCAATTTCAAATTCTTAGATTATAGAGTGTCTCCGTAAAAATTATTCAAGAAAAACGGCCCAACTTTTTCATACAATTTTGCGTGATAAATAGATACGAGTGATTCCTTTATAACTTCTATATTTATTTTGTCTTATAAATGTCTGTATCTTTTTAATGCGTAAACACTCATTTGTTAAATAATACGTCAAGATACATTTTATGCGTAAATATGTAGAATAATAATAAAAATTATAATATTTCATAATTTGACAGTTAGCTGACAAAAAGTTGACCCATTTTTGAGTCTTGATGCCATAATTATATGATCAAGTTCAAATTATATACCATGTTATTATATTTATTCATACATCTAAATCTTGTCTAAAAAGGACAGTTGATCCTACATCTAGCTTATCTCTATAATTTTGTAACCTTATCCTTTTTAACAAATCCTTATCTTTATTAATATCATAAATGTGAAGATGAGTTTTTTTTTATTTCAACGAATATTATACAGACTTATGTCGAACACCTACTTTTAAATTTTGATTCGATAATGCAAGTATAGCAATCATTACGTCATAGTTTATTCGTTAATTTTTGAAATACAGTATATTCAATATTCGAATATTAATAATCTACATATTATGTAGCTTTTTTCGTATTTAGCCGAATGAAAAAAAAAATGAAAGAAGCCGAACAGAATGAATATCGAATAATAATCGAATATTCATTACAAATGTAGTTTTTTTTTGTTTCTTTATTTGTTACTAAAAAGGTTTTTATAATATTATTCTATATATAATTTTCTTTTTGTTATTTTAAACCCTATGTCAAACTTTGGTTTATGGTTTACAATTATTAGGTTACAGTAACTTATTAGTTTTCTCAGGAATTGTCAGGATTTTAAAATCACACAGTCTTTATTTTACATAAAAAACAGTAAATAATTCTCAGTATGCTGTTCGGTAGAAAGCAAATTGAACAATTGAGTGGATTTACTGGGAGTTTCGTATGTTTCGGTTTGGCGGCTTTCATAGGTATGGTTTACATTACCGACTGAAAACCAATAGTCGCTTATCTTCCATTTTATAATAACAAATTAGATTTTTCAAAAATAACAAAATCTGGTTGTGAATAAGTAAATATTGTATTAATGAACATAATAGAATAGAGAACAATGGATGGGTAATGACAGGTGGTCATGACTATACAGAAGCTAGTTATTTTAATATAATAGAAAGGGCATACGCAGCGCACGCGTTCATAATAATACAACTGGAGTCTGGAAAGAGAAAGGAATTATAATAATGACTGGTCTTCAAGATCAGGTGTGCTCAGATTTGTAATAAATTGTCAACCGGCTTTGGCGCAGCCGGCGCACGCGCAGCTGCCCTCAGCCCTCCTCCGTGCCTCCATAGTCACGCGCCCTCCGAATAAACAGGGTCTCATTGTATTGAATTGTATTATTTTTCTTTATATATTTTATTAATAATTGTTCTGTAATAAATTGTAGAATTATTATCAGCATTATATTTCTTTAAAAATGGATTAAATTATTACGAGTACCGATGTTTGTTTTAATTTGAAATGATTATTTTAATAATAATATTTTTCTATTGACACTAAACTTCCATAACTATATCTTATTAGGTAGGTAGATATATGTTAAACTATTTAGGTGTAATCCTTATTCTGTTATTAATATTAGTGAGTTTGTTTGATACCATATAGAGCCTTAATGGCTCAACCAATCATTATGAAATTTGGTATATATGTACATACTGTATGGTCAGCAGCTTCCCATAGGATGGAGATATAAACTGCTGATTATTTCTAATGGCTTAGGAAAGCATTATTAATTAAGAGTATTAATTTATTACTCGAGGAAGACATTAGTGACTTTTATATATATTGTATACTAAATATTACCACATTACTATTACTCTTTGAAAATTTTTATATATTTTATTTTATTAAAGTATCATTGTAATATATAATGATATCCAATCTATCTGTGCTGTTAGTTTTTTACACATAGTGTAAACTTATAACAAAGGCAAGGTTATTATTTTATTGCGAGGTTTGAGTTCGATTCCTGGTTGGACCAATATAGGAGACAAATATTTATGATTTGACTTGGGTCTGGGTGTTCAGTACTTACACTTAAATGTTCGTACCCTGGTTCCATATAAGACAGGAACATCTTAGCTTGACGATCAAGTGATTGGTGTGATTATGTGATACCACACACTAAAATGCCATCTCAATATATGATATAATCTCAGAGGATATTCACTTTTGCGTGGATATTCAATTGACTTTTTAAATAAAAGGGATGGATACGTTTAGTTCTCATGTATAATATATCTACAGAGGTACAAAAATGAACTCCGTAGTCTGACCTCCGTCTGCATAGCTTTTATTTTGAATGCGACGATACTGATAATGATTAACTAGGTATTTTTACTACAGGGAGACTTTGTACAAAAGTCGTTTGCTTGGGTACCTCTGTCCCATTCGTGTTTCAACCGTAAAGCAGTTGTGTTTGCATGGCTGTGTTTCGGTTTGAAGGGGGGGATATGGCGTGAATTTACAGGGTACACAGGAATAATACATGAATCCTCAGGAATGGCAATGCATAGGGGGTATCATGGTCGAAACAGTATACTCTGTTATGTCCATGGTACTACTCATGTCTATAGGTGACGGTTACCACTTTCCATCAGGTGGACCGTCAACTTGTTTGCAATTGTAAGTCGTATAAAAAAAAGTATATAAAAAGTTCTTGTTTTGATTTAAAGTATAGGTACCGCGTACATATTCTATTTAACTAATGTTATTAAGGCTATATAGGCTAGGTATTTTTATTTATAATTAATCGAAAGTGAAAGCAGTTTTCTGTAAACACAATATAATTTCTGTAAAAACATAAAATTTGTTGTTGTATTTTTTGTTACAGTTATTGAGAAAAAGGGTCCCGATCTGGTCCGAGCGCTTTACGGCCAAGGACTTTTTTAAAGTTTGGTGGGGAGAGGCATGGAGTATACGCGCGTTCCGATACACTCGTAACGTAACTTGGGGGTACAGTTTAGTTTACACTTGACTGTGGGCAGTCGTCGTGCGCTTGCGCAGACTACGGCGACGTACGACGCACGAGTTCCGATACGAATATTGTAAACAAAAGGCGCAATTGCGCGAAATTTAAACGTATCTTCAGATATTGTTTTCTACCTGCAAGTAAAGTTTACCTGTGATACATATATCAGTGCAGTAAACAGTGTTCAAAATGGATTTGTCCTGTGGAGAGAACATAGAAAACTCCGGGAATCAGGAGTGCGGCAGCCGGGCTGTGGATATGTGCATCGCCGGCCCAGATCGAGCTTTGGACCATGATCCTCGTGTCATATTAAATTTATTAACTTTGGAGAGGGCACATGCTTTGCATACAGACTACTTCCAGAATGTGCAGATTGATATTCAGCCATTTATGCGGAAAGTCGTTACCACTTGGATGTTAGAAGTAAGTTGTTTTTTTCTAAATATTCTTTTCGAGATGATGAATTACTTGGGAGTTAATAATGAGTTGTATTACAATGACAAAACTTAACCCATAAGAATATATGGTGATTGTGTTGATTTATAGGATTTTAGAACAATAGATCGGTTTACACTTCCGTGGTAGTTCCGTCAACAACTGATTAATATTAAATAGATGTCAATGACCGCAATTTATAAGATAATAAGATCTTATCGCAATAGAGCTGTGGTAAAAATAAGCATTGACAATATCTATTTGATTTGTACTTTTTTTTATAGATATGTAGTACCTACCGTTTGTTTTTATTTTTCTTATTTCAAATTTAAGGTGGGAATCCACTTATTCTTAAATGGCACTCTAGCGTGGATGAATTAAGTACCTACCTACATGCTGAATATTGTATTATATGATTTTTTTATTTTGTGGATGAGTAGATATAATCATGTTATATTAATAACTGTCAGATACTTTGAGCTTATCCAATATTTAAGATTTGTTAATTAGATTTTCCTTTTATTACTGTATTAAATTTATTTATATTAATTTCATTTAATAATTTTACATATAAACGGTTTTGACCAGGTAAGTGTTTGATATGATAGCATTGATAAAAATTGAAAAAGATTTAACTGTACGAGATAGCCTGCCAAAGACACTATTTTATAGTGTGGGTAGGTACTTAAACTACCCTATAATTACCTTATCAAACATTATCATACGTATTACTATATTAACATATTGATGATGTTAGGTAAAAAGATCCAGTAGTCTGTTAATTATACCTATAAATAATAAATTACTATTCTAAGTTCTACAACTTCTAAGTCATATACCTATGTATATAATAGCAAACCCTTATCCTTGTTAATATTACAAAATGGTGAAAGTGAGTTTGTTTTTTACCCTATAGCGCGTTAATGGCTTAACCAATTACTACGAAGTTTGGTATACATGTACTATATGGTAGTGAGAAGCTACTTTCTATCCCGGTCAGTATTCATATCCCGGTCACACGGACGAAAGCTAGTAATATTATAAATGCAAAAGTTTGTATGGATGTAGGATGCATGTATGTATGTCAGTCTTTTATGCTAAAACTACTAAACGGATTTGATTGAAATTTGGTGCACATGAAGGTTATATCTTAATTTCGTACTTAGGATACTCTATATACTTGTTCACGTGGGCAAAGCAATGGGACACAGCTAGTCTTAAATATCACAGACACTAAATGTGAAAGCTGGGCTGAGGCTGAGACGTTACGAGCCCTTACAAACGCCTATCAACGGAAACTTTTTTATCCACTTTTTTACCGAGTTTGCCTCTTCAATGCACACGGGAATCTTAATGGGTAACTAAAGTACCTACATAAGGTAAAAACTCCACTGCATTTGCAGCCATTATTTAACGGATTAAATGCAAGGGTGTAGTTGTAGTAGTGTTTGTGTATTAATTTAGAATTAGAAATTGCAATGGCTGGTAACATTATTTAAACATGTAGGTATCTATTTATTTCATAACTATAGATAAGGTTATTTACTTTATTAAAATAAGGTGTTTAAATTAAATTTATTTCTTTCTATATTAGTCATAAATCTTACTTTTTAATTACTTTTGATTTGTAAGTATAACTTTTATAAAATAAAATAAATTCTTATTTATAATGAACTAGTTATTTAAGTATATACACTTTGATGTATAAATATATAAGGAATATATCCAATTTATCATTTCAATGGTTATGATAATTTTGCAAATTATCCGAATATATTTTTAACATGTTTTGTTTATTTTGAACCAGGTGTGCGAAGAACAACAATGTGAGGAGCAGGTGTTTCCTCTTGCCGTAAGTTACATGGACCGGTTCCTTGCTCAACGCGCCATCTCGCGGCAACAGCTGCAACTGCTGGCTGTCACTGCAATGCTTCTGGCCTCCAAATTCCGGCAGTGCCATCCTCTGTCTGTCGACCTTCTGTGTGCTTATACAGATAATTCTGTATATCCACAAGAAGTTCGGGTAAGTTCTAAATGTTTCACCACCCGTGAAATATTATTAAGTAGAAACCATTTTAAGGATTCACACCGAAGCCTGTATGTTTGATGTTTGTAATTTTTTTTTGTTACGGACAAGAGTATTTATTTATTTATTTTTTTATACCACTGAGGTGGCAAACAAGCATACGGCCCACCTGATGGTAAGTGGTTACTGTAGCCTATGAACACCTGCAATACCAGAGGTATTACGCGTGCATTGCCGACCCGGAAGAAACCTCTTTACCCCCCTTTTGAACTTACAAAGTTCCCATGTTTAACCGCGGATTCGGGCTCGGGTGCTGTTACAAAAGAGATGGCAGTTGAAAATTTGGCGATGTTTCAAATGACATAATTGATATTGTTGAGTACTTGTCTTCGGTCGGCGGCAGTTTCAAGCGTACATAGTATTTCATTCTACGTACTATGTAATTATAATAAACAACGCGTAGAGTACATACAATTTGCAATTAATGTTCCATTACAAAGAAAATTGCAAAGCTTGAGGGATTACAATATGCTTAGAGAAACTTCTTTATTTCAACATTATTGTTTATCATCATCTTTATCATCATATCAGCTTTTAACTATCCACTGGCGAACATAAGCCTCCCCCTTGGGGGGTTTTACCAGTGGTTGCCATGCTTGGTAGGCGGATTGGCAACTGCAATTAGGCTTTGGAGATATTTAAGAAGGACGCTGCTCTATACCTCGCCCTCCTTTAGTCGCGTCTTACGACACCCACGGGACAGGAAGGGGTGGCCTATTCTACGCTGGGACCACATGGCCTAACTATTGTTTATACGCCTTAGAATAGATTTTTCATAAATAAATATTGTAAATTTTATTTTTCTTTACTAATGCCAAATTAATTACGTTAATAATGTGTAAGTGTATACATGTTCTATATGTCAAAATATCCACCATCACTTCTATTGTACTACGCACAATCTTATAACACAAATTAACATTTCCTTATGTAATTGCGTTAGATAAACATGTTTTCATAAAAGGTCAAGTAGTTCCGACGCATCCACGCACCTTACATCCTGCCGTGACCACAACTTACTCATTGTTTTGATTCCACTGTGAATGAACTTGATTAGCTGAGTCAAATGTCACTCCTTCACCCCAAAGAGGAGGTCCTTATATTGCCCGTTTCCTTAAAGTCGCATGGAAGTTTCCGGTAATTATATCTTCCTTGACGCATTTTAACCAAGGCACTTATTGTCGCCCTTCTTAAGTAAGCTACAGCCTGTGACGACATCGAATTTACTGTTTACTTGTTTCCGACGGAAATGAGGGCACGAGACCGATATAAGAGATAGCAGCATTACACTAAGTGAGGACTAAAGTGTTAAAAACCACAATAAGACGATTTAAAGCTATCTAAGTACTTTAATTAATCAAATGGGTGCGAACAATATTCCCACACTGTTGACGTAATAGCATAAAAATTGTCATATTCGTCATTGTATGGATAGGCAGACAGGCAGGTGTGACTTGATCAATTAGTGTAGTACCAGTACCGCTGATGAATGTGACTTACGTCACACAATTCACACGCCTCTGCCACCCCTGTCAGGTGACAAAAATTATGAACTTTTAAAAGATCCTCATTATAATGTTCGTAAAGATAATAATAAAATATATGTACTTATATTTCCATGAAGTCTACGCTTTGGTAGGTTTTGTTGATATACATATTTAAATTGTTCCGACATATTTTATACCGTGAGAAAACCCATGGTAATTCCTTCAGAGCACCGTATGGTATCGGGTATACGTTTCCTTGCAATTAATTCGGGCGATGATCGCGATAGGACTGCACTACGCATACTTAATGACATTACATAGTATGCCATTGAATAATACTTTCCCATGCTCTTTGACTTCATAATTTAGGAGTCATTTGTTAAATATGGTAGCTTAACTCTAACTTAATTATCTCTAACAAAACTTAATATATATAATAACATATTCGATTCTTTTTGTTTTTTTCCCTAGATATTTTTATCTACATTACTCATTATAAATTATAGAATTCATTGAGATAAGTAATATTAGACATACTTGTGATATCAAACTATCTCATTACAATCATACGCATAGCATACGCTATAATATTAAATATTTAGAGAAGTTTAACGAACTCTAACACTGATTATTATTAAGTATTAACTGTGGACTGATGACACTCACCCTCGTTTATCGCTAACCACAGTTTATCATGAAAATAAAGAAGCCAGTGTCTCTTTTGTAAAGCTTCTCGGTAACTTAAGCATGAACTAGAAACAACCCTCATTATTTTAATACACTATCAGTCTCCCTCTGCAAAATTTAGACATCGGTCCCATGCGTTGCTCCCTTTCTTAGCACAGTACTATTTTCATTTGTAAAGTGATTCGCTACTTTTTGCGGTTTCCGCCTAACCCATCAAGTATGACGACTGTAATAATAATTCAACTGCTAAGAATAGATAGTACTCAAAGAGGGGCCTCTTTCAATACACATGGTTTAATACATGATTTAAAAAATTAGAATAATGTATGAAAAGAGCTATTATGAGTATGATTATTTTTTGTTTTCGGTTTCACACGGACGACATCGCTTCCTTTTGATGTGACACCGATTTTACTTTATAGTGAAATCTATAGAACAATTATTAATAAAGATATTTATTTCTCTTTGTTATAGCAATGGGAAGTGATGCTTTTACAGCGGTTGAACTGGCAGCTCTCAATCGCGACAGCGTTCGACTTTGTGGAGCCATACCTTGCGAGAGTGCCTTGGGGAAGAAGCAATCCACTCGTGCGCACTCATGCACTCACGCTCACCTCCGTTTGTTATACTGGTAAGTCTATATTCTATTTATTGGCAACTCATTATAAAACGACAGCAAACATTTTGACACATGCGGGCCGAAACGACTTCCTTGTCCTTTGTCTTAATAATCGTTAATTAATAAGTTTGGGACGCGTTAATTGATAATTCGTCGTATATTTTTATAATAAGTAAGTACCTATGTGTGTCACTTTGTTCGTAAAATGATTCTAGTGAAATAATACATATGCTGTAAGCACGAAGGGGTGCCGGACGCGTGTATCGGAACGCGCACATGCTGCCCGCGCTGCGCACTGATAGCGCGCACACCTTGCGCACAACCCCTCAGCCACTGACCCTCAACCACTCCCATTGTCAAATTACGCACGAAATGACTATCACGATTATACGGCGTGCTATTTGCATCACTTATTTAAAAATACACATTTATTGATGAACATTATATATATATTCTTTATTGCACTAAAACATACAGTAACAACAATAAGTTAATAACAATGTTAGCAAAGGCGAACTTATCTCTAAAAGAGATTTCTTCCAGTCAACCTAACGCAGTGGCATAGGAAGTAGTGAGTGGGCAGTAGTAGTGCAAGACAGAAATTTAAATAAATATTTACATAAATTATAAATAATACCTAAGTAGGTACTAGAAAAATTTCATTACTGATTGCCGTGAGAGCATATGTACAATTACTCAATTTAAAACTTAAAAAGATCATAAGTGATTATATGGATGACTGGCAATAAAACCTAAATTATCAGTAATATTATTAATCCATTATTACTTAATCTAAGTTGACTGAATAATTATCTTTTATTATAATATTGCGAGCAATATGTTGTTATTCTTTTTTGTTGCATTACTGTTATCTCGTAATCTTCGGATTTATGGCAAATGTCCAGAGGGGAAACGGGCGCCATGTGTGGACATTTTTCCACATTTCATGCATAGGTATTTTGTTATCACGTGTGTTCAGCCGCCAATCTACGATTTATTTGTTGATAAAATTATATCGTAGGTACATACGTACGAGGTTTATTTTGATTTCAGATTTGGAAAAGAAAATATATTTGTAGATACATGCATAGTAAGAAACTTATACATATATATATACTTAGTAAAATATATTAAGCAACCAATAATTAATTTACTTTTACATTTTAATAGCAATCGTTATTATTTGTGCTATTATAAATATTTATTATTGACACAATTATCTTAATTTTTTTTAATTTTCCCGTAACCAGCGTAGAAAAAGAGGCGTAACAAAAAAATTTAAGTTAAGAGAGAGAGAGAGAAATAAACAATATACTTTACCTATTATTATTTCGCTTAGTCTTTAATACATAAAAAACAAGGTTGTAGTATCATAAAATATTATTAAATTTAATTACGCTGATTAAATACGAAAATCTGGTAAAATGCCAACAATTATTAAAAAAAAATACATATTGTCTTTGTTTATATAAGTAAACAGTATTGTCACATAAATTATATCTTAATACATGTATGAGTATATGCGTACATCCAGGTATTAAATATGTTTCATTGGTTTCTTGTAACTTAATGCTGTATTTGCTACTGACCAACAGTGTCCACACATAAATATATTTAAAATTAAAATTATTAACATGTGTAGTATTTACAATTTTATGAAATATAATTTCACCATTGGCTATATTAAATTACTAGAGAAACACTTTTAAATTAAAAATAAGTTTTTATTTTAAAAGGGAAGTCAGTACTTAATGAACAGTTAAAAGTAAATTACAACTACCAAATCTTCAACACAAAAAAAACTTGAACGCTTCTTTCATTATTATATATAAATACCCGTATGGTCCATCGAATGGATCCTGATAAGAGTTATTTATGGCTGTCAGTTGTTTACCCTTACGTCTGATGCCTATTATGGTACTATTTAGTTATTATTTGATACAAACACAAACATCAATATGAAGTATATATCACATTATACGTTATGGTTATGTTTATTATTTTATTACTTTTGTACAAATTCAATACGTACATACCTAATGCATTGTCTAACAGTTTAACACGTTACTTGTAAGTCAACATTAAGCAAGTGTCAGGTTTTCTATGGTGTTGGCCGCCGGAAGTATCATAATTGCCGGTAACCGATCGTGAATTACCATAGGTGTGAAGGGTTAATAACACGAGTTGACCCCTAAACTTCCTCTTTTTTCAGTTGAAGCTGTATTTTGTTATACAAGATTGTAATTATTAACGTTATTGATCACAATAGTAGAAGTTATTAAGAATGTAATTAGGTGCGAGTTAAATATGCAGAGTATAATATCCAATTTAAATATTTTCTTTGCTGTTCCTAACTTTTTTTGATATGATTTAATTTGTTGTCGATCGCTTATGTAGCCATGTTTAATGTTATTAAATAGTGCAAGAAATCGTGTCATCGACTGTGGTTGGTGACTTATGCGATCACGGGTAGGTAGGTAGTTACCTAAGGGTGCGCCGGCTAGGGCGACCGCGACAGCTGACTCGGCGACAATGCGCGAAGACGTCCCGCAGCTATTGTGTGCCGCCTGAACCCGAGCCCCGCTTGTCCCGGCCTCAACAAAGACCGTCTCGGCGCGCACCTGGCGAGTCGAGTCGCGACCCTATCTAACCCGATACGCGACTTTACGTGTCTTCTCAAATCTCAGCGTATAAGAAATACCGAAGTTGCAAGATTATCTCGCTTCCGCTTCATATCCTCTGTACTTCCGTTTATTTCAATTTCAACACAGCCTTTGGGATTTGTCTTTTATTGGTTTTTGTAAGATATTTCTTTGTCTACTCTTGATGTATTAGTATATCCGATCTGTATTATACCATTAGGTAGATATCTATCGAATTTTTAAGATAAATATAAGGGTATTTTTTGGTCAATGTTCGTCTTGATATATTTTTTTTTAAATATATATTTATGCGGCATCTAAATCGAATGAAATAAGAATTTTTCAAGACTTAAGATACAAATGTACTAATAAAATATAACTAAATAAACGTAATTACTAATACATCTGTCTAGTTAGATTAAATAAATACACACAGATTAAAAATTAAACTGTTACGATATTGTTAAGTGCTGGTATGTTAGTAAAATACAGTGACAGGACTTGCTATGCAATATAATATTCATAATGTTAATATAAATGTCATTCTAGCAGTTATCCTCTTAACATTTACGATCATAACTGAAATATCGTCTATAGCCCCTTGAAGGGGCTAAAATATGACATAAAACTAAATAGGGGATAAATATCATATTGCAACCAGTTTCGCACGATTAGACATTAACTATTTGCAACCCTTGCACTTTCACATCTATGAGTATGTTTGTATTAGGATTCACTATGAGGGGAGACAGGTTTTTCGAACGGAAATTAACGGTTTTCGAAGACGACTGTTGGATGAGCGTCATTACAACTAACAATTAGTAGGCAAGTCGCGGGGGTGGAGGTGCCTGCTATCTTAAGTGTGGCCCCTTGGCGTGTGCGCATGCGCAGGTCAGCAGATGTTGGCGCACCAACTGACGGGGCAACCTGTCGCGCAACGGATCGCGTCGCTCCGCTGCCCATGCTATGGAGATCAGTGTTGATATGGAGCTCGCGATCGTTTTTGATTTTATAATAAGCCAGGGCTTTGTTAAATTAATGCGCGTGGTCACGAAAATGTAGTGTTTGCAGTAATGAAGTACTTGCACTTAATTAGCTAGGTATTTTGAAGTGATTGCTCTTTTCGTTCGTTATGAACATAAAGCTCGTTCACCCTTTATCGTTATGTTCCAATGAACTTTCAGACTTAGTAAAGCTTGAACTCCGTTAATAATTAATGTATAAAGGTGCCCAGGAAGTTTTTCTGATTAAAATTATGAAGCATTCGCGTGTTGCGATATTCTTTTTATTCATGCAAACATTGTCTAGTAATAAGGGCACGATAGTTGTAAGAAGGGTGTAGGTGGGCAGTGACCCTAAGCTACTTGGCGGAGGTAGCAAATGGAAGGGTCGCGCCAGGTGTCGTCACATCTGCCGTGTCTTGACTTACCTTCTACACCCAACATGACTTAAACTTTAAATAATAACTTGTCCCGCTTCAATACCTCCACCGTTATACACATAGCTTACTTGTGATAATATTTAATAGGTACTTTTTAAAATAACAATTAATTGACGAAATTTTCAATTTGTAATATATAGATATAAAATAAGGTAGGTATATAATACCTATTGGTAGGTATTTTTATTTTGCAAAATTTATTACCTATAACGTTTCGATACATTTACTTTTATAACGGTTGCGTATAAGTGTTCTGAATTAGATTAATAATGTGCAAAATTGTAACGATATTTTTGAGTGTTATTGATTGGAGCTCTCGATCGACGTTTACTTTATTAATAATAGACGAAGTTACGTCCGTGCAGAAATCGCAGCTGCGTCTCTACCTGGACGACTTAAGATGTAAATTACCATTATTCCCGCTCTATTGTCCTGACGCTCACACACAAAGATGCTGACGGGGACGGAATGCACAAATCTGGCAGCTGTTCCACTCTCCTTCCTTATTCGTCTAAGTAACAATGGGTGTCGGGTATTGTGCAAAATATTATAACGCGATTTTCTTTTCGCTTTATATTCGATTGAGAATAAGTAATCTAAAACGTTGTCACAATTTGAAGTCAACTGTTCATAATCATACGAGATTTGGTTTTTGTTTATTTATTATTTATGAAATATATCAATGCAAGTAGTTAGTACTGGTAGTTAATTAGGGATCGTGCAACACAGATCAGTCGGTATATGACTATCTGTCTATACGTAGAGATCAAGATGCAGGCAAGGTGTCCGCGCCACCTGTCTGCGACTACCACTCTAATTATATCTCACGAAACGACAGATGCCTTTTACCTGCCGTACGCCTCGGTTTCTCGAAAACGTGCTTATATTATTTGTCCACAGGATAATAAGAAATATAAATAAATATTGCAATAGTCCACGTTCAATAAGCGTCTTCTAACCATTTTCATTCATGCATAGTGAATTTTTTTATATTAGAATATGGTTAATCATTTACTGTTGGAAGTGTATTATTATCTCAGACTAATTAAGAATATTTTATCTTAATCTATAGTATTATAATAACTGTGTTGACTAACTCAAAACACACTTAATTGCAAAGCTAAGTGCGGAAATGCTTGCGGATAAACTAGCTAGATTGTTAAATAATTCAATATAATATTAACTGTAGTTTTTATTGTTAACAGAAACGGAATTCCTACTAGTGCCACCATCTTTAATCGCCGTCGCCTGTATAACAGCAGCGGCTCGAGGGCTGCGCGTGCGCATGTCCATAAACGACTTGTGTGTGTTGACACGTACGCCGGCTGCCGCTGCTGAGCTTATTGCTCGACATGTGGAGCGGGTGCTGGCTAGGGAGACTCAGCCACAGGAACCGAGGACTAGGCATATGCACTCACATAAACAAACCGCCTCAGAACAGACACAATTACCAGACACACCCACAGACGTACAAGACGTGCACTTTTGATCTAAGATACCCTAGATTAAAGAAGAACTTGAGTAAAATTTGATAAAATCATACTTTTCCTTGTATTAAGAGTTGCATCATGAGAATATCTACCCAATTTTGTTGAAAATGTTACAAATGCACAAGACATTCAATTTTACAATAGATTTTTTCTTGCACACCTGGATAGAAAATAAAGAACCCAAGGAGACATAATATGTATTCTGATGCAGTTGCGTTCAATAATAAATCTATGAGAATAACATAGAAGAATTGTCCATTGATCTCAAATTTTATTAATGTAAAATATTGCCTTAGAGTAGATTTAATATTATTTATTAAGATTTGTTAATGTGTAATATAGTTTGAATATGTTCCAGTTATTACTATAGATATGATCTCCAGTAAATCCAAAAGTTATTGTAAGACTGAAATATAAGGTAACTGTAATTCTTTTTCGAATTAAACGCGACAACCACAAATAATTTTATATTTTTTTTTAATAATCAATTTAATACCACGTCAGAATGAAACTAACAGGAGACTTTTAGATAATTACTATTATATTTAATAATACTTATTGTATGCTATTATAAAATTTAAGTTATATTAAGCATATTTCTGAAATAGTATTTATATTGTAATGTTGGTAAGGACCAACATACTTGTACAAAGTGTGGTTAGCATTAATAAATTCTGGCGTGGTTCGCAAAAACAAATAGTAATTATTATTTATTCTGTGGCAATAGCCAACAATTTATTTATCAAAAACAATAAAGCATATTTTTTTTTTATGTATGATTTTTGTGAATGTTGTGAATAGTTTCCTTTTGAGAGCTTTTTGTGTGTCATTTTATTATTGATAGCTAATGATTATCGTGAGTATTTTGTTAGGATCTCAGTTTGTAGCAAATTTCAAACAATATAATAATTATTGTAAAATGGTGTGTCTAGTTCGTAATAATGTCGCGTGAATATGTTAAAGTATGTAATATTTATTTAAGTAGATATACATGTTAAGTTTTAGTAAATTCTAGTCAGATGTTTTACACATTCCTGTTTTCGACCAAACTTTGATGATTCTAAGATATTATTAATTTAATAGTTTAAGTTTAGAGTGTAGCTTACAAGGGGTGTTATTTACTCTAGATTATCTCTATGATATGAAATATCGTGTACATGAATTAGAAAACTTCAAAATACTCATTAACGAGTAAGTAATTTAAAGTAAATAGAAGCCTCCCCTTGTATGACTAGGTTTGTCTATTGTGCACATGGAAATAAGAGAGAAATGTAGGTAGATGATATTATCGTATAAATATTGTGTAAGTCGAAGTAGCGAGGCGCGTCGGGCAACGTTACGCGATGTTAATTAAACTAATTAGAATAAATTAATGGTCGAGCTTTCAAGTTTCTCTCTTAATTCTATTAAAAAGCGTAACCTTCCCATAAGCATAAGCTTAATTATAACGAGCTCTCATGAAACTACAGTGTGTAACGTATCGTTAAATATATGTATGTGTAACATACGTCATGTGCTGTTGTGTCAGTGTTGTTGTATTATTTATCAAAGATCGAAATTGTTTAATCGACATATTCTTTTTGTGTTTTCAATTCGTCAAGATTGTCCAATATTGTCCATGGTACCTACAATATGTATACCTAGAATAAATAGCATTAAGACTGTAGAAAGCAGGGGTCGATGAGTTGATGTACAGTTTTGAGTATGTTTCTAAACGTAATAAAGTAATAAAAATATTAAAATGACTCTAAAAAGTTATTTTCTTTTAATATACTTATTATACAATAAGTACATCATCATTATCATATCAGCCATTATCTGTTCATTATTGAACATAGGTCTCCCCCTATTGCGGGGTTTTGCTACGCTGCTGCCAGTAATTGTTACTTGGCAGGCTTCTTGGTAATCGCAATTAGGCATCTGGTAATGTTTTAGAAGTCCTCTTAGTCGCCTCTTAGGACACCTACGGGAAAGGAAAGGGTGATCCATTCTATGTACTACACCATACTCATTGCGTATGATGCCACTTTTTATTATTATTATTATTTCAGCCGTTAGCTATCCATTGCTGAATATAAGCCTTTCCCATAAGGGGAGTTTTGCCAATAATTGCCACTTAGTTAGGCTTTAAGAGATGTTTTAAGAGGGACGCTGCTGCCCATTCCTCGCCAATGATACCACTTATTAAATAAATATTATTATATAATTTTCTAGGTTATAATATATGCAGTGAAGTAACACCTGTTTAGGTTGGTAATGATGGTATAACTGAAAGATGATCAACTTGGTTTAAATTTTATAATATAAGGAAAAAGCCGGTGCAACTACTTGATACATTAACCTCGACTTATGTTACCTTAATTAACGAGAGTTTCTGAGTTACCCGATTTTCAAATCTTGTCAATTTTTTTTTATTAAAATGCTGCACTACTACACACGGCGATAATAATGATAATTATTATGATTAGAAATTAGACACGTAAAATTTTAGATTTAGGCTCACGATTCAAAACAAAATCTCCGAGAAATCGAACACCAAATGTGAGCGAAGTTGCGGGCAAAATCCAGTTTTTGATAAATTTTATTTTATTTATTTATGTTTTTGTAAATACGGTTATAGATATAGATAGGTAGGTAATAAACGGTAGGTCCAGCTACCTAGTTTGTTAGGGGGATTCAAATATTTTTCTATTTTTTAATATGGTTTAAATAACTTATTGATAATGTATATGGTATAATTACAAGAAAAAAAAAAGTGATAAAAGAATATATTGTATCTATCATAAAAACTAAAAGGAAATTCTGACAATAAAAAATAACTACTCATGCTTTGCCCTAAGATTAATTTTTTTTTTCAATTTAAATTCGGCAGTCAGTTTTAGTGTATTTTTTTTTATTGAATTATGAATGTTAGTGCTTTGTATATTAATGGTATCTAAACAAAATTTCTAAAAAGAACTTTTAGAATTTCAAATGCAAGATATTAGTGTTCATTCTTATAAAATGCGGTCTAACTCCCACTACTAGCAATATACGCTATCACGTCGACCTTCTCGCGGTTGCCCCTGAAAATCATCGTAATTGATTTATTGTTCAATTTGACATGATGGGCCAACTGACCTGTTTCATCCTTACCTATCATCTCTCACTGGCAGAGTATACTGATAGCGCAAGCGGAAGTTACCCTTTCATTATTATTATATTAAATAGCCTGCTTAATGTCGACCCTTCTTGGGATTATGAATACTTTAACAAAATATCTTCCATACACTTAATGTTTTAACGCCATCTATATACAGCGATATGTACTTATAATTAACAGTCTATATTCATAGGTGTCACTTTAAACCACAGCTTCGTTTGTAGTTTATACACAAGATGGCAGTATCGTCGTATCACTACGATGGGTTACTAATAGATGTCAGTACAAAGTTAATCGAAGTGAAATGTGTAGGATGTATTATGAATCATCAATTACCATAGCGCGGGTTATCACTGTGCTTTTAGCTTTTACATAAAATAATTAGCACTTGTTATTTAATAGTGATTTCATTTAGGGCTAGATGGACGACATGCAAATCCAACATTGTTTATTTCGGTAAATTTATAAATTTTATTATTTAGTTGTTCTTTTATTATTTAGTCGGCAAAATTTGATTTGCATTAAATTTGTACCTTAAGTAATACCATTGGTATACCTTTCTGAAGTTGGTTGAGTAAGGGATGGAATTTTTAATGGGATTTTGTTAGTTGTAAATTAGTATATAATTACTGCTTTATTGGCTTTATATCTACTGAAAACATAAAAAAGTTCTACCTAGCGCGCTAAAAATAGCTCTATGATTTTTTTCAGTAATATTACGGATAACTGATCAAAGATTTTGCCAACGGTAGATAAGTGTCAATGCACTCCTATTATTGAAAAATAATATCGTATTACTTTTTGCTATTAAGTTGTAAAAAAAAAAAAAAATGAAATTTGTTTAGGAGTATTCAGAGATAAAGCGCTATTTAGGTACGTAATAGCAGGATCACTGATACAAATAGGTAAATATTGGATTCGATTGTCTAACCCACGGTGTCGTAAGAAGCAACTAAGAGAATTTAATAGTCGAGGAATGGACAGCAGCGTCACTCTTAAAATATTAACAAAAGTCAAACTGCAGTTCCCAACTAGCTCGTCAAGCTTGGCATTACTCGTAAAATCCCTCCAATGGTAAACTACCATAAGAAATGGTCCCGTTCCTTCTGACAGTCTATGGAGGAGGCTTATGAATAGCAGTGGACAGACAACGTTCATGATGATGATGATGATATGTGTTTAATTAATTAAACACATATCAATTAATTAATTAGATAATTAAACACATATCAATTAGTTTCAGTCATGAAATTGAGCAATAAACTCTCTATTGCTCAATTCTACATTATGTCATTAAATTTTTCATTTTATTCTAATAGAAAAGTAATTTCAGATATGTACTTATGTCTATCGTCCGGTTGGTTTCAATATTATAATTTGACACGAAAGTCCGATACGACACCGAGTGGTAGGTAAACAGAGATCGTTGAGTGTCGCGAGGTGGCGGGCTTCTCCGCAAAACCAGGCGTTCGAAAAAGCTAGGCGTGGAGTGCTCGGGGCGTTCAGGGCAAACACACCGTCTCCGGGGACCCGCTCATTAGTTGTTCAAACACGCCGGCGGCCACTTTGACAAGCAGCGAAGCAGGACCTCTTCGGCCCTCTCGCTCCGGCCGAAGCGATCTTCCCCTTCGATGATCTAACGCTAACTATAAAGAGCTATCGGGTCGACAGATAGTAAATAGACGCGGTCTGTTTTATTTACACGACTGTCGCAGTTTCGATTGAGCGTCCATGAAAATAGTTAATGAACTGTATTGAAATGTATATATCTACGATTATCTAGCTATACAGTATTTTTAGTTAAATTCAAACTCTTTTCAGAAAATTAAATTCAGAAAATTTAATAATTTTGTCTTAACCAACCAATCAACCAGTGGATAAATTTTCAAAAATATTTTCTTAATATCTCATCTAAGACGAAAGCAATTTTCGTGCAAAATTCTACACATATACAACTAATATTTGGATACTTATCAAAATACTTGTATTGGAAATCCTTTTTGAGTAATAAAAATTTGGTATCGAAGAGGGTCAAAAAATTTATCTGTATAAATACAGAGAAATTTATCTGTATAAATACAGATAAATTTTTTGACCCCCTTCGATATCAAATTTTTATTTATGTTTATAAAAGTACGAGTGTTTTAATAAAAAATCTTGGATCTGATTAGTAAGTTTTATATTATTCTTAATTTAAATACTCGCATGCTAAGCGTGGCAAATATTGGCAAAACTCCCCCTTATGAAAGAGGTTATGTACAGCCGTGGTCAGTTAATGGTTGACACAATAAAAACTACAATACTGATATAATAATTATGTAATAGAATTGTTGGTATTTATCTAACTAATGAATATATACATATATCGTTGCATGCATTGGAGTATCAAGTATCAAAGCCAGCCAAATTATTGTTTGCCTTTCATTCAGTGTATTAGTCTGAAAGTATAATATTTATAATAATAATAAACTAGTTGACTCGATAGACGTCGTTCTGTCAAAAGCTATTAGGAACAGTTTTTATGGCAGAGAAAAATGGGGTCACTACATTATGTCGGTCAATTTTTCAAATTTTTCTCGTCATAACTTTTACACGGATTTCAGTAAATATAAAAAAAAAATGCTAAATTAGTCTAACCGTTTTTCAGTTTTGTGCTTAGCGACACATTTAACGTTTCATTTAATAATGTATATATAAATAAGTAAAGTGTTAAGAATAGAAGTTTATTACAATTTTATATGTTCAAAAATGATCGCGTTTTTTCACATTTCTAGAGAGACACTTTAGATGCTTACGGTATGTACAAACTTAATTTCTGTATTACTCTATTAATTAGACACTATTGAAATTTATACATGATATTTACTTAATTTTGTTTATTACCACACATTTAATGTGATTCTAGTTTAAATATTTGCTGGATAATAAATATTTAAATTAGGAACCTATGTTTAAAGGGACTAGTTTGGAAAACTTTTCTAATTACCGTTTGTGAGTTAGAAACAAGCAGTGACGTCAGCGGGGGTTTGCAGTCTCTGCTAATGGCGGCGTCAGCAATCATAGCGATGGCAAAGCGCTCATCAATCATGGGCTCAGGTGCTCCTTCGGTCCAGCATCCCGCAACCCGCACCCCGCACCCCGCACCCCGCACTCCACACTTTACCAGTCTAAGCTTTGATCTCTTTTGCATTAGACAAAAACAGCAAACGTCTAGTATTCGTAATGTTAGTAAATACTTAATGAATTTTGTATTATCTATGTTGATATCTGTATGTCTATTAACTTAATTACTAATGTATATAAATAAATAATATCGATATGGATGTGCATATTATGCATTATATCACTTTACTATATTTATTTATTCGTTAGTACGTATATGTGTATATGGCGGACTTAATGCTAAAAGCATTCTCTCCTAGTCAATCATAGGGAAGTGTCAGGATACTCGAATGCCGTACTAGTAAGTATTGATATACATACATTCTAAAATTACATATATAAATGAAGAAATATATACAAATAACAAATATACTTACACTTGTATAAAATATACTATATTATACACGAAATTGAAAATAATATAAAGTACCTACTA